TAAATACTACAGGAGGCTCTTGGCTAGTCTTCGAACTGATAATAGGACTAAAATAAGGAAAAATGGAAAAAAATTATCGCCTAACCCTAACCTGTTACCCATGTTACGTTCCGATGTCCGCCATCTTGGTTCGCATACTTCGGGAGCACCAGACAAACTTATTCCCACTTGGATTTTCCAGCCGATGTTCGAATAATGGCCCACTTTGCTTTTCGTCCCTTGGTGATACGCGATAGCACTGATTTATAATTTACAACTCTTTTATATGTCAATGAGCCTATGAATCGACCTTTCCCCGAAGATATGGATGAGTTAACATAGGTAATCCAACGTTCAAAGCTAGTGAGACAAATGACGCTTTCGGGGCGTAGAAAAATTCCCAGTTTAAGATATGTTTAGGAATGTTTGATGAAACTAGTTTAAATATAAGTCGATTTTATCGATGATCGTCCCAGTTCAATTGCAATTGAATTCTAGAGAGATCACAACTTTTGTCGAATACGTCATAGATTACTGAAGTTTTTGGAAACAACTATACAAAAACAGAAGTTCAGGTGTTAAATAAATTTTCTTCATTTTCGTTGAAGAAATCAAGGACTTTATATGCGCTGTCTTGGGGTACGTCACTCTGTAGATCTCAGACTACTCCTGAGACATATGGCACTATAGGCGTCACGCAATATTCGCACCCATAAATCATTTTTTTGCGGCCTTATAAAATGTCCGATACGGTTTACTGGTCGCCAACCCCTATAACTTGTTCACGTGATGATGCTATACCTGAGAATTCCTCAGCAAGGAATGTTTGTTTGCTCAAGCGAAGCTAATGGTGAGTTCAGTTATTTGGCTTAGATGTGGGCATTCCGTTAGCTTGTAAATAAGAACAGACGAAATTTTGATAGTCGACGTGCAGTTGAATATACGAAAGTAGTGTCGTCAGATAGAGATGCTACTGATTTTATTTGTCAAGGTTGTGAGCCTATGAATTTGAAAGAATAGGTTAACGCAAAAGCACATAAATCCACCGACAGTCTTATTTTCGTGTATGTTTTCCAAGTTTCCCCAGAGCAAGATTGCTCGTTCTAGCTAAAAAGGAGGGCACTTGCTGAAAGGATAGAGCTGGTATTTAACTACAGACGTGAATTTTGAGCAGTAGGAAGATATGCTATTTTGAGCGTTTGAATTTTGAATTCTCAGAGCTAAGCTCTGGCTCAGTGGTCCTCAAACAGTGAGGCGACAATAATTTTTGAGCGGTGTGAAGCTAATCAAAAATGAAAATATCTGTTAGATTTATCTTTCCAGCCTTATTTTGAATATTTACATTTTGCGAGACTTGACAAACTCTGATAAAGGGGCGCGACTTAAAATCTAATATATTTACTAGTTAATATACTCTTTCGTATTTGCTTTCACTGCCAGCAAAAACACGATCTCGCTAGCATTTATGCGAATATCGTGGGTGTAAATTTCCGATTTAGGATTTCCTACCATCCGATGGCAGAGCTGACTACGCTAGCTATGATTTTGCGGTTATTGTTTCTCCTTGTTAGCTATAAGATAGTATACTCTTTGCTTGTATATTTTCGCTCACAGTAGACCTGGACACGTAGGCATTTATTGTGGGTATCAAATTTCGAAATATGATTTACCGATACTGCTTTTCTAGAAAATGCAACGTTTCATGCTACGAAGGACACATTGTGATTAATATTTTTTCTAGTTATCTATGAGATAACTAGAGATTCTTTCTAGTAATCAGTAATTCATTCCTCCACCATTCTGAACGTACAAACTATACATACACAAATTGAAGGAAATGTTTAAAGAATTGCATTCCAGAGTGAAGGGAGACGCCGGTAAACTGAGTTTGCACTCTCGTACTATATTTTTGTGACTTTCGCTTCGCCAAAGGCTCCAGACACACAGGCGCTGATTTAGGGAGCGATTGTCATTTTAGTAGTGTTTGTTTTTTAAAAAGACAGGTTCCTGATTACCAATATAACTTGATAGGACATTGGCTAAGCAAGCGGTAACCGCATAAAGTATTATCAAACCGCTATGTTGTAGCTTAGTATCTATAGGTCTTAGCCTTTGCCCTGGTGTATTTTTTAACGTATTTTGATAGGTTCGGGTGAACAGTCGTGATTTACCAATTGAATTTTCAGGTGATTCTGAAGAATAGCTGAGTTTTTAAACTTTCCATAATAGGCCCGAACTTGGCAATGCATGTGACTAAACATCCACGCTTTTATTCGCAATTTTGTTAATTGTTAAGAAAAGCTATGTTTGCGTGTGGTTTGTTTTATAAATTTGTTGGCGACATTATTACAATTTACACAAACTTTCAGTTTGCTCCATCAAGAAGCGGCTTTTAGAATATTACCTAAATTTGTCAAAATTTTGATGCGTCGGTGGAATCTACGTATTCTATTTGTGCAAAAGTAATTTTTGATGAAAATTCCCATTGGGGAAGGTTTTTTCAACCTGCTAGGCTAGCAAATATATCTACGGAAGGTGAATAATATGCTCGTTCAGCTAAAGGTAAATTAAACTGGTATTTCAATGCGCGTATAGGGCAGACACTGCAGAAATGAACAGTAAAATGCGAATCATTTCCCCAATGAATGTCGTGTTTGTGGACATTTGAAACGTCGGCAAAATATTCCATCGTATGAGTAAATTGGTCACCTCCAGTTGACATATGGTGTAGTACAGGCTGTTCGTAAGAAACAGAAAATATTTATTTTCACAAAGAATAATTTTTACAAAGTTTTTGAAGACATATGTTATATTAAACTCATGTCATAGACACTCAAAATGGCGTCCGTCTACTTAAGAGCAGTGTCTTAACCTAGAAGTCCAAGCTCGTATGGCAGTTTGAAGGTTAATTTGCAGGATGGTGACCGTACATTTGAACCCATGTGTATATCCGCGCGTTCAATCTATATGCGGGTACTAAAACCCTTGGGTTAGGGTTAGTATGGGTTCAAATATCCGTAAAACGAAAAAAAAAGTTCCATAGGTGCAATAGTATGCAGGTGCAATTGTCTTGGGTTCAAATGTACATGGATTTAAATGGAATGGAACCTTGTGGGATATCGTTTCAGTTCAATACTGATATTTAACTCATCTCACCTTTAAATTTTCTGCTTTTCTAGCAATCCTGTATTTTGGCTTTGGTTGAAGATAGGTACGTGTTTCTGTTTACTATATACTGGAATTGAGATAATATGCTAAGGCAATGGTTCTCAGCCAGGGTTCCGCAAGCATACATTCAAATCCGAGAGTCTGTGTTATTGTTTATGTTTGTATACTGTTAGGCTTTCCACAGTTAATAAAAACTTGCTAAACTCTAAAGATCATTTTATTATTCGACACTAACTGCCTTACAAGTGTTGCGCAGGGTTTTCGCGAGCCCCTGGAAAGTTTCACAGGGTTCCGCTCCACGGAAAATATGGAAATCCATGTTTAGCGCAAATGACGATGACTAACATTTCTGAAAGTAAACGCGCATTTGAAACGTGAAATTGCCACGGAAGACAATAATTTTTTTAACTCCTATTTGATGTTATTACTATAGCTTCTTTGAAGCCATATTTTTAAATCAGAGATTCTGTGTAGAGATTTGTTGTGACAACTTTAATTTTAGAGAATTTGAATATTTCGTTCAACTACTTTATTTTTTTTATATTTATATACAGTTCTAAAATCAGTTTTAACCTAATACCGGTAATACCGATATTTTCCTACGGTTTAACGGTAACTAGATTATAACCGGGTCTGGAGATATTGAGGAATGGAGTTGGATTTACACAATACGAATGGAAATGGACAAGGACCAACTCTTTCAAAACAAGCCAGGGCTGAGATAGCTGGGGCGACTCCAATCCATGGATCAAATAATCAAGGTGAAGTTTCTATGTGGCGTTTTTATACTTCCTGTCACAGGTTATACAAGCAATCTAGAATACGTAAAAATCTACAATTCTTTACTGATCGCCATTGCGTACCCCATCAATTGCGGTGTAGACGAGGTGTTTAAGTCCCCAGATTTTCAACCCATGACGTCAATATAGTAATGTACAACGTTTCTAACCACAGGGCCGTCGCACCGCTTCAAGCCTCAGTAAATTTATAGGACAGTAAAGTTGAAAGTATTGTCAAAATTTTGGGAGAAAATAAGACGTAATATAGTTCTGCAGTAAATTCAGGGGGTTCAATATAATATGAAATGGAAAATAAATGTTAATTTCTCCTGCTTGAGAACATATGGCAAGCTCAAAAAATTTAATCGCAGATACAGCATATTCATTAATTTCTTGAGAAGTATTAGCTTATACCTGAACATATCAACTAAAAATTCAACCCGGAAAAATCTTGTTTTGAAAAAGTTCCACCTGTGGAAAATTTCATTTATGGAAAATAATATTCTACCCTGATAAAATACAAAGCTATGCAAGCCCCCCCCCCCTCCCCCCACTAATGTTTTTTTGAGATAACAGAATTCATTGGTTGAATTTCTACTTTCATATTTCTAGACAACGATGAATCAGGAACACATTGTGGTTATGGGCCTTGTCATCCGAGGTTTCTGCAAGCACTGGCGACAGCAAAATGGTTTTTAGCGTTTATGTCCATCTACGTTTTACTTCAGAGCCTTCTAGTATCCGGATATACGAGCAGTGTTATTACTACAATCGAAAAAAAGGTTGGTGTTGTAATAATATGTTTGGATGAGAAACAACGAATACAGTTCAGTGAATAATTTACAATAACGAATACATTCTGAACTGAAATAATATTTCTAAATATGGAATATCGAATATTTCGTAAATGGGGTCATTTTCAGCTGATTTTCGAATACCTGATGATTTCAGAATCGAATCGAATATTTTTTTCGAATCGAATCTCGAAGATATATAAGGTAGGAGATATATAATTGTATGCGACTTTTTTATTGTAATTGGTCTTGTTAAGAAATGAAGGTGCTCCCGAAGTATGCGAACCAAGATGGCGGACATCGGAACGTAACATGAGTAACAGGTTAGGGTTAGGCCATAATTTTTTTCCAATTTTCCTTATTTTAGTCCTATTATCAGTTCGAAGACTAGCCAAGAGCCTCCCGTAGTATTTATACCTAAAATTATGGCCTAACCCTAACCTAGTACACATATTACATTCCGATGTCCGCCATCTTGGTTCGCATACTTCGGGAGCCCCGAAATGAATTACTGAAAACAAAGAATACATTACCAAGAGAGATTGTCGAGCGCTCACATACAATGAGAAACACGTTTTATGTATAACTCAATACAGAAAAAAGAGTCATATGTCAGAATTGCCTTGAAAAAATATGGCTTCAAAAAAAAAATTAAGAAATTCACCTCGGCAGAAAGAAAAAAAACAAGATGGCGGCGATTCGAAATTTTGCTCTGAACCGATTCGAATAATTTACTATTCGATTCGAATATTCGATTCGAAATGCCCAGCCCAACTGATACATTTGCACGAATCAATATAAATTTACAAAAAATTGACTGATTAGGCAATACTGTGTTGAGATTATCTTTCTATCCCAACATTATCAACAGTTATTGTTGCTCTTTCACAAATATAGTTATAGCTTATTCGGGTTCGTTTTATTACTTATCGATCTTTAGATCGGTAAGTATGTTGATAGGTATTTGTCTGTTTGTCTGTTAGATGAACGCGATATCTCACGAAGGCGTGGTTGAATCTGCTCCAAATTTTGCATGTGCATTCATCATATCCCGAACCATATCCCGATTTTGGATGAACTATGTCGTATAATTAGCGAGTTATTAATTAATTAGTGATGGGACACAAGAAGAGCGCTGTTTTGGGGGATCCCCCAACTTTCGATCGATAAGTCTTCGGTCTCTGACCGATATTCTCGTTTTATTCATTGTTCATTTAAACATTTTTATACTTCATTTAATACACTTGTAGGGGCCAGCAACTATATAGGTTGTGTCGATAAGTCTATTTGCTATTAAGAGCAAATTGATTCTTTATGAACACTTTATTTTTAAATGGATTTCTGAATTCAGTCTTAGATATTGTATAGACAAGTGTACTTGAGTATTGAGTGTACTACTTCCATCGCTAATTTTCTGTTAACAATTTTAAGACTTTACGAACAGCCTGTATTCTCGACTGGATTTCTGAATTCAGTCTCAGATATTCAAGACATGGTTGATTCACCAATCTTCTGGTAGATTTGAAATTACATAATCTCTCCTGTTTACAGGTATGACCTCAGAAGCACCGAATCGGGACTTATCGTATCTAGTTTCGACATAGGGAGCTTACTGGTCGTCGTCTTCATATCGTACTTCGGAGGGAAAGGTCATCGAACGAGATGGGTCGGAATTGGAGCTATTGTCGTAGCAATGGGTAGGTTGGTTTGAACCGGGCTTTTTTGAATCAAGTCAACATACAGATAAGTCAAACGCTTTGGCCCCTAATTTTTTGTATTCCTGTTCAAGCAGACTGGATATTTTAGTCTTTAGTCAGATGAGGGTGAGTTCTTTCTCCGGCACCGCTGTTAACCACAGTCATATGATAAAGATTATCCTTCCTGATCATGTCATCATATATTGAATTTATACATTTGCTTCTCTTTGTTTAGTCACAAACAAAGTAAAAAGCTGAACAAACAGAAAACCCACACGCGATAATTCTCTTTGTTTCGTAACAAAGCACACAGATTTTAAGAGATTACAAAGTTTAATAGTTGTTGACCCGGGGTCCTCGTTATGTAACGGGGTTACTATCGTTCATTTCCCATAAATTTTAACACTATGACTATTAATAAATGAATATAAGGCGATTTTTGGATTAAACAATACTCATAGCTTAGCCAGAACTAATACTGTTCGGTAGTGTCGGAGTCAAAATGTTTAAGTCTCCGGACTCTAAACTACGTAGGTTTTAAAGTCTTAGTTAAAATTATTACAAGAGAAAGATGCTTGCTAAACGTTCCGTTCTCTAAATCTCGTTATCTCGAAGTGGGGACTCATAGTTGGATATTTTATCAAAATAAAGTCAGATTTGCATTTCTGAATAGATTGGGTTTGGAAGTATGGAATACATAAAAGTCTTTTTTACTTTATCGCTACTGAAAACCAAAAAATAAAAATAAAAAAACGTGCAGACCGTGCATAATCGGTAACGACAATAATAACTAGCACAGTACTTAGATTTCCACGAGATACTTTCTGTTTGTAATGTAAAAATGAATGCCCGGAGTCTTGTTTTGAGTAGATAACAAGAGAAAAGTGGTTTGTGGTGAACAAAGAATCGTTCTTATTTACGCATATTTACTACAAACCAGTACAAAGACAATACAAATATTACTAAGCGCAACGTGACGGACTTTGGACCTCCGTTGGGATCTATTATCGTTGCGCGACAAGTCATAAGGATAGAGTCAGTCGTGCACGGCCGAGTACCGATAATAAATCACACCGCGAAATGACCAACGAGTTGAATCACTGGCAATGCAATTTTATTTAACCATTCAATACCATATATATTCATGAATTGTTTCACGGGCTCGCTTGTAAGATGGATCGGAAATATAAGTTACTCTGGACTAGTATAGATAATCTGTCAAATTAATATTATCAACTTGGTCATTGTCGTCGTTAGTCGCGCAACTTCTTTGTTTTAAAACGAAATTTTAGAAACAGGGAAACTATACTCAACGTAAACGTAATAAAAAAACGCAAAGTATTGAAATTGCAATTCAAGTAGTACAAATGTAATATTCCAGTACTAATTCTCTTTTTGTCATATGAGACGGGTAATTGCAGTTTATTTCTCATCAACTATTTATATACGCTTAAAATCCAATATAAACATTTTATTCAGTCGGTCTTACACAACATGTTGCAATAACATTGCTTATCAATTTCGCCATGTCGTCGAAATATTTTTAGAATTTCAATGATTATTTACTGTAAATTGCCTCTAGCGAAATGAAACTGTAAAAATTTCCGAAATCGGTACTATTGTTTAATAGTTATTGTTACATGGAAGTAAAATTAATAGAAGTTGATGGTTTTATCGTCTTATTGAGATGAACCCTTCAAGTCTCTCATCAATTCGTATTCACTAAGTACAATTGACCACTATATTTTTTTTAGGATTAAACCACTTGCTTTCGAGGAAATGCGCAAAGGATCGAAAAAAAAACCACTTGTTACATAGTATATAAAAATGTCTTGCAGGGTATCATTCTTACGATCATTCTTACATTCTTACGATAAATATCATCGACATACTCAAATTGAGTCGTGCCTAAATACCAATAATTTGCTGTAGAACTTTGGTACCCAAAGTTGATTACCCGGTGGGGCAAAAATTATAAATGAAAGGATATAATCAAGATACCGGTACGATCGAGTTGTTTTGAATACAAGTCTCCATACTGTAATAATAACGTGACAATTGGCGGTATTCAATACTATATATAGACATGACTAATCACAGTGACAGTTTACCACAAACATACGTTTAGAATTTAAATGAATACACACAGCTAGGCATTTACACAATACGGAGTCATTAGTCATTACACAATGTATTTTATTCTATCATAAGATTAGTGTTTATAGAAAATTTACCCAACTGGTTAAACTAGAATATCGGTTAGAAACCGAAGACTTATCGATCGAAGGTTAGGGGGTCCCCCAAAACATTGGTCTTACTTCATAGTGACACCGTGTGTCCCATCACTTATTAATTAATAACTCGCTAATTATAGGACATACTCTATCCAAAATCAATAGGCTTCTGATCCGAGCTATGATGAATGCACATGCAAAATTTGGAGCAGATTCAACCTCGCTTTCGTGAGATATCGCGTGCATCTAACACTCAGACATACATACAAATACCTATCAACATACTTACCGATCTTAAGATCGATAAGTAATAACTGTTAACTACCGTAAGTACGAGAACGATATATGAATTCGTCTTGACTTTTTTTTCAATAATAAATTTAAATTTTGAATCTTCTTATAAGAGTGTATAAATACACTCCGTAACCAAAATGATAGCACTATTTTATAATAATATTTTATTTTTTTCTACACAGGGTCGGTTCTGTTTGCGACGCCTCAATTCATAGCAGCACCATATGAGCTACCTGGGACAACAAACTCAAGCCTTAGTCCACACGAGCACCTGTGCAGTTCTAACAAAACAACCAATTCAAGCTCGGACGACCCGCCATGCGAAGCGAAAGTAAGTGTTGTTCTTATTGAATAAGTTACTTGTTTTCTCCGAACTGGGTTCTGTATAAGGAGATGTAAACATGTATAATAAATAATATAGCACAAGTTTTAGTGCATGGAATGGTAATTCATATCCTTGCAGTTAGGGATGGCCCAATTTAACGTCAGATATAAGTGTAATGGCCTGCCTAATCGTGGTCTCGTGTGGAAATTAGAAAAAATATGACATATTCGTTGAAAAACTGATTCCGTAATTTTAAGAAAATAATACACCCATAACGCATTCTGAAGACACGGGGGAGGCATAGCTTAAAAAAAAGACAGGGTTTTGTGTCAGGATACTTCATCCAAATTAACTGAATTTGCAATAAAACCTCGAATTGTGTGATTGCTTGATCATTATATATTGAATTACCGGAGTTACAAATGCACTGCGTCATTAGCTTATAGGCTCGGAGTACACTATATATACTGGTCCGTAGCCAACTTTCATACATCGGAGCGTGTGCATATCGGTAGGTTGCGATTAATTGATTTGTGTCAAGCTCTATAGATCTGTACGCCAAGCAGCTGCTTATACCGGACTCAGACTTAGATTGTGTAGATGGCTCTCACTCCATATGAATGTTTATAAACACAAAATTTGCACGCTTTTTCCATGACAGCCTCATTCTGAAGCTGGATTTTAGTGACAAACGAGAGATATTTTGCACTAATCTCCCACCACTAATGCAAAAATATCAAATTTGAGGAAAATCACCCCGCGATTTTTAAAATGACAAATTATTAAATATCCAGTTCGGGTATGAAATGATTTGAAAATTTGAATTTTCAGCGCAATCTGCATTTTCGTCCATGAACTTTGATATATTTTGCAGGAAGCAAGTTCGTTGTATATTTGTCTATTCGTGATATCAAACATGATAATCGGAATCGGATCAACTCCGATATATACATTAGGTACTACGTATCTATATGACAATGCACCGAGAGAAGACTCATCGTTATACATAGGTGAGAACAGAGTTTAAACCAGGGCCAAAAACTTGGTACTCCCGTTGTATGTGAACCAAGATGGCGGATACCGGAACGTAGTAAATGTACCAGGTTAGGGCTTGGCCATAATTCCAGGTACTACTACTACGGGAGTCACTTTGCTAGTCCCCGAACACGTAATAGAACTAAAATAAGGAAAATTAGAATAAAACTAACCCTAACCTGGTACACAAACTACGCTCTGGTGTCCGTCACCTTGGTTCAAATACTACGAGAGTAACAAAAATTTTGCCCACCTAGACTGACGGGCCATGTAAGTGTGACGTAAAAGTTACATTTTGTGAACAATATTTACAGTATGACCAAAGAATAAGTGGTAAACAATAAGCCTCGTGCCAAAACTAAATTTAATCGCAATCTCAACAAATTCCTTGAGCTATTTTAGCCAAACCATCAAAATTTGGTTTTAGTTTGGTTGTGACAGCATAAAGCTGCGAGCTTGAATCACCCAACGGGCCGGATTTGGCCCGCGGGCCGTGGTTTGTCCATGCCAGGATAAGAATGTTCGATTCCAATTTACACCTTTTGCTATATATATAATCGTGAACCCGCCTAGTACGGTAAGAATGTTTCGTCTGGAAATCTTAAGCAGGTACAGTAGTTCGATTCATTGAACATCATTAATCAACATTGTCTGTAAGTGGCTGTTCTATGTCGGTGATAACTCGTCGGTATGTACTCACAACATTTTTTTTTGAATAAATTCAAGTTCTATTCGCCGATTTACAACCAGTCTGAATAGCAAAGCCAACAACATAGGATATTATACTGAGCAGATTTCAAGTTGACATTTTAAATAAGAACCCGATTCTTTCCCTTGAGCAGATGCCGCTTGATTTATGTAACAGTCCGTTATCATTGGTCATATGCCACATGTCTACAATTTGAATACAAAACTATGTTTTTCTCGGTTCAAATTAAAGCTCCAATCGACCAGAAAAAGACTGACTTAAAAACACAACAACATAGGAAGGGATCATCCGGGTTTCGATAATAGCAGTGTTATGGATTAACATTAAGATTGAAAAGTCTAACATATTTTTGAAATTAATCAAAAACGGGTGTTTTGAAGGCAATGAGTCACACGTGCATTAATTCACCCCCAGAATCAAAAAACAAAAATTTAAATATCCAATCAACATGCCCCACGTCATCTAGTTGTGGTCGTCAGTTTTTATCGGTCTCGGAAGAAAATTAGCATCAATTATATTTACCATTGGATTAAAAAATCGTTTTAAGCGGCAAAATGTGGCTTCATTTCAGGGTACACATTTTGTTATTGTCCCATCCTAATTTTATGATCTGTTTTTTTTTTCATTCTGGATATCTTAGGTAAAGTTAACGTATTAGTCTCTCATTGCCCCACCGTTATTATTTAGTTTATTTTGTTTATCTTAGAATTTAGATCTAATGATTGAAAAATAAAAAGAAAACGATCACACAATTAGTGGGTAATTATTACATGGGTAGTAGTAACAGGATAGTAACCACTTTACTTTTATGTACTCTTTTTCTCAGTTGAGAGTTTCCCGTTATTTTTCGTTGTTCCGAATCGCTGCTTCAGTCAATTTAAAAGCATATTATCATACTTCAAATTGTTCACCAGTCACGTTTCGCGCCGAACAGATGCCACATTAAGATATGCCGGTTGGGTAAACAAATAATTGTCCGCGACGGAATGATGAAAATTTAAGTTACGAAAGACGGAAACTACAACCGTTCGTCGACAAGAATATATAAATTTTTGAAAATATAAAGTCTTCCACCAGAAATTTGAAAACTAGCTCCCTTACATATCGTTGTTAAAAGGTACCACAGATAATTGAGAACATTTTTACGCGCAATGTAAAGGCGACTCTGGCTTAATCAAAATGATATTAATGATCGCTGTTCCACTTTTGAGAAAATGTAATGTAAATAGTAAAACAACGGTAGCCAAGTGAAAAATGGCGCAAAATCATTAGCCCAGGCCAGGCCATGTTGAGTCGCGTGTGGCTCAAACAAAGCTTATACGTTAATAAAAACGTATATATATATAATGCTAATGTGCACTCGGTTTCCGCTGATACGGCACAAAGTAAGGCGACGCCGGCTGACGCTCCGTGAAATTACGTTCATCAAAGCGCATACCTGCAGTTAAAAATACATTTAAGCTGCCGAATAAGTGAAGGTAAATGTCGAAGGGGCTTGACTATGTTGGATGATCAAAGTCATATGCGACGGCCAGGGCTGGTAATTGCAAACCGGTCAACCGTTTTATATGGTTAACGGTTAGGTTAACTGTCATAACCCCAGCAATTTCCAATGTAAATTCCTCTAATAAATTTAAATTTTTACGTATTTATATCTCATGCGTTCAATTCATAATATCATTATTATTATTAATTGAGAAGGCAACACGTAAAAAATATTAGTGCAACTAACTAAAAATGCTTTTTATTGAATCGTATCGTAACCAGCTGATTTTCACGGTCAAGTTTGACTGGTTAACGGTCAAGTGTTTCACTGAAATTGCCAGCCCTGTTTCGTTGGTCAGCGGCCTTCTGGCCCAACTAGATAATCATATTAATATTACGGCTTTTTTTTTTTTTTGAAGAAAATTTTAAGTGAAATTACAGGTGACCATTAAAATTAGGAAAGATGCTGAAACTATATACACTCATGATGGTTCATTATCATGATGTTCAATTATTCACGTCTTCCGTCCCAACAAGGCCCCGTGATTCGAAATTTCCCCCTTCAAATGTAATTCCGTATCAATTTTAAGCTTTTATTGAGTATGATCTAATCTATTTTCAGCTCATGCATTGCCGTGGTTAAATTTACGAGTGACCTTTAGACCAGGAAGTAATTGATTTCCGTTATTACTGTATTATATACGGTATATTGTGACTGTAATAACACTCTGCAAAAAATCGAAAATTTCAATGGCAATTTACTAGTCGTTTATCAAAAACTGAGAATACTGAGTTGTTGTTTCAAATAAAACTGTCAATGTTACAGATTCTTTAGTGCAGTCAGTCGGTCATTCGTCTATTCAATACCCTGGATCTGTATCTGGCCGTTGAAACAAGGTTAATTAGGTTGCTGTAATTTTTTATAGAGTAACTCAGATTGCAATTAATAATCGCGTAATCGTAACGTGGATCGTAACACGGTCGTTCACCCCTAAATGATAACATTACCTACATGTTTATCGAGCGCCTCGTCGACGAACCGTTTGTTGACAGACAATAATTATTTCAGCCGCAACCTCCCCATCGCAAAGGTTTGTTTATTAATCATGGTTATGTGGTGATATCAATCGCGAGATGACACCGCGTTTGGAAGAATTTCACAATACACAAAGATGACCTTTATTCAGTTTTCTTTGTATTATTATCGTCTTTCTGATGCCGATAATTCGAGTCGAAACTTTGAGCTCTCCTGAAATTCAACCTTCATCATTCAGCAAAAGGTTCAGCAAAACTCTCACAAACACATTAGTTCTTAGTCTAATTTTTCTTTCACCAAAGATCGAAGTCGGATGTCATTAACCATAGATTGAAGTCGGATTTAAATAGGAAAGACGAAGGAAAGATACTAAGTATCCTCCTGTGTGCCTGTTCACATAACAGACACACAAACCGATTTTCAAAATGTCGCACATCCTGTTTAACTAGCCCGGTCCCAGAAAAAGTGTCGTCGGTTTATTACGCATACGTATTTCGCATGAACACTGTTCCCCCTGTATGCTTATTCACATAACAAACATACAAAGCGATTTTCAAAATGTCACACATCCTCTTTAACTAGCTTGGTCCCAGAAAGAGCGTCGGTAGATTTTTTAGGCATACGTATTTCGCCTGAACACTGCGTCTAATGTATGCTTATTCACATAACAGACATACAAACCGATTTTCAAAATGTCGCACATCCTGTTTAACTAGCTTGGCCTCAGAAAGAGGTCGCTTTTTACCCACACGCACTTCGTCCCGAATACGGCTCTGCACAAGCAACCACTGCCAGACTTCTACAGTTTGAAAGGATTGGAATCTTTCCAACACTAGCAACATGTACTATTCTATAGTCTTAAAGATTTAATATCCATTTGTATTTTACTTTAGCTATCATGTATCTAATGGGAGCGATTGGACCTGCGCTCGGATACGTAGTCGGAGGAGCGTTGATCAATTTTTACGTCGATCCGTGGATGGAAGGAGTTCCTTCAGACGATCCTAGATTCATCGGGGCCTGGTGAGCTTGTTTGAAGTTTGGAATTTCATTGGAATCAATAGCTCAGTGGTTCTCAAACTTTTTAAGCCACGCCCCCTTTTTAGAACTCCAAGTCACGCTCCCCACCTAAGAAATACTAGCTAACAATAAGCTACAAATAACAGATATAGTATAGCGAAAGTATTTTATTTGAAAAACACTTTGAAAATTCGGGGATCGAACGTAAATATCCAAAATGAGGCGGGCAAGATCTAATCTAACAATTTAACAAATATTTTTATTTTTAACAAGCTTCACGCCTTCTCAAAAAATTGTCTACGCACCCTTGTAGGGCGCACCCCACCATTTAAGAACCACTCTGATATAGAGAAATGAAGAGTTAGTATTATAAGGTCACGAAGACTAACAACTCCTTCACACTGTACAGACTCAGAATGATCATAAAATATCGTATCACTAATTAATAAATCAAAAGTGCACTACTGAATAACTATGAAATCGTATTCACCACACACGCGTTAATAGTTGATTATCCGATATTTCTCAAAAAGCCATGCAAGTCAATGGGTATGTTAATTCCTCGACTAAGTTACTGTTTTTTTTATATTTTCTCCAATAGTGGCGAATATTTGATAAAACGCCAAGACGAAGAATGCTTGGTGATATATTTTGTTAACATTATGCCGAATGAATTAAAAACCGAATTGATTCGGTACTGGTAATATTTGACATAATGTTAACTCTCGATTTCTCAAATAATTTAGACAAACTGCCATTTTGAAAAACTCCACATTACGAAAGTTAAAGTTGTTGAAAATGGACACTGACTTCTGCATATTACGAATTAAAAATCAGCTAATTAGGAATATATTCTATATTCAGAAATCTTATATTAAGAGAATTAATAGGGTAATTAATGGGTATTTGGCGCCCCATCTGACGACATTTTTTTTAGTGGCGCCTTCACCAACTTCCCTGTTGTCGCGTGATTCAAATACATTTTCAGGATGTGTGCAAAATTTTATTATTCATTTATTGAATGTGATTAATATACAGGTGGTCTGGATATATTCTCTGTGGAATATTAATCGTCATTTCATCGATACCTATACTTGGATATCCAAGAAAGCTTCCGAAACCAAAAGCAAACATAAGGTAACTGATCCGAGATATTGTATTTTTCATTATGACAGGCATTATAATGACGGAGCAGCCAATATTTTCGTTAAGATGGGCGACAAAGCACTCCGTTTTGTAAAATATTGGAAGCCTTCGTGAGTATCCCCTACCAAGATTAGTCACACAATTTGATACTAATGTGATACTAATATCTTATAGTTTAATACTTGAACTACAATCTCATTTCCAAGTTCTACAAAAAATCCCTTCTTAGCAGTTGTTCATTATTACCAGGTTTCTGAACGTCCTTTTCTGGGCACGTACGCATGTATATTTGAAAAACTGAATCGTAAGTCGTAATAAGATATAATATGAAGCGCTATCAATCTCGTCTTAAAAATTTGCGTTTGCTTTTGCGTATTTGGTGACAATAATTTGAATTTCTCTCCAGTCTGGTTCGTGTCAGTATAATGCACTCACGAAAGTTATAGATCAAAATTTTGAAAATCAAACCAAACCATTGGGCTGTCTTTAACTTTACAGTGACGGCGCTTCAGTGGGAAACCAGACACCGGGAACGCCAGTTACCACTGTCACCGTATCCGACGACGAAGAAGCACCTCCACAGAATGACGGGATGAATCCGATGGATGCCTCAATGAATTTCGGGAAGAACATTAAAGGTTTGTTTAGTTTGAACTAGATTCAGATTGTACAAATCATTACTTATCGATCTTTAGATCGGTAAGTATGTTGATAGGTATTTGTTACTTATCGATCTTTAGATCGGTAAGTATGTTGATAGGTATTTGTCTGTCTGTTAGATGCATGTGATATCTCACGAAGGCGTGGTTGAATCTGCTCCAAATTTTGCATGTGTATTCATCATATCTCGGATCAGAAGCCTATTGATTTTGGATGAATTATGTCGTATAATTAGCGAGTTATTAATCAATTAGTGATGGGACACGCGGTGTCACTATAGAGTCATGAATCGAAACCGCAGTTTCGATCGATAAGTCTTCGATCTCCTAACGATATTCTCGTTTAATTTTTGGAGAGCTAGATGTGATACGTAATCTTCGTCAGGATGGCGCAAGGACAACGGGAATTGCTCTCTTGTTACATTTAATTATCCCGCACCGCGGTACTAACGGATGTATTATTGCCGTAGTATTGCAAATGTTGAAGAGTTTTTGTGGCTGATTCAAAGAAATTTCTTGTTAATTAATTTTGAATCTCAAACTTTTCAATCTCAAACTAATTGCTCAATCTGAAACGCTTTTATTCGAATAATGCACACTCTTGGATGGAGTTATAAATTGAAAAAACTTATATTGTTTGAATAAACAAACTTCAGGGCAAAACTATCAATATACGATTTAGGTCTAAGTGCCTGACTCATTCAACATCATTTACTGCCATTACCTATGCTAACATAAAATACTCTCAATATGCATTGCATACACCCCTACATTAACGTAAATAATATTTCCACTGGGTATATCGTACATTAAACATCTAAATAAACTCAAAATTATGTTTATTATTTTTAGATCTTCCGCGGGCGTTTTTCTCTCTACTAAGCAATCCTATATTTCTATGCATTACTGTCACTGCTACGTTAGAGTTCTCAATAGTTACTGCATTCCTGACTTTCGTTCCGAAGTATCTGCAAAATCAGTTTGGGGTCGACCCTTCACAGGCGAGCATATATACCGGTGAGTGGGAAATAGTTATATTGATACTCCAATGTAGATTTGGATCTATCACGGTACAGCGAATAACGCTCTTGATTTTGGGTTTTCACACAAACGGAATATGCTAATGTTGAACCGGAAGATTCATACTGAATTGTTATTCGCAAAATTAATAACATTGTATAGCCCAAAGTATACAACATACAGTAGCAGTGCCCATGATAGAAGGACTGTATTATTGACGAGTGACCTAGCGATCGAGGCGTGAATTAAATATATATGCGCATACCCCTCGTAGGGAGATCAGAAAATAGGGTGAAAGATTTATTTTATATGCCCTTTATGATCCCTTTATGACTTCCTGGGACTCATTTGACGTCCCGTACCAAAGACGCACACTTAACTTGTACATGTACTGATGTCATATTATCCGATATCAAATTTGCTATAATTATGGTAGCCTATCGATGTATTTCAGATATTAGCAGAAATATTAATTTTTAGAAACAATTCATCTAATTTTTTAGTTTATCTGTATTTTAGACGCTCTATTCTATTGGTATCCTAGGACCTAGATATATATTTCTCACTTCAATAAGGTTTCCTTCAGTTATACAGTAGAATTAATTTTTATCAAAAACTGAATAAACGATATATCAGAGCTAACTCAAAAGGTTCAATTACTAAACTATGTTTCAGGCGTTGTTCTGGTACCGAGTGCAGGCGGTGGAATCATGCTTGGGGGATATGTAGTAAAAAGACTTCGTTTGAACATGACTGGATGTGCAAAGGTGGCGCTCGTGAGCAATATAATAGCGATACTGCTGTTCGTAACCGTGTTTCTGATATTCTGCCCCACAACGGACATTATTGGGTAGGTTAATATGAGATTTTTCACACCTTTACTGCTAAGTAATTCGATTTTCATACATACAGTAACTGCTTTATGAGCTTGGCAGGCAATCAATTATTTTATGTTGAGCACAGCCAGTGGTCTAGATTTTTGGAACGGGTTCTCGCGCAAACAATAGGTTCCGTCTTTTCAGAAAATATATATTTATGCCACTGCTTAAATTGCATTAACATAAATTTAATACATAACTTTGGAAACTTGAAATATAACTGTTAACTGTAGTGCACGTAATTCATCTGCTGCGGTCATCCAAAAACAAAACAAGAATGCTGGACTCCTCGCCGTCGTAGGGTGGTAGGTGGTTCACGTAACCGCTGGTCGGTTACGGCTTCCTCCACCATCAAGTCCATGAAGATTGCGATGAGTGATGACAAACACACACTTATTGAGCAATCTTTTTGAACTAGTAACCGTTTTATCAGCCATTAAGTTTCTTTGACTACGTGAAACACGAAATATTCAGAGAAAGACTCAGGGCTTCAAAACATAAAAGCTACGCACAGAATGTCTAATGTCAATGTATTCACTTGTTCATTGTGTAGCTGTAGATATTTCAATGAAAATTTGGGGAAATACATTATTTTGTTCAGTTGTAAATTTTAAATTAACTTCTGTAGTGGTTTCCTTACATAAATAATTTTAATTTAGCAAAAAAGCCTAAACAGTATATATCAATTTTGCAGGATAAATGGTCAGACATGCGGAGAATGCTTATGTGGAACAACAGCTTACGAACCAATATGTTTCTCAGATGTAACCTATTACAATCCATGCTTGGCGGGGTGTACTGATGTCGTTTACTCCAATGATTCACAGGTAATAAATGAGCTAGAGATCACTTAATCACTTGGAGTCGTTCTCCAAATTTCCTTTCGCTTTAAAGGCAAGCAATATGATTTAACGTCCAAATTAGATTTCATGCAAAACAATTTGCTTGCGTTTCAATAAACTTAACCGGTCACCCGCATTCGATCGTGCATGATGAACATTGATTTTCGAGTGTGAAATATAGCATATTTCACGATTTTCTCCCAAAACACAAATCTTACAAACTCAACTTTGAATAGAATTATTTCCTCTTTGTTTTACATAAAAATATGAATTTAGTATATAGTAAAAGGGCTAACCCATAAATTATGGAAAAAAATAAAAGTTACAACACTTTCATGAAAATATCCAAGCGCCTTTATCTACCTTTGCACAAATTTATTTCCAATGAATTTGGTTCTGCAAAAATGGAACTTGATATACCAGTAAGTCGATTGTGAGGCAGATTGTGTTCGAAATTTTAATGCTTGTTTTTGTTATTCAGGCATCAGCGATAGAATACCTCAACTGTTCGTGCAGTTCAACTGCTAAAGTCGGAATCCCGGGAATGTGCGAGAGAGACTGCACAGGATATTTCATCCCTTTCATGGCGTGCTTGTTTCTGGTGACAATGGTGAGTTATAATTTATTCAAGTACCGTAATTTACAGAACACAACCTTTTCTCGAAAATCGACCATGCGCTGTATAACCCGATGCGCCTATTACAGTGGTTCTCTAAGTTGATTAACCGGGCCGTAATTGGCCCGCAGTTTGGGTACCACTGGCCTGCTGTATGAATCAGGTAGTGCTTTTATGCTTTATTGCAGGGGTGGGCAACATACGGCCCGCTGACTGTACATCAGTACACTATGACATTACATTATTACACTTTTAGTACATTATGATAAATTTATTTGTTGTTTTTGGTCTCTATTTTTTTAGTAGTTTAAACTTTACTCGAAACGCGAATTATAATTTTCTTCCTTGCATTAGCGAATGAATATGTGATTAAGATATTGAATACTATTCATGTTATAATCCGGCCCGCCGAGAACTTCATTTTCCCACTTCTGGCCCGCCGACTAGAGAAGTTGCCCACTCGTGATTGCATACTCTCAAAACATGTACCGGCGGTAGTGCTTTATAAATGGTTGCGTCTGATAACCTGGTGAGCCTTATTTACGAATACAGTAGTTACAATCTAAACAATTTATTTACAATGGGCATTAGAATACTTTGCGCCTTATGGTTCGTTGAATTCAATATCTGTTATATATGTATGTTTACACACCGACAATTCTTCTTGAGTCCATTTTTTCCTTTTGGACATGAAGTTCCAATTGGGAACACGTTGGGTATATGAGGATATATTAGAATGACCGCTGACATTACTGAAGTGTATGATAATAAAGCTTCAATGGGTCAAGACAAACTCGCTACAATCGACAAATCTTAGCGACGGCTAATTTAACATCGGTGGCCATATTTGGCAGTAATAAACTGACACGGATTTTGGGATATTCCAGAAGAAAAAAAACTGTGCTATGTAACTCTTGGTATTTTGCGACTTAGCTCCAGCCACGAGAGAGAGAGAGTTTATTTTACTTGTTTCAAACCACTAAAGACACAATATATGCATATTCATTTAAATAAACAGATGCTTTCTTCTCTGTACAATGAGCCATACAGACGATATTTCCTGACAAATTAACTAATCTAAAGTTGATATTTTTTTAGGCCACTGCAAGTGCCCAGACACCTGCATTAATGGTCACTCTACGATGCGTCAAAAATGACGAACGACCTTTTGCAATGGGACTTCAATTCGTGTTCTTCAGAGCGCTTGGTGAGTTTATGCGATCTTAAAATTAGAATAAAATGTTTCCTCTCTTGATATCTAGTTTATTTGGAGGCATGATGTTGTTGAATTTCGGATTCGTAAAATGAAATCATAACAGAAAAGCTTTGTGCCGATGGCAGTCAAAACTTGCGGTTTCACTGATATTGGGTTATGTTTTCAAATCCTCTGACACTGAAAAGAAATTTTTGTCAGCTTGAAATATGAGGAGACAATCATGATCGATTATAGGCCACTGGGTCTGGCTTAAAAGAAATCCACGACCTTTTTTCTGACAGGGTTAAGTTTAGGGTTACAATTCAAACTTTTCTTTGCTCGCGGCCTACTAAACAAATAAGAAATATTTTGCAGCACACTTGTAAGAACAAAGTTAGCTGTAAGTAAATTTATTCTGCGAATGTGAATGCGACGTATGTGTCTGTTTTGAGAAACAATTGGAACCTGGTTCCGTCGCTTCCTCTTTAGCTTTTAATTTCAGTCAGAGCAGAAAGTTCGTGTTCACCAATGATTGAATAGATTTTACAAGCAGTTAGCCAAAACTCGTCCAAACTTGCTATCCTGTTAGCCTAACTCAACGCGCGAGTCAACAACCGACATGGTGGAAGGAGGACGTCCTTTTTGAAAATACATTGTAACATAACAATAATAACGTGACAATCACCCTTACTACAATGACAAGCAGTTGCAATACATTAATATTATCAGTTTAATAATGAATAGTGCGCACTCAAGTCTGACAAGCTTGCCGTTGCATTTATGTCTATGCTTTATTTTCTGAAATTCCAAAAAGCTGCGCGGCAGGCACACTTGAAAATCTCTCACGGCACACTAGTATGCCGCGGAACACAGTTTGAGGAACGCTTTACATCCAAATAGTTGACGGCGAAATAGAAAACACTGATCTTAAATATGTCAAACCATTTTTTGGTTGGTACGTTCAAAACAATTACCTACAGCAAATAGAACTTGTCCTGAAACTATATTATGCGCTCATCCATAGCATCCGAAAATATTACTGTAATATTCACAATATTCAATTACATAAAAACTCGGTGATATTGTATTTTCAGCATACATTCCAGCACCCATATACTTTGGCGCAGCCATAGACAGAGCTTGCCTCATCTGGAGAGGATCGTCAAACGGATGTGAACAAGGCGAGGGAGCTTGCCAGGTGAGCATTCAATTTTACTACCATTTTACAATGTGCTTTACAGACTTTACAGACAAAAATCATTTCACTAGATGGGCTTATTGTCTTATTGTGATAACTGGCGGCAACAACTGGATTTGTCAGGTAAGAACGGGCTTATGAACTGTGATTTACGATTCAGAAATGATAGTAAAATCGCATGAGGAGAAAGGGATATTATAATATGCCTCGTATGCTTAGATTTCGATAGATTTCATCTCGTGTCAATGGCTAACTCTTAGATTCGCTCATTGTGCTAAGTGTCTACCAACTCATTGATAGTTACTTTGTTCTACAGGGAGCAGTAGAGAGCTTCATTTCTTCACATGATAATTGCCGAATATAAACAGTATCTCATCATAAAAATGGGGGGCTTTTACGATGATGCTTGACTGCTGGACTAACAAACAAGCGGCGGTACCCTGAACATAAAATGCTAAGATAACTCTACTTTTATTTCTCAACAGGTTTACGATTCCAGTCTGTTTCGTTACATCTACTTCGGTCTTGCAGTTTCGCTCAAATTTACTGCCGGTCTATTCGTACTCCTAACATGGGCATTGTGTCGAAGAGAGTATACCAAGCATGACCATACCACCAAGTATAGAAAAGAGCGCCAGAAGAAAAAGCACAACAAAGATCGCAAAGCAAATGGCACTAAGGGAAGTCAAGGATCGAATACATATGGTGCTGTGTATGGAAGATCTCAAGTAGACAATATGGGAAGTAAGTGAAGCTGTTGCATTAATTTCAATAAATAACGTTTTTTTTAAATGAATTAGACTGCTCCATTGACTGCCTGCCCTTGTTCCACCTAAAAGATATTTTGTTATTACGCTCGTTCTTGTAAATTGCAACTCCGCAGGTTTCTAACGAAATTCCTGGAAGTTTGTACTTGATAAGTTTCGCAATCTTGAATTTCCTGCGCCTCTTATTTACTGATGTACGCAGCAAGCTAATGCATCAGTAATTTATTGATAAGTTTACTAGTCGAGGGCTCAGGTAAGGACCACTTTAATAGAAAACTTGCATAAATGGACAAAAAATAGTTGTACGTTCAAAAATAATGTCACTGTCATTTCTCGTTATTATCAGGTGCGGCACTTCCAGGAATCGAAGAAGGAGAGTATTCTGGCGGAGGGAGCCAAAGAGCAAGTATAAATAACAACAACTCGACGAAAAGCCGACCGTCCTCGGTTCCTGCTTCCATAGACATCTTACATAACAGTACTCTGACGAACATTGTTTCAAGTAGCGAAAGCGAGAGTTCTATGGGTAGTGGTGGGAGTCAAAAACCGCTTATGTCAAGCAGAGGAGCAAAGTCTAGGCCTATTGACCCTGTCAGATCAACAACACCAGGGCTGAGTGCGAGCGATCTTGAACTAAAAGTCGTGCCTGAAAGCCATTTCGATTATAATATGCAAAACTTAGACGTCACCGATGTTGCTTTATGAAGCAGTTAGTTGTTATTTAAATTTTTATACAAAGTGTTAAAAACACTGTTCCTTTATAATCTATGCTTATTTACTCTCACCACGCAGTTTTGCGTGATTATGCCTTCCGGTTTCATGAAGTCGTCCAGATGTCTGTAATTGTGATATATGATATGCTGCTGCCCAATTCTAGTAGAGTTTCAATTAACTCTAGAATTAAAAAAGAAAAGAAAATGAAGCATTTTTGAAGCGCCATCAAATTACTTCTTACTTGTTTACATACCCTCGTGTATTTACATTTGACCCCGAAAAGCATCCACTGGTATGTACAGAGCTATCGTAGGTCGTAGAAATGGTGATAGGAAACAAAAAGTAAGACTTTTTATTACGCTACCATATGAATACTTTTTTTTTTCTTTATCCACATACAACGCGTATTTGTACGCAAAACCACTGATACGAACAAAGCTATCTCGACTATTGTTCATCTGAGATACTAATACCTCGATCAGTCGAAATATTACAGAAATAAATTTCAAAAGTTTCCAAAATTACAGTTATTTGTGAGCTGTCAGATCTGAATGCAAGCGGATAGTGATCTCTTGAAAAATGCAATTTAAAATTTCCATTACTATTCATGTAACGCTGACAATCGGTAATTTTATATGTAATTTTTCATTCTTTTCTCAATTTTATTTATATACGATTGTTAATGCAAGAAACTATGATATTATTAATCAATCTATGTATTTTATGTCTCTTTTTAATGATTTATTTCTACCTCAAATATGTGGAATAAGTATGCACGACGAAGATAGCTACACGTCCAATGTGTCCCACAGCAAGAATTTGCAGCAGAATGACGCATAAGCCAGATCTTACCAAATTGCATGAAAGTGATTGAAACTAGTGCAAGCAAAAACGAACCATTTGAAAAAACGCGAGTACCGTGAAACTATATTCTCTTTTATCTACACCTGTATTTACTAACTGCACGTTAAAAAACCTAATATTTCATTCCTCGCAATAGCTAGGGCAATTTTTAATATGTCGTGCTTTCAACCCTCGTATGTACATGCTATTTTTTGAAACATCAGCTCGCAATTGTCTGGCTAATTTATTACACTCTGCGTGAGATGGTGGGAATTGGACTAAATTCACATTCAAGAATAATTGGCCCCGTGTGTGTGTCGGGATATTAAAAACGTTTCCAAATCTTCGTCGTGCGCATTCTATTTAAACATAATTTTTGCATTAATTTTTATGCGTTGTCATATTTGAGAATAAAATGTCATAACTTTATTTCGGGCCGCCAAAAAATCGAGATATCATAAAATATATTTAGACTAAACATAGTGGAATGCCATTCACAAGGACAGTGTTAACTTGATTGTAATGGCGTAACAAATTATATAAAACAAACTTTATCCAATTTTTTTGGTGACAGTTTGTATTTAATCTTAAATGGCAACAACTTCGTTCAATAATTTAACTCATACCCATATGATATGTTTAATCTAAGTTTGATAATTGTCTGTAACACTAAATTTAATACAATCTTTATTTTATTCATGTACGCAAGGGATATCGATACATTAACCTATTGTGTTTTATCAAACATAAAATATGATTATTAGGGGCGACAAGTACAAAACTATCCCCATGCCATATCTAGCACACAGGATGTACGCCATTTATAGCAACGACTTATCACAATAGTTGACTATTGTTCTTCAACTCATGCTAGGTTCGAACTCACACATGTCCTATCCTAAAAGTATGTCTTGTTTAATCAGACAGACATATTAAAACAGACCAGTAGCAATGACCTATTATTACTGTTTGAGCTTAATGTCTTACAACCTATTTTGGGGCTCAGACAGAAGAGCATTTGTTGTTTTTGCGCCTGAATTTCCAAGTTACTCAGGATTGCATCTAAATATCGTTAATATATTTAAATATTAATCCATAATATTACTATATTACGCCTACTGTTTAGCATTCCACAGTGCAATGAAAAATGTACCGGTTTGATATTGGAGTGCATGCGAACAAGTATCGGTATTTCCAGAGTTAATGGCAGAGCGAGATTGCGTTTATATAACGATAACCAGTGTGTGTGCAACTCGGTTTTTATGATTTATCGTTTCTTTCCGACTTTTTCGTAATTTCTAATCTGATTTTGTCATTCTTGTATTCATTTTTTGCAATTTTGCACTTTGAATAAAATTTCAATTATTGATTATTGAATAATTATTGAATTATTGAACTGGTTTGACGCTTACATTGAATACATGTTTAACAAGAGCAGACGGTGGATCGATACAACCAACTTGAACCCAGCGCCAGGTATTTCGGGTAATGTTGCTCAATGTCGACTAATGAATGGGCTCCGTGCATAATTATCAGTAAGGAAGTATTCGGAATAAAATTCACAAACCTAAATTTCATAGTATTTTTCTGAGCGTTGGCCGAACGAGATTATTCTAATATGTCTTAGATTTCGAAGGAGGAGCGAGTATAAACTTCTGCACAACACCGTTAATGCAATCGATAGGTAGACTGCAAAAATACAGATAGTAGCCGAAGATTTTCCGTATTCACTCCAAAATAGAGGAAAACCGTCAGTCTCTCGCCGAGCATCACTTCAGGCTTTACCATTTGCTTCGAAATTTTCAGTGATTGAAGATTATATTTTTGCTAGAAGGCTATTACCTTTATTTATTTCAAATATTCCGGAGAGTTTTATGGGATTCGTCTTTTTATGTGCTATGTATAAGTAAAAGAAGATTCTAGGGCTGCAGCAAGACTTGAAGACTGAACTGAAAGAACTATAGCAGTCATCTATTACCTCAATTAATGCGAGTTTTAATATACGAATATACGATGTCTCAAAACACGTGCCACATTTCTTCTACTGCTACCAGATGTTGAATAAAATGTTGAGAGGGGGGGGGGGGTGAATGTTTAAGTAAACAAATGAAGTGAGATTCGTGTCATGTTACGGGTTAGAATAGATATAAAACTTTGGGAAATATGAAAGGGAAAGGGTTAAAGTAAGATTCATAGTATGTATGTTCTGGGTTAGGACATTTAGATTTACTTTGAAAGAGAATGGGAGTAAGCATTTGAAGTAAGTTTCATACAAATTACAACTAAAACAAGTATGCTAGAGAAACTACATGTGTGGTAAAAATGTGGGCAAGTCAAACGATAGTTTACATTTAGTTCTTAATACATAATGTAAATATTGCGAGCGATATCACATTAATACATATAAGCAAGCCTTTCGAAAAAGCAAACTTACAAAGTGGGATGCAATCTGAAAAACTTTAAAAACACTACTTTGGACACGTGGTCAAAATAAATATTCTCACCATCTCTGAAATTCTTCAAACGTTGATCCTTTAGAGTGTAGCTCCAGAGTGACAAATGCTTCGTCTTCCACCTAAATGGTGCCACTGCATCTTTTGATGAAGTAGATCCAATCTTCTACGTGAAGTTTCCTTCTTGCTGATTTTTCAATACAATGTACTATATTAGATTATAATATCTAAAAACACGAACAAAACATATGAAATTCAGAACAATTACTGAATTTCATATTTTCTGAACAAATTGCAAACGAATATAAGAACCTTAACAAACAAAACAGTAAATCCCCAAAGATTTCCAAACCCTAAATACAACAAACTTGATCTCTTGAAGACCACTTATGAACATCGGTAAAACAACTAACAAACGAATGTACGAACATAAAAAACAAAAACAGTAAATTCAGTAAAACTGTTATTCTGCATTTATTTAATTGCAGAAGGGTCAGGTTAGTTCCCGCGATCAAAAAACATAAAAAATTGAATACAAGAAATTTAAACTTTTGAACATCGGTAAAACAACAAACGAACGAATGTACGAACATAAAAAACAAAACAGTAAATTCAGTAAAACTGTTATTCTACATTTATTTAATTGCTAAAGATTCAGTTTAGTTCCGACGATATGAAAACATTGAAAAAATAAATACAACAAACATAAACTCTTGAACATCGGTAAAACAACGAATATAAGAACATAGTAAAACAAAATGGAAAATATATGTCATTCTACTCTTTTCAAAATTGTTTGAGATTCACAGTTAATTTTAACCGAATATAAGAACATAATCCATCAAAACAGTAAATTCAGTGCTATTTTCAATTTTTCAGACTGCGAAGATACAGTTTAATTCGGACAATCTGAAAACATTGAATATAACAAACATAAACTTTTGACCATCGGTAAAAAAAATTTGTAAAAGAATATGAGAACATAATAAAACAAATTAGTAAATTCTGCGTTAATCTACTTTTTTCAAACTGCAAGAGATTCGGTTTAGTTCTAACGATCTAAGAACATGGAATAACGGTACAGCAAATTTAAACATTAGTAAAACAAGTTGGAAACGAGTATAAGAACATAATAGACCAAGACTTTTTTTTCTATTCTACTTTTTTCAAGTTGCTAGAGATTCAACTATTGTTTAGTCCAGTTTGGGGCTGAGTAGCCATTTTTCGTTAGCAATGGGGCAAGGCTCTTGTCATTTATACTTCCGGGGTTACGAACCCCAGTTCCAAATTTAGTAAAAGTTAAGAGTCAAAGAAGAGAATCGTAATCGTTGGAAATTTTTGTCTGTGGCTTTTTGTTATACCAACGCAAAGTTCAAATCTTTTAAACCAATCGCTGGATTGGAGTATGAGGTCGATGTTCAGGTGGAATAGAATCGTATGGGACTCTTATCACATTCCAAGACTATGGTATAAGCATGTCGTCTATGTTTAACACTACGATGCAGATAATGAATTGGTCAAATTCCTAATACCATTTGCGTAAAGCGATATTGACGGCATATTAGGGCGACAAACTTTTACGAACATTAATTAAAGAAAAATGAAATAAGGTTCACCAGGGGGTTCAGTATTTGCGATGAAAATGTGAATTCGTTTTGATAAAAGTAAATGCATTCGGTTTATGAAAAGCGGACATATGAACATGGCATTATAAGTCCGTAAGCATATGATATATAATATATGATATATAATTTACCACTGAAAACGAAAATTCCTAAACAATTTGAAAAAATAACAAACGTAAACCATAACAATTTTAAAACAACATGGAATATGTATTTACTGCGTATTCTGGCAAACGTAGATACAGAAATAACCTTTGCGCGGTATTTGAAAAGCAGCATAATTCCGAAGTTTCGGTTAAAAATTCTTCACAATATTTTAGATTATGGACAACAGCCTTTAATATTTAGCCATTAATATTTCCGTCGTTACAACTGTACCAGAAGAATTTAACAGCGAAAATCTAAAGAATCTATTTATTTAAGAATAAAAAGAAGTCATAACAAAACTCATTGTCAAAAAAAACTGTTGATTTCAATTCAAAATTTTGAAACATCATAATAGGGATATACGAAAATCGCCAAATCTACCCAAGAAATGGCGATTGTTTTTTCGAAATTTTTTTCCAAAATTAGTGCAATTTTATCTTTAAAAAGTAGCCTCATACGCAGGACAGTGACATTTACTTTCTTCTAATTTTTAAAATTTTATGTCTTCACCAACTCACCAGGACAAAATATGTTCAAAACCAGTTCTCTTGTTATATCAAAGGCGCACAAAAACCCAAAATGCGCACTATTTGAACCTTTCATCAATAATCAAAGGAAAAGTACACAAAACATGAATGGTGATAAATCGAAAGCTTTATAGTTGGGATAAATTTTATCTAGATTAATATTTTAGTGGTAGCGAACCAAAAATTGTTTCAGTATTTACAGAACACTTTAATATTTTTTTGTTTTACAGTGGTATTTCTTCACGTGTCCACTTCTACTGTTGCTGTGTGCAAATCTTTCACCACACACTTCACACTTGTAAGGTTTTTCACCTGTGTAAATATAAGAATAATAATATAAAATGGACATAATGCCATAAAAGGCTGAAAAGACTAATTGAAACTAACAACCAGATCGTTGTTTACTTATTGGAATACATGAGAGACAAGGTTTCTTGTGATGGTTGAAATAAAGGCAACATATTATAAATAATAAAGAATATTTAATCAATGAAAACAAAGTCTACTGGTCATTTTATTGACGTTTCGGTTATTTTTCCATAAAAATTAATCAAAAGCGATATTGATCAATATTATTAAAATGTATCAAGTCAAGTATAAAAATAGCTTTGTATTTGCCGAATACTATTTTTTCACAACGATTGTCTAATAGGAGCGGATATTTCAAAAACCATATCTGGCGCATGGTTTGTCAAATTTGTAAACCCTGTCTTGGCAATGGGATGAAAAAAAATCATACGTACAAAAAACTTGTCGCAAATATTAGAATAAAATGTCAATAAAATCCTGTACAGTTATCAAAAGCTTTTATTTTCCACGCAAATATTTAATTTCCGAGTTTGTCGAACAAGTTAGAAAAACAATTTCACACTGTAGTGCTGCCTGTAGACATGCCTACATAATGTATTAATAATAATGATTGCCTCTTATGACAGCTAATTTGTTGCAAGTGTTCGAGTCGCTAATGTCCATCCAGATTTAAGAATCTGTAATTGGAATTGCTTATATAGTGAGAAGTTAAAACTTTCTCCAGATCTACAATCGTGATCCATGTAATCTTTTCATGTGCTGTTAGTAATCAGGGATGGCGAACCACTGACCCCGCGGGTCACAAAGTGACCCGTGTCGTTTTATTCGTGACCCGCCAAGGCACGAATAAAATTTAAAAATAAACTGCTGATATATCAGTGATAAAAATTGATAAAACCGGCCTTAAAGTAATCTAACAATAACTAAACTATTATAATGTACCGTCAGTTGGGCAGTCAGGGCTGCGATCGCTCATTTAAATTGTTAAGTTCTGTGCCGTTATGGAAGTTTTCAAAACGCTTAATGTTGGACGCATGTTTGCATCGCTGTGTATCGTTATTCAGCTATTGGTTCTGACATCGTTTATGACACAACAATGCAATTGATCTGTTCATTTCTCGCAACGTGTTGTTTCTTTCGGAAGTACATCTGCAGACTGTTTTAGGGGTTATAAGAGAACTAGATGTTTCTTTGCATTTTATTAGTTTCTCGCCTACAATGGCGTTGAGAAAGCAAAAATCGTCCAGACTCGAAATAAAAACCTAGAAATCTGAAATAACAATGGGGCAGTGTAAAAGTGCCTTGATGTGCTTGAAAGCTGATTGAAAAATATAAAACTATCAGAGTTGAATTACCTCTAATTTCTTGGTAACCGTAAAATAATTTGCCGCATCATCTCAAACGTTTTCGTTTATTCATATGCGTGTTTTCGTACTATAATTTTATAAAATCCAATGCCATAAAAAGTCCCTGATAGAAGTCCTGCATAAGTTAGGGTTACCATATTTGAAAAGCAAAATTCCGGACAGTGCATGACTATTTTCATGAGACCATATATATATATTCGCTACCGAAATGCTAAGGCCGCAAACGTTGTACGATACTCATGCTAAAGCGCCAGCTACCGAAATGAAAAGTATTGCATTCAGTCACAAGCAGAATCTCATGCCAGGCAGCTAAGCACTCTCTAAATATAGCTACGGACGTTCATTGAAAAAAAATCTCAACTTCAGAGTAAAAAATAATAATGAGAATTAGGTTGTGCCGAAAAGGAAGAACAGCAATTACATGCTAAAAAAAACAAATCAAAGACACGCTTGTAAGTCAAGTCACTACAAATTTACTTTTCTGACCACGCATAATTTTCTGAAGATCTAATTTCGAAAATGAAAAAATTTCACTACAGCGCAAATATCAAATTTTGAGTTAAATCTCTAATTATATGGGCGAAAATCGCCTGCTTTTATATACTGTTGGAATGTTCTAGTAATTTTCGCAGCATCTAACCAATTCGGATTCAGCAAAACGGTCAATAAGTTCAAGAAAGTTCTAAGTGATAAACATAATTGGTAAGGAAAACGCCCTGTTAATAAGTCGAAATGAACTTATACTTATTATAATTCCATACACCCGTGTAGTAAAAAATATGTGCACGGTTCGAAATAACAATGTATGCGCAGTGTGCACAGTATGATTGCAGATGCAGTAAAATTCCGGACATTTGAGCATTTTTTAAATTCTTCCCGCACGCAAAATTTTGACCCTAAATATCGGACATGTCCGGGATTTTCCGGACGGTATGGCAACCCTAGCATAAGCATAGCACAAAACTACACCACCACCTACAGAAGGTTATAGGATTTCAGAAGTTTTTCATAGATACATACATTGATTAAATATCTGTGACCCACTCACTTCAGTTCCGCGATAAAAATAAAATTTCTGACCCATTCATTAAAAAGGTTCGCCATCCCTGTGTTAGTTCTTGAGAATTCAAACTGTATCTAATAAGAAGCTATGCAAAAAGTAGACTTAATACTATGATCATGTGATTTATCGTAATTTGAGTTTAACTGAAGGAATAATCCTTATGACCATGGAACAATCGTGTTGGCAGAAAAGTGGTCAACTTAGCATTTATAACAGAGTCCAATTGGAAACATGTTTAGAGCAGTGGTTCTCAACCTTTTTTAGTTTGTTGAAAAATAATTAATCCAAAATGTCAAAAACACAAAACACAATTAAATGAATGCAATCACGACAAAATTGCAATTCGCAAACAGACAATTAAATTTAATGAGAAATCTGCTGTTGCCTATTTGATATTATACTAGTTACAAACGGCTCCAATAAAATTTCTACAAATCGAAGTAGAGCGCACGATTTCTCTGTTTGGTCTTAGTACGAGATTGAATGCTTGTCGCATGATTTTTACAAAATTTTACAAAAAATCTGCAGTAATTTAACGGCTTTGTCACTGAGCTCGGAATATTCTTTTCAAGCGAAAAAGACAAATCTTTATGTTTCGACATTATCGTGGTATCACAGGAAAACTTAACCATCGTTAAGCGTTAAGATTGTCTGATTTATTATATCTTGCAAAAGAATTAACTAATTAACCTAAATTATATCGTCAAATTACGGAATGCGCGAACTTCTCAATCAGTTTAAAATTTAACAAGGCAAGTACTATGTTCTCTCGAACTTCACTGTAATGATGTTCGCCATTATACCATAAGGTTCTATTTGCTACAGATCCAATCATAACACATCCCATACAAGACAACTTGTCCAGCGATCTCAAAATAAATATAATAATTCATAATACAGATTCATTATACAAAATTTTGTTAAAAAATATAACCATGGAATTGAATGGTATTTTATGGTAGATTTCTCATTATTTCTAGAAGGTGGCCCTTAGAAATAAAATCCTACATAAGCTTAATATGACTACTTTTAGTACCGAGATGTTTCGCCAATACACATCAACTAGAGATAAACTGATATCACTTATTTTGCCCATTATCATCCGATACCAACGAAAACGATATTTGTAGTGAACATTAAACCAGATTGAGCACCAGGTATTTCGGAACATAGAAAGCGGTATTTGTGATTTAGATGCAAAAATGACGTGTTGATGCAATCACTATAAACGGTTTGAAGTACTTGAATTAATTGCATCCCAAATTGCGTTGCCTTTCGTTAAGCACAGCATAAACTTGGTGCCATATTTTTTCATTCTAAACAACATAAAATCCGTTGAGTTATTTATCCCATTCTTTTGTTCGCAATCACCATGCAATATTCAAAATGTTAATAACAATATTTTAGTATCGAAAATAACGAATTGCGATAAGACGATAAATACTTAAAACAGGTAAGAATCAAGGTAAAATTGGTTCATTCGAAAGGTGACGCATTAGAGCGAAAACTAAACTCGAAAACAGTAATAACTTGTGGCCATATTAAATAACAATACACCAACACAGGGGTTCCTAACCTGCGGCCCGTATCATTATTCTCATTCATTACAGCGCACTATAAGGAGGCTATGGATTGTGTCATCACAGAAAACAGATGAATTATGTACATATTGTTACGTATCTACCTTCGGAAATGCACTTTATAATAGAATAAAAGAATTGTAAAACATTGTTGTTGTTGAGTATAATTGTATTTTTCCTATATTGTCAAATTCAGTCATAGCTCTCGCTAAGAGAGAAGTCGCGACCTCAAACTTACGAATGCTATCCATTAACTATGTCTTAGAATGGAAAGAATAATGAATACAGGAAGAAAATTAATCATCAGTATCGGACTAATAAATAAATTAAATGGTATAAATACATGGCAATAATATTCTGTGTTCCGTCGCATCTTTTGTGGTAAAAATTGCGGCCCTTTTACTTGGGAAGTTACTTCTGCGCTAACCACTACAAATTTCATTTTTCTCTTGAAATCAAATATATTTCTGGAAAAGCTAATTGAAATATCATGCGATAATAGCCGATTGCAGATAAGTTAAATCATTTTTACCTGAATGTGTTCTTTGATGGCCTTGTAAGTGATGGCTTAGTGCAAATCTTTCACCACAAACATCACATTTATAAGGCTTTTCACCTGCAATAAAATTATATATAATATTATTCTACCGAAAATCAGATCAATCTGTGTGAAACATGTGATTTGAAAAAACAAATTATTCGGGAAATAAGGTACTTCAGGCAAATACAGAATTAAGGATCGAAAATTTAATAACAAATTGGAAATCTTAATGTAACAATTCTATCATTTAGAGCAGTGTTTCCCAAACTTTTTTCTGCCTGCGCCCCCTTGGAAGACTTTTTAACTAGCAAACGCCCCCCTGACAAAAAAAGTCAAGGCAAGTTTAATCTCCTTTCCTCATTAGTATAATGTGAAGGTTGAGCCTAGTGAAATGCCACTAGATTGAGAATATCTGACTTCATTTCAGTCAAAAAAAGTCTCAAGTCTCCTCGGTTGACACTGTCAAGGTCATTGCACCAAATACACACTCTACCAAGAATGAGCTGGCAAGACCAATAAAAATACTTTTAATCTGATCTCACACGTGAGGATATTTCAATTTGATTCTTTTCCCAAAAAGATGGAACACTGAGCGACTGAACATGGGTTTAAAAATAGAAACCCAATGGTAGTGGTGCATGTTCGCTTCTGGAAATTCAGAGTTATCTAGAACAGGGGTCAACGAACTTTTTTGACCGCAGGCCGGGTATGACTCAAACTGTGCTGAAACGGGCCGGACGAATATTTTTGTCAATGCAATACAATAAATTTCAAAAAGTTGGGAAATTGATTCAATTTATTCAATAATATGAATTCTACATTTCTGACGTCTTGAATTTTAAATTCTATATTGCAAAATATAGATCAAGAACATCATAGCAAAACAAATATACAAGATTTCTAGGAAACTATCCTAAGGTTAGCTGTTAGCAAAACAATTGCAGTCATGAATATCCGCATGTAAGCAGTAAAAAAGTCAACGTGACTTGTACTATTGGCTCAAAATGCAAGTTCGACGTTCATTTCAACACGAGAAACGTACACAGCAACAGTTTCGCCGAAAGCAGGCGCCACGAGTGCATCCATGGCAGAAAACGTTGCGTACCTGTAGAAAATTTTAGCCTATTTTTAATCACAGCTATTTCTAGACAATTTTTGATTACTGCAATTAAACTAGAAGGCAAAATGATGATTGACTTATTTGATTCACACTTAAATTTCGGAATCACGACCAAAAATTAACGAATAGCATTCAAAATCGCGAAAACGAGGTATTGTTTGAAACCACGACTAAAAATCTGACCGGATGACAAAAGTGTCTTTAGCGAATGCGAAAGGGTTTATTGTCACGTCACTTTTTGCATCTTGCTGATTGGCCTATGTTACGAAATGAACGCGGAAGTCGATGCTCGGGTAAATTTCTCTTGAAAAAAAATTCGTTATTCTAATCATCTAATACGCGTATTCAAGCGTGGTGGCTTGCATACTTACATGTATCCATCTGTTTAAATTCTAGTTTTGGATTCCATCGTCGTTCGCAAGGTATATAAATAAATATGCAGTGTGCATTTGACACACATATAACATTTAGGCTGTGTGCGTGTGTTACTTCAAAAACAATACCTGACATCAAAATATTCGAATATTGAATGAAGGAAACAAATGAAAATATGTTTTGAAACTATAAATGTGTGCTCATATAATCCAAGGTAAGGTCATAGTCACTAAGTTAAGCACTTGTTTAAATAGTTGGATATATCTGAGGATAATGATATGCATGGAATTATTCAAAGCAAGTATGTTTAAACTGGATAGTCAGATTTAGGTGTAACTGATGACTTGTTTAAAGACAGGCGTCCACCATGCAGCATTAGGATGATAACAAGGTCGTATTATTTGTTTGGGTCATTTATTTTTTGCCAAGTGATTTAACTCAAATCACAGTTGCTTTGAGCATTTACCATGTTTATGCAACACCCCCGATGTTCATTCTGTCGCTATTTTAAAAAAAGAGCTGAAGTCAGGTTGAGTTTCAATAGTCATATCTATTGTTGCAATAAGTGATTTTACAAATAATCTGTTTCATAAAAGATGGATCCAAAGTTCACTAGATGCAAGTACCTTGTGGCATTTCGGCATGCATCTTCCCCAATTTATTATAACAGGGGTGGGACAAACTTCAAGTAAAGACATGTTTCCAGTGACTAAAACTATTTGTGATTTGATTCTTAAATAATGACACACTTCCATAGAGACTGGGGACTGTTTTGCACAAAACCTCAGGTTCCGAATTAATTATTTACAGTTCATGATTCCCGGCTGAATTATTTAATGAAGTAAAAACTGTGCGTAGTTCAATGTAGATTCGACTCTAGTAGATATATTATTTCATCGGATGCTATGTTGATGTTGAATTGTGATCTATAACATATATCACCGAATTCTGCATTGATTACAGAAAACGTTTACTGACAGTGTAACTTGAACAGAGGTAAATCAGTTCTCCCTAATAAAAAAAAAGTAGGTCCAATTTTGCTTCATTGGGAATTATACATTAATTGGTTCATTTGAAAAGTGATGCATTAGAGCAGGCCTGCACAACATGCGGCCCGCTAGATACTTCTGTGCGACCCGCGGGTGATTTAGAAACACGTCACTTCCCGGGTCTAACAATCGAAGCCGACATTGTTATGCAAGCGCGCCGCTACTCCGGTCATATTCGAAATCGTGAGATTTAGGTTTTGCACTAGTTTCAATAAATATCAAACTTTGTGTGAAATTGGTGTGCCCTTCGCGACCCCTAATATTTGTCGCTCGACCCTTCAGTTTGGGAAACTCTGATTTAGATATCTCAGTATTCAGACTGAATCACGCTTAAAACAATATCGGTATACAATCTTACACCCATTAGTGTATATTAGCAACCTATTAATAACCCCATTGTTTTTTACCAGCAGTTTATAAAACTGAAGTTTCTTTTTTGATTCAAATTTAGAACTTAAAAAACAAATCCTTCATTTATGAATGTTACAGAAATTCTCGCACAAAAGATTTTGCTTTTTACTGTTAAATTTCAAATAAATTGAAGCATATTTTGTAGAAAAATGTAATTTAACAGTCAAAAAAGTACAACAGAGGAAGATCTATTGCTACTAAACGGATTGTTTGTCTAGCCTACAATGGAAATATCCAATAATGGTAGATGTGACTAAATAAATTGTTATACATATATTTGGGACGATTTTACAAAACTGAACCCGAGTAAAATATTTTCCTGCAGTCAGTTTATAATGCAACAGGCAATACCTAATTCTAATAAAAAAGAAATATTGAAAATGAAGGGTGGGTTTTCAAGGTAGATGAACCACTAAATACATGTTTGCCATCTCATATGCAAAAATACTGTACCTTGTTTTTACTCAAGAAAATGAGATTCTTCATATTTTTAAGCTCCCCAGTAATGAAAGTGTTTCATTAAATTCAACTGTTTCACAATATTATTTTGATTTGTAGTTCATCTTGTGAAATATGTAAGTCGCAAAGTTTGCGGCACGCAGGGCCTTCAGATTTATGCTTGTGGCCCTCGTGGTATTTTGAGTTGTGCAGGCCTGCATTAGAGCAAAAACTAAACTTGAAAACAGTAATATCTTGACCAATGCCTATGGATAGTCGTATCTTAAGTTCGAGTAACCAGTTCGAGTAACCAAAAAAATTTTTTGCAAATTTCGTAATCGATTACAATCGATAATTGTAATTGTAAAAAATAAATCGAATTATAATCATTGTATTTTTGTTGTATGGCTTTTTATATCAAAAGATAAGAACTTAATAAAATTAATGCAATGACTGTGATAAGATAGATATAAATATAAAAGAAAGAGTATGCATCCTATCTTCGAATAGCTGGACTAAAACAGATACCCAGATTTGGTTACCCGCAGCTTGCCTTACCAAGTAATTTGTGTCAATTCTTGACACTTCAATTCTTCTTTTATTTTCACATGCTATTTTTTCTGGACCGAATAATCTTAGCTATGTTGATGTTGGATTGTGATCTATAACATATATCACCGACATGTCAACAACTTGGCCATCACAGGACCAAAAATTCTGCATTGATTACAGAAAACAAACTCCAAGTAAAGCCATGTTTCCAGTGACTAAAACTATTTGTGATTTGATTCTTGAAGAATGACACACTTTCATAGAGACTGGGGACTGTTTGGCACAAAACCTCAAGTTTCAGATTGAATATTTACAGTGCATGATTCCCGGCTGAATTATTTAATGAAGTCATAACTGTGCGTAGTTCAATGTAGATTCGACTTTAGTAGATATATTATTTCATGGGATGTTTTCTCATTATTTCATTGGGAGGATATGCACAGGCATCCAGTTGATCTAATGAAGCTCTAGAATAATATATCCTCAAGATGTGATACTAACATAGATAACCAAAACACACTAAGCATCATTTGAAACATTGTCTTTACAGCTTGCATTAGTATTATAAACAAGTATTTTATCTGCTATATAAATCTGATTAATTTGAAAACCAATTTTTGAATGAAGTTCCAATTTGTTTTCAATATGAAGGTGAATTATTCATTAACTCCATTATAGAATTTTGTTACCAGGTTGGAGAATGCCATAAAATTGAATGAACATGCCGGAGTGGAATCAGTTTCCTATCACACACCCCCCGCATGAAATTTTAGCGGATTTTCTACAGTCAAATTCGAGTATCAGTATATATAGTAAGCTATATAGATTTCTACCTATTCATAGAAGTGTCTCATTTTTGAATAACTTTCAATGTAATTTTTTAGTATTATTTGTCGATAGTTTGGGGGAAGCAACTAAAACAGTCGTGAAAAAATCTCACTAAATTCTAAATGATACAAATACAGTGATGGTTGAAACAAAATATTTCATAATGCCCTGATAAGTGAAGAAAACCATAACATGTTACTAACATCAGATACAAAAACGAAAGTATTTCAATTTGCTTCAAATATAGATGGAAAATTATCAGAATATGAATACTTAACGTATAGAACGGGTTTAAACAACCACAAAAGTTTTCAATTAAATGCTCAAAGCAAATATAGTTCTTTTTTTGGCAAATCAAATTATTCACTAGTTTTGCTACAGTAAATCTCTAAGTAACCAAAAACAGCTCATCAGTAGAAAAAACACTAATGAACAGATATCAGTTGCATAATTATGGACAAAAAATTAATACTCAGTTGGGCAATAATGATGGAGAGTTTAAACGTGGAGAGTCATAGAAGGTTAATTTCAGGTAACATTTCAAATTTATTTTTATGGAGTATTTCTCACCTCCTTATGTGTGTGACATCTTCCCAGTGCATTATTAGCATACTCAATTTACATTGTATAAAATGCGGCCCATATCATTATACAGCGCACTATAAGAAGGCTATGGATTGTGTCATCACAGAAAATAGATGAATTACGTACATATTGTTACGTATCTACTTTCGGAAATGCACTTTACAATAGAATAAAAGAATTGTAAAACATTGTTGTTGTTGAGTATAATTGTATTTTACCTATATTGTCAAATTCAGTCATAGGTCTCGCTAAGAGAGAAGTCGCGACTGCAAACTTACGAATGCTATCTATTAACTATGTTTTAAAATGCATAGAAAAGTGAATACAAGAAGCATATTAATCATCAGTATCGGACTAATAAATAAATTAAATGGTATAAATACATGGCAATAATATTCTGTGTTCCGTTGCATTTTTTGTGGTTAAAATGCGGCCCTTTTATTTGGGAAGTTACTTCTGCGCTAACCATTACAAATTTCATTTTTCTCTTGAAATCAAATATATTTCTGGAAAAGCTAATTGAAATATCAAGCGATTATAACCGATTGCAGATAAGTTGAATCATTTTTACCTGTATGTGTTCTTTGATGGGCTTGTAATTGACCGCTCTGTGCAAATCTGTCACCACAAACTTCACATTTATAAGGCTTTTCACCTGCAATAAAATTATATATAATAATATTCTACCGAAAATCAGATCAATCTGTGCGAAACATGTGATTTGAAAAAACAAATTATTCGGGAAATAAGGTACTCCAGGCAAATAGAGAATTGAGGATTGAAAATTTAATAACAAATTAGAAATCTTATTACAACAATTCTATCATTTAGAGCAGTGTTTTCCCAATTTTTTTCTGCCTGCGCCTCCTCGGATAACTTTTTAACTACCAAACGCCCCCCTGACAAAAAAGTCAAAGCAGGTTTATTCTCCATTCATCATCAGTATAATGTGAAGGTTGAGCCTAGTGAAATGCCACTAGATTGATAATATCTGACGTCATTTCCGTCCAAAAAGTCTCAAGTCTCCTCGTCTGACACTGTCAAGGTCATTGCACCAAATACACACTCTACCAAGAATGAGCTGGCAAGAGCAATAAAAATACTTTTAATCCGATCTCACACGTGAGGATATTTCAATTTGATTCTGGTCTTAAAAAGATGGAACACTGAACGACTGAACATGGGTTTGAAAGTAGAAACCCAATGGTAGTGGTGCATGTTCGCTTCTGGAAATTCAGAGTTATCTAGAACGTGGAAATGTTTCCAACAGAACAATACCACTATTATAGCAAGAATGGTCAATAAAATTATGGCAACAACTACTATATCCAAAGGGTGCATTCTTTTCCCAAAGGGTCAAAAAGACAAAATAAAGGTCTTCTTTGTGTCCAACAGAACAGTACCACTATAATAGCAAGAATGGTTACTCTAAAATGCACAATTGTATTTACAGGAATTTTCAAGTTCATTGCTTCAATTGACAATTTTAATGACGTCACACCACGTAGAAAGACGTAAACATTTCAATGCGCACCGCATCGCGTGAAAATTACCATTAATTTTACGTTTTTTTTCACGGTTAACATTTCACCATACCTCCACCAAGTATGGTGCAGCCGAAATCAACGAGAAGTCGCGACTGCAAACTTACGAATGCTATCTATTATCTATGTTTTAGAATGCATAGAAAAATAAATACAAGAAGCATATTAATCATCAGTATCGGACTAATAAACAAATTAAATGGTATAAATACATGGCAATAATATTCTGTGTTCCGTCGCATCTTTCGTGGTTAAAATGAGGCCCTTTTACTTGGGAAGTTACTTCTGCGCTAACCACTACAAATTTCATTTTTCTCTTGAAATCAAATATATTTCTGGAAAAGCTAATTGAAATATCATGCGATAATAGCCGATTGCAGATAAGTAAAATCATTTTTACCTGTATGAGTTCTTTGATGGCATTGTAAGTGATGTCTTAGTGCAAATCTGTCACCACAAACATCACATTTATAAGGCTTTTCACCTGCAATAAAATTATATATATTATTATTCTATCAAAAATAAGATCAATCTGTGTAAAATGTGATTTGAAAAAACAAATTATTCGGGAAATAAGGTACTTCAGGCAAATATAGAATTAAGGATCGAAAATTTAACAACAAATTAGAAATCTTAATATAACAATTCTATCATTTATAGCATTGTTTCCCAAACTTTTTTCTGTCTGCGCCCCCTTGGATGACTTTTTAACTAGTAAACGCCCCCCTGAAAAAAAAAGTCAGAGCAATTTTATTTTTCATTCATCATTAGTATAATGTGAAGGTTGAGTCTAGTGAAATGCCACTATATTGAGAATATCTGACTCCATTTCAGTCCAAAAAAGTCTTGAGTCTCCTCGTCTGACACTGTCGAGGGAATCTCTCTTGATATGCAAAAGTGCGGTCACCAAGCATGAGCTCGTTAGAGCAATAAAAATACTTTTAATCCGATCTCACACGTGAGGATATTTCAATTTGATTCTGTTCCCAAAAAGATGGAACACTAAACGACTGAACATGGGTTTGAAAATAGAAACCAATGGTAGTGGTGCATGTTCGCTTCTGGAAATTCAGAGTTATCTAGAACGTGGAAACCAAAAATTTCTTAACTACCGGTATCTCCAAAAAAATTATTTAATTTTATTTGCGCTTTAACTTTTGTTTGCGTATGACTTTCTCAGAAGTTTCGCAAAATTTTCAACCACATAGTTTTCTGCTGAAGCGCAGGACATGCAATGGAAATGAAAGAATTCAAACAGTCAACAGTGTATACAGAACATCACGTGGTTGTACCAGGAAAGATCTGGACATGACTTGAGGGATTGATAGAGGTGACCAGTAGTTGGGCAACATAACAAGGCAACGCCCCATACATAAAATCAGACGCTTGCTTTCCTGAGAGAGAAGTCAGAAATGACATCCAGTGGGCACCCTAATTATCGGACTGAAACCACTCAGATTTTGATATGTAGTGTTTGAGGGACAATTTGTAGCAGGACAAACCTCAAACGCGTGTGAACTCAAGGCTGCAAGAGTGATTGACAATGTTGAAAAAAGAATGCAATTCTTTCAATGCCGAGGAGGGCATTTGAAACATAGTTTTTGTGCGAAACGCCCTGGATTTTCCCACACTTTTGGGTACAAACATACACAAACAGTAGTCAAAGTGTAGACAAAATTGAATAATTTACTCCATTTTCATAGAAGTAATCGAGAAATCGATGGTTCCGTTTTTTGGGGACCACGATGTATAATACTGTTTAAAATTTAAGGGAATACCAAAATATTCACCTTTTCATATTCATATATCCTAATTATACAGATTCAATTATGACTTTATCCAACGAAAACGAACGAAATGTGGAGTTATTTGTCTGGTATGGAAGTAACTATGCTTCACAGAAGGGAATTGCATCCAAACCATTGAGGAATAAGACATGTAAAATGAACCCAATAAAAACCAATATTATGTCTATAAAGTCAACTTCAATCACAGAATTCAAACTGCCTACACCCATTGATAATGTTTTATCAGACCTCACTAATTCTACAAATTCTCGAAAAAAGTCCACTGAGTGGAATCAGTTTCCTATCACACACCCCCCACATGAAATTTTAGTTGATTTTCTACAGTCAAATTCGAGTATCAGTATATACAGTAAGCAGGGGCGGACACTTTCCATAATTTTGGGGGGGCGAACTTGGATCGCCTACCGGAAAACACAGCGTCGTGTATCGTCACGTAACAATAACCTGTCGATGTCATTCTCTAAGTATTAGCATGTCATTTTGCTACTCATATATCGATTACCTAGGCTGCTTTGCTCGGACACGGAACTTGCGCGTCACTGAACCAATTTCTTGCTAACAAACAGAAAATAACAAATTTGAGGTCGGAACTTTCGATTGCTGTCTGCAACAAGCACCGCGATTACGCGCTCGTTAAAAGAGCCGCCTATTTAAGCGTATAATGATTTTTCTGTCGATCCATGACAGCCACGAGATTCCAAAATGTCCTTATATATTAATTTAATTGTGTGCAGCGTAACCCGCGGTTGCGACTTCTTACGTCAAAATAAAAATATTACTAAACTAAATTACCACGGCGATATGGGGAAATAAGAATATAAAATAAGCTGCTTGATGTATTTAATTTTGATACATATTTTTGCAATCTTCCGAACTCGTTATCGCCCTTACAAAAATCTCGATATCTGATATAAAATCCCATATAGTACAATTTTAATTCATACAATGAAAATAATTATAAAGTATACTAGTAAATCAAAAATACAAATTCACCGCCTCGAAATCCACGCGGAACAGTCGCCGCTATTACGCCACTTGTTAAAAGAGCCGACTTTATCAAGGAAAAATAATTTTTCACTTGTGCAAAGTAATCAATCTAAGACCGATACCGGCATATTCAAAATGTCTTGATTTATTAATTTAATTGTCTTCAATTTAAACTGCGGATGAGTCGACAAAACAAGAGCTACTCTAAAACACGACGGCAATCCGCGGACATAAAAATGTGTGGTTAACTGCCCGTTTATATATTGTTTTGATCCGTATTTTCGCTATTTTGCGAATTCGATAAATTTGAGATGTACTTGTCACACTGGCTCCGCTCAATCGCAATGTTGTCACTCTGATTATTTTCAAAGATAAAACCTTTCGAAAAATTCATAAATTTTCTGTCAATTCTCACGTAGTAAAAGTTATTTCAGTACAATAAAAATACATAAATAAATACAAAAAGTGATCGAATATACTTTAATATCTTATATATCATCAAAAACCGGGGAAAAGTCGCGTTGTCAGCTTTGTTTATTGTTAACACGAAAATTTTCAACGTCAATTTAAAAGTAATGGATAAAAAGGTAAATGCCGCTCACAATTGACCGTGTTTCGATTTTAGTGACGAAATGTTTTTAAAGGTTAAGCAAACATAATTTGTGAAATCTTGCGATTTTAGATGCCTAGAAAAGCGTTTTTAGACTGTCGTGGGCCTCAACAAAACTTATATTATTTACAGTTTTATTTTTAGTATTTTATATTGCCGCTTTTCAACTTTTCGACATAGTAAATGCTTTGATCTTTGCCCGCAAGTTATGCTGGGCCTTGCACGAAATCCATAACGTGAAAAGATACGTCCAGCGGTGAAAATTGTTTATAACAACTTTAGATCTAGTTAATTTTTTAGCGATAATAATTAATTGTTGTAATAAAACACAGTTTGCCTCATTCACTTCTCTCGCAAGTGCCAACAATAACACTATTGAAAGATTTTGACAATGAGAAAATCATATTAAATTGTACAAAAATGAATTAGTTGTGCAAAACCATGGCGCGTGATCGGCGGTGCGTTTGAAGACGGAGTATTACCCGTGCGGGCGCGCATGTTTCACGAAAATGTGAGATGCTCCGAAGGCGCTCTGGTCCATTATTGTAAGAAAGCAGTTATAATATCGGTGACTATTAACCGTTTAATTGCGCTTGAATATCGCACTTTTCGGAAATGATAACTTTGTAAGGCGGAAACAACATGTATTAATTTTTTTTGCGAAATTATTGGGGGGGGGGGGGCGACCGCCCCCCCTCGCCCCCCCGGGTGTCCGCCCCTGACAGTAAGCTATATAGATTTCTACCTATTCATAGAAGTGTCTCATTTTTGAATAACTTTCAATGTAATTTTTTAGTATTATTTGTCGATAGTTTGGGGGAAGCAACTGAAACAGTCATGAAAAAATCTCATTGAATTCTAAATTAATGTACTGGTTACATACAACTGATACAAGATACAGTGATGGTTTAAACAAAATATTTCATAATCCCCTGATAAGTGAAGAAAGTGAACCATAAAATGTTACTAACATCAAATACAAAAACGGAAGTATTTCAATATGCTTCAAATATAGATGAAAAATATGAATACTCAACGTATATAACGGGTTTAAACAACCACAAATATTTTCGATTAAATGCTGGCTCAAAGCAAATATAGTTCTTTTTTTGGCAAATCAAATTATTCACTAGTTTTGCTACTGTAAATTTCAAGGTAAACAAAAATCAGCTCATCAGTAGAAAAAACACTAATGAACAGATATCAGTTGCATAATTATGGACAAAAAATTAATACTCAGTTGGGCAATAATGATGGAGAGTTTAAACGTGGAAAGTCATAGAAGGTTAATTTCGGGTAACATTTCAAATTTACTTTTATGAAGTATTTCTCACCTCCTTAAGTGTGTGACATCTTCCCAGTGCATTATTAGCATACTCAATTTTACATTGTATGAAATGCGGCCCGTATCATTATTCTCATCCACAGCGCACTATAAGAAGGCTATGGATTGTGTCATCACAGAAAATAGATGAATGGCGCGGCGGTGTGGCTCAACGGGCTAAGCGTTAGGAATTCGCTTGCCACCGCACCTCTAATTACTCTGCGTGGGGTCGCAGGTTCGAATCCACTGCAGGGATGGTTATGTGCGGGAGGATTGCTGGACTCCTCGCCGTCGTTGGGTGGTTCACGTAACCGCTGGTCGGTTACGGCTTCCTCCACCACCAAGTCCTTGCTTCCGAAAACAAACAATATAACTAATCCCATACCCGACTTGGAATGGTAACCGGACGAGAGGCCGTTGTTCGCCATATGGATAAGCGGTCTTATCGGCTTTCCTCTCCCCCGGGATAAATATGTATATCCCATTCTATCCTACGTACATATTGTTACGTATCTACCTTCGGAAATGCACTTTACAATAGAATAAAAGAATTGTAAAACATTGTTGTTGTTGAGTATAATTGTATTTTACCTATATTGTCAAAGTCAGTCATAGGTCTCGCTAAGAGAGAAGTCGCGACTGCAAACTTACGAATGCTATCTATTAACTATGTTTTCAAATGCATAGAAAAGTGAATACAAGAAGCATATTAATCATCAGTATCGGACCAATAAATAAATTAAATGGTATAAATACATGGCAATAATATTCTGTGTTCCGTCGCATCTTAAGTTAAATCATTTTTACCTGTATGTGTTCTTTGATGGCCTTGTAAGTAATCTCTTCGTGCAAATCTGTCACCACAAACATCACATTTATAAGGCTTTTCACCTGCAATAAAATTTGATATAATATTATTCTACCGAAAATCAGATCAATCTGTATGAAACATGTGATTTGAAAAAACAAATTATTCGGGAAATAAGGTACTTCAGGCAAATATAGAATTAAGGATCGAAAATCTAATAACAAAATAAAAATCTTAATACAACAATTCTGTCATTTGGAGCAGTGTTTCCCAAACTTTTTTCTGCCTGTTCTTAACTATCTCCAAAAAAATTATTTAATTTTATTTGCGCTTTAACTTTTGTTTGCGTATGACTTTCTCAGAAGGTTCGCAAAATTTTCAACCACTTAGTTTTCTGCTGAAGCGCAGGACATGCAATGGAAATGAAAGAATTCAAACAGTGAATACATGAACATTACGTGGTTGTACCAGGAAAGATCTGGACATGACTTGAGGGATTGATAGAGGTGACCAGTAGTGGATCCAACATAACAAGGCGACGCCCCATACATAAAATCAGACGCTTGCTTTCCTGAGAGAGAAGTCAGAAATGACATCCAGTGGGCACCCTAATTATCGGACTGAAACCACTCAGATTTTGATATGTAGGGTGTTTTAGGGACAATTTGTAACAAGACAAACCTCAAACGCGTGGTGAACTCAAGGCTGCAATAGCAGAAATAAAATAGAGAAATACAAAGAGAAGAGTGATTGACAATGTTGAAAAAAGAATGCAATCCTTTCAATGCCGAGGAGGGCATTTGAAACATAATTTTTGTGCAAAACGCCCTGGATTTTCTCACACTTTTGGGTAAAAGCATACACAAACAGTCAAAGTGTAGAAAAAATTGAATAATTTTCCCCATTTTCATAAAAGTAATCGAGAAATTGATGGTTCCGTTTTTTGGGGACCACGATGTATAATACTGTTTTTAATATAAATCAGTTAAATATGCTGCTTAAGTCACTGTATTCGATATTTTGAACTTACGCAACACAAATGATAAACCGTATGTAGCCCTATTATCCAATGACTCAAGATCAAATAAAAACCGGTTAGATCGCAACATGGAGATGGTCCTATCTGGCGTGTTCACGTGTTGCTCTTAACAAAACCAAAATTATAACATAAGGGTGCTTATACTATCGCTTCAAAACACCATAGAACCCGATAGTAAAATGAAGCTATTATTCAAAACAGCACAACAAAACGCGCAGTGCATGGTGAGGGGAAGCGTATGGCCGTATGCGCTAGACTAGTATTATTATGAAACAATGCGGATTTAATATTCTTTGTTAAGCGAGAAATTTCCAACACCGAAATCACAAGCAAACTAGTTTGAACCAGAACATAGGAGTAAATGGAATAAGATATTATACTTCTTGCGAGTTCGCGTATTGAAGTTAGCGCCCCCCAATCGCCCAGTTTGACATCCAGCGCCCCCCCCCCCCCCCCCCCCCCCACTCATTTATCCTAAACGACCACAAATGGACGTTTTCGCCCACTATAGGAACCGCTGATTTAGAAAAATTTGATTTTATTGGGAGATGATCTACATAAGCATACAGTCATGTGAAAACCCTTTAGAGCAGTGCTTGTCAACCTTTTTTTGAAGTGGCACACTCATCATCGATCTTTCACTCAAAATCTGGTACCTATCCAACATTTTCAATTGGCCAAAATTACAATGTTTAGAAGACGTACATGTTCATACAGACACTTTTTCGTTATGTGTATGATACAGACGTTGCTCCTGGACTTCACCAGTCAAAGTGAGGTGATAACGATTGCGCCTTGCGTTTCTCAGACTTCAAAAGTAAAAGCCAATGTCAAGTTTAACATTAAATTAGTTTTAACCCAAGTTTTTTTTGATGTTTCTTTTTTAATTTGCGTTGTTTTTTATGCAGAACCTTACAACTTTAAGGTTCAAAATTTGGCTCTGGCACTAAAAAAGGTTGAGAAACAAATGTAGATCCTCAGGCTGTGATACCATTAACACCAACTTGATCATGTATATCAGGGTGGCCCAAGGTTGCAAGCCGCAAAAACTTTTGAAAATGTATCGCAGGCCGCAGTCGGAGAAAACCCAAAAGGGATCAAAACGTCACGAATTTACTCTCTATAAATATATTTAAGAATGAGATTTTACCGCTCTGATCAGTTTTTTGAGGAGGATATATAGCCTTTAGTTATTAAATTGCTTGCTGAGAAATACCGGTATCTTTTTTCGTGTCTGGTTTTGTAATGTCTTAAAATTATATTCTTTCGTGACATATATTACTTGAAAACACACCAGATACTGTGGCTTAACTTTGTTGTAGGTAAGGAAATACGTTGCCTCCCAGTTTACCTCGGTCACCTATATTTTATTACACTCATTGTATGATGAATTGTTATATTTGGCTAATTTTATTACTTGTAGCGTGAGCAGACCAGGTGCTATTGTCGAAGAAGAAACAAGTCCGTCTAAGTTGTGACTCCGGACCCAGCTAAAAAAAACTGGATCGCGCGGCGTTAAGTCAGCTCCGGGTTCGTCACTGCTGTCAAAATAGCTAACGATTGAAAATAGAGGAGTGTTTATACTAAAATAAAGGCACAAAACGTCTCTTCAAATGAGGAGTTACTTGACGCGAGCTTAAGGTTTGAAGTTTAGATAAAAGCACGACTCATCTCAACGGCTTGGTCCTGTCTGCACACGACAATTCATTTTCCTGGTACCGATTATAGGACGTTATTTCCATATAGGCACCGTCTCGACGTTTATAGATACAACATTGAAATTCTATGATTTTAACAAACATTAATACCGACATCGGGAATACGAAAAGAACTATTCTCAGGTAAAATAGTTTAAAAATTATTCAAACATTTTCTGCCAAAAAATATAAATATCTGCCAATGGTTAAACAACTTTCGTGTACGCTAAAATTGTTCCGCGTGCTGCACGGAATGTGTCCGGGGGCCGCACGCAGTTTGGACCACCCTGATGTATATGTATACATGAAAGCCAGATTAATTTTCATGTTTCCAGGCTGAAAACATCAGTGATAAATGATATTTGAATTCGCATGCCTGGAAAAAATATGTTGAAACTATAAAACCGAATAAGCATAGCAAGTTAGCAACTAGCAAATGATTGGTTACTTCTATAAAGTAACAGTAAATATGGAAATAAGTTATGGTATTAGGTTAGCCATTTGCTAAATTATTGTGAAGGAGAAAGACTTGATCAAGCAAGCGTGACTTGAACATTAAATGTTTTATTACTAGTAGGAATTCAATAATTTTGGGAAACGCATCAATTAAATCAGCATGATCGCGAAAAACAAATTCCATACATAAGTTCAAAGTGAATAGACATCATTCCATTGGTGGAACCAAAATTTAAGGGAATACCCAAATATTCGTCTTTTTATATATCATAATTATACAGATTCAATTATGACTTTATCCAACCGGCTATGGGTTTTGCTGAATAACCTCTATCAGGTATTTTGAATAAGTTTTCATCGTTGCCTGGTCGTATGTTACACAATGTATGGAAAAACAATTTCTTTTATTTTCACCCGTTTTAATTAGCAACATCATGTACTTACCGGAATATCACTAATATTTTAAAATAAAAAAGCAAGTTTCGCTATTTTTTCACATTAATAACAGCAAAAGGTATATTTTGCTTTTCATCTCAAACTGTCATGAAAACTAATTGGTCTATAAGAATTGTGGGCTGTTCGGATTGAAGGGTTGAAAATTTCTATGCAATATATTTTTTGTCAAATTTTAGTGTGCATCATTGTGTTCTGAGACCCTGATTATAACATGGGTGAAGTGGTGGGCTTGGAATTCGAACCGATGGGGTTTTCAATGCAACACATTGTATTGTATTATTTCAACGTCAGTATAATATCTATTCATATTTTGGAATTGGGGTTGCATAACAAAATGTTTTGGAAAATTTAAAATCATAATTTGAATATTTTTGGCATACTCGTTGGTCATTACCCTCCTAAAACTACAAATTAGGATTCATTGCAAATCGTGTTTTAATAATGTTTCACCTGTGTGGATTCTTATATGTCTTTTCAAATTAGTTTTAATAATGAATCCTTTCCCACATATTGTGCATTCGAATATTTTCTGATTTTCGTGAACTGTTTTTACATGTAGTTGAACATAAGCATATGATGGAAACCATGTTAAACATTGTGGGCACTGAGCCTTTTTCATACTTTTTGACGATTTGGCATTGCCAATTTTCTCAGAAGCATTTTTTGCTTCACAATTTGGAGATTTCATAGAATTGGTGAGGTCTGATAAAACATTATCCGGCAGTGTGGGCAGTTTGTATTCTGTGATTGAAGTTGACTTCTTTATAGACATAATATTGGCTTTGACTGGGTTTATTTTGAATGCCTTATCCCTCAGTGGTTTTGATGCAATTCCCATCTGTGAAGCATAGTGACTTCCATACCACACAAATAACTCCACATTTCGTTTGACTTGTTTGAATGTTCGATAATATATTTGGCCTTTATATTGAAATGCAATAAGGTTCTGTTCCTCTTCATTTCTAGAAAAAAAAGATATTTCAAGAGTAAGTCGCACAAACCAAACTATTTGATAAAATTCATTAGCTCTCTAACTGTCCAGAATATGCAGAGAGCGAATAAGGTTAATCATACAATTAGCTTGGGCCTCAACAGTATACGTCAGATATATGGGAACAATAAGTTAACCAAATAGCATTCCATATGAAAGGACAACTAATACATTTGGATCCATATGCAAACCCTACATATCTCACCACCTAATACAATTCACATATCTCAACAAGAAACCCCATCTTGCACAATTCACATATCTCAACTACAAACCCTAATTTGTACAATTCCCATATCTCAACCAGAAACTCTACCTTGCACAATTCACATATCTCAACTAGAAACCCTATCTTGCACCATTCACATATCACAACCAGAAACCCTACTTTTGCATAACTCACATATCTCAACTAGAAACCCCATCTTTCACAATTCACGTATCTCAACTAGAAACCCCACCTTGCACAATTCACATATCTCAACCAGGAACCCTACCTTGCCCAATTCACATATCACAACCAGAAACCCTACTTTTGCATAACTCACATATCTCAACTAGAAACCCCACCTTGCACAATTCACATATCTCAACAAGAAACCCCACCTTGCACAATTCACATATCTCAACTAGAAACCCTAATTTGTACAATTCCCAAATCTCAATCAGAAACTCTACCTTGTACAATTCACATATCTCAACTAGAAACCCCATCTTTCAAAATTCACGTATCTCAACCAGAAACCCCACCTTGCACAATTCACATATCTCAACCAGAAACCCTACCTTGCCCAATTCACATATCACAACCAGAAACCCTACTTTTGCATAACTCACATATCTCAAATAGCGACCCTGCCTTGTTGCACAATTCACATATCTCAACTAGAAACCCTATCTTGCACCATTCACATATCACAACCAGAAACCCTACTTTTGCATAACTCACATATCTCAACTAGAAACCCTATCTTGCACCATTCACATATCACAACCAGAAACCCTACCTTGCACAATTCACATATCTCAACTAGAAACCCTATCTTGCACCATTCACATACCACAACCAGAAACCCTACTTTTGCATAACTCACATATCTCAAATAGCGACCCTACCTTGTTGCACAATTCACATATCTCAACTAGAAACCCTATCTTGCACCATTCACAAATTTCAACTAGAAACCCCACCTTACACAATTAACATATCTCAACTTGAAACCCTACCTTACACAATTCACATATCTCAACTAGAAACTCTACCTTGCACAATTCACATATCTCAACTTGAAACCCTACCTCGCACAGTTAACATATCTCAACCAGTTGCTTGTTTTAATATTGCTTCCATCAATATAATGAGATAGCTTGTCTTTCTTGTATATCTGAAAAATGTACCTCTATATTAATACAAGGTGGCCCAAAAAACGGAAAAACTAACAATATGTTCCAAATAGACTGGAGTCTGTTTTTTTTTGGTCACTCTATGAAAAGATTGGGAATTTTGCTGGAATTACATATTTATTCCAGAGGAGAAAGGTCAATAAGACGACTTAATCATATGACGAACCACGGCCTCTTATCTGGTTACCATTCCATGTCAGATATGGGATTAGTTAGCCCAGAGTGGTCCAAGGTTGTCGACTCCGCGGGCTACAAAATTATTTTTGCATTGTTGGCGGGCCACAATAGTGCCAAGAATAGGTAAACAGTGCAATACCAAACAAACAGCTTTATTGTGCAAACACATAGTTATCATGCATAGCCATTCTAGGCTAATAGAATCCGCATTCGATTTTTAGTTTTCTATGATGCTTATATTGTTAGCATACATTCCCTACCAAAAAGTTAAAAAGCCAGATCACAATTTAGACTGCCAAGCACATCATTCAACTTCGCTAGTTTCCCCAGCTATTCATAATACTATTCAATTCAGTGACAATAGTGATGGCAATATGTCAAAAGATTTTTCTGATCAATTTTATGACAAAACAACACAAAATGCGATTTTTTGATTACTCTCCGAATGTGATGCGGGCCACCCTGATGGTTTGGACCACCCTTAGTTAGCTGGTTACGGGCCTTTGTTTTCAGATGCATGGACTTGATGGTGGAGAAAGCCAGCATACAGCAATTTTCTTGCACATAAATATGCCCCAAGAGATACAAATCCTTAAACTCAAGCAGGGTAATAAGAGCGGCTGTCGCAAGTGTATTCCCTGTTCCCTAGGCCGGGGGCCAAAAATTTGCCCATCCAGACTGATGGGCCAAGAGTGTGACGTAAAAAGTTACATATATTGTAACATCTACAGTGCTACATGAAAGCGAAAATGGGAAGCTTTGTGCCGAAACTAACTTTGATTGCAATCTCAACAAATTGTGCTATTTTTTTAGCTAAAACATCAGAATTAGGTTCTAGTTTGGTTGTGGCTGCATCAGGGCGCCAGACCAGAATGAACTACCCAATAGAACCATATTCTCAATGGGGCCTTTGCAAAAGATATTTTCCTACCGGGACCTCTGCAAAAAACTTTTGAATGAACTACCCAATAGAACCATATTCTCAATGGGGCCTTTGCAAAGGAGATTTTCCTACTGGGTGGGACCTCTGCAAAAAACTTTGCCTACCCTTGTCGAAGACAGATTAAGATGTTTATTAGTGAACACTTTTCTAAACAGGGATAAACATAGAACCCAATTCTTACCTGCCAAGAATAACCTCCTTCAGATACTTTCACCAAATTTTTCACATCATACTTTTTCACAATATCACCTTCATAAGGACCAAACACTGTATTCTGTGGAATATCAATCTCACACCATACTCCAAGACCACCATTCCTGATCTGTGATGGATCAATGCTCAGCCCTGGAGGACAGGTATGCTTAGCACGATCTTTAATGCCCTTGAAAGGAATTAAAATAATCAAATTAGTTTCAAAAATAGAGCGTGGAACTAGTGATGCCTATTTCTGAATTGTTCACTTTTTAGAACCAATTGAATTTGCTAAAAGAAAAAGAAATTTTTTTTCTAGCAAAGTCAATCAAGATGCCAGCCAGGGTTTTGCAGAGCTAACCACTCATCTTTCTTTTAATATTTTGTACCAACGAATGTGTTTAAGGCATATAGCGAGTGTGAACAAGTACTATTCTAATTAGAAAACTGAGATGTTTTCTTATGGGCACTGGCTGTATAAAATTAGCCACAGATATATAACAACGCAACAATAACCAATAGGATAGGATTTACATATTTATCCCAGGGGAGAGGGAAGCCGATAAGACGGCTTATCCATATGGCGAACCACGGCCTCTCGTCCGGTTACCATTCCAAGTCGGGTATGGGATTAGTTATATTGTTTGTTTTCAGAAGCATGGACTTGGTGGTGGAGGAAGTCGTAACCGACCAGCGGCTACGTGAACCACCCAACGACGGCGAGGAGTCCAGCAATCCTCTTGCACATGACCATCCCTGCATGGGATTCGAACCTGCAAACCCACGCAGAGTGATTAGAGGTGCGGTGGCGAGCGTATTCCTAACGCTTAGCCCGTTGAGCCACATCGCCCCGCGTATCATTTGCCTTCAAGCTATTCATAGAAACCGTACTCTAATTTTGAAAATAACAAAATTTTGACTGAAATTTTCTGTCCATTAGCAAGTTATTGTATTTCGACTTTAGACAATGGAATTAAGGTACCTAAGTTGAAAATCCTGAATATTTAAAAATATAATTTCCATTATGTTATAAGTGATTTGAGAGTCTTGCATATCTTTTTGTAGCATTTTGTCTTATCAAGGTCAGACTCCTCGCACAGGCGAATCTCGATATCCACGAGAAAATGCGATAGCCCATTTAAATAAACATGGCTCTTTTTATAAATTTACTTACAATTTTCACAAGAGTGTCTTTCATTCTCATACTTGGATGGTCTGGGCAATCATCAAGATGCAAGGCCTTGCATTCATCGCAAACTAAAAAAGACAAAATTTCAATACTATGGTATTTATTTTTATTATTATGGTATTCAGTCCCTGAAGTGGAAACCTGTTAAGATGACTTTATCCCAAATATTACTTTAATCTGGGCAATCATTGAGATTTGAAAGCTTTGCACCCACTTAATTACAACAAAACATTGGAAAAATGTAGAAGATCTGAGGAGAGAAATGGCGATAAGGCCACGACATTTCATTAGATTATCAGTTTATGTCGGGTATGGAATTAGTAACCGTTTAGTAGCCTCTTGGATAGTAGAGGAAGCTGTAATAAACTCATTATCCAATGAGATAATTAATTTTATCGTTCCAGATGCATGGACTTGGTGAAGGAACTAATTCTTAGTTATGAGAATATTTTTTCAATGAGGACACTTGCACGGATTGCTCTAAAAAAGGCCATGTACATCAACCACTAATATCTAACAATAAGTTGAGAACTACTATCCTTTTTTGAATAACCCAAAATCTACCTAATTCATTACACCCTAGTATTAGTATTGATATTCCAGCACAAGATGTGTAATTTAAGTGTATTTAGTTAAGTTTAACACCATGACGACCAGGCCACTTGGAAATTAATAGTTTTCCATCCTTCTCAGTACTGCTAGGTAAAGTAAATTGACCATCTAATACAGCAGGGTTGGGCAATTACTTTTCTGAGTTGGCCAGATAATAGCCCTGGTTACTTGGCCAAAACTCGATATGCAAAAACTATAAATGAAAAATAGTTTATTTACAACAGCGAGTACAACAGATACGCTTACGTTTCTATAAAAAAAAAGAAGCACAATGTAACAATCGGGCTCATTATGAGGTTATTTTTCATCCATATTTTCACAGGGAATTTTTGTTTATCTAAACCAGTGGTTCTCAACCTTCTACTGACCGCGTACCACTTTACTGTTTTTTTACACTGGTCACATACCACCAACAAAGCGCCATATTTGGGGTTAGGAAAAAGACACAAGAAACATGCTATGGGAGTATTTTATAATGTGGCACTACATCCTTTGTGGCGTCACACGCAAAACGGTTATGGATATGATTACGAAAATAAACAAGTAAACTGATGCTTGGGTAAACATCCATAAACGCTGTTTAGTGAATACATACAGTAAGAAAGATGAAGCGTTGCTGGCAAGTTTTAGCCTACTGAAAGGTTAAGTGTTGCAATAATTTAAATCTGCTCGCGTACCACTTGAAAAGCTCCCACGTACCACTAGAGGTACGCGTACCACTGATCTCAACTGCTGAATCCTGCCTCTACTGATCCAATACTTACATACAAAATGATCATCCTCTGGCACATATTCTTCTGTGTATTTCACTCCAGTCTTTCGCCTTGTATCGTATCTTGATGAAGCATCCCCACTTTCAGACTAAGAAATATTTAAAATGCAAAAATTTAGTTTTAAATGAAACTCAATCGAACGATTGTTAATATGTACTTTATGCATTTTAAAGTTTGTAAACATGTAGACCCATAGAATGAGAGAAAAACATCAACTATTCTTTCTCATCTCTGCACGTTTTTGCTTAGAAATGATAAAAAAATTCCGCATGATCGCTGAACTCGGTTCAGCAGATAATTAGTCTGCAGCTCGCGGATTTGCAACAGGTAGTGTCTACCTTTATTGTTACATAACAATAAAGCAGACCCTACGGAAAGGAAAGTAAATGACATTGAAAGGTTAAATAAATTTATTAATTCATATACAAAGCATTTAGAATGAGAAACAATAAAACATTTTTTTAGTATATACAATAGGTTAAATATTCAATCATATATTAGGTATGTTTAACACATCCTGTTCATTTTTCTGGCTAAATTAGCAAGGGAATTGCTGGGCTAGGCAATGATGAGGCGTAAAGGTTTGGGTTTCAAACTATGACAGCTTACATCAGCGGTTACCAACTGGGAGCCACAGAGCGATTGGAAGGAGAACACAATGCTAGACGCAGAACTGATTTTGATTTTCCCTTTACTGAAAAACTCCCAGTTCTTCCTATTTTTGTTTTTACTTTGTTCAGCATGAATTATTTAAACATATTGGAAATTTGGAATCTACCAATTATAATAACACTATAAATACCACTGGAATAATGAACAGGGGCCATGAGCAGGGATGGCCAATACCGAATAGTTCACTATTTCGAATACATTCGAAATTATTATTTTCGAATATGAAATTTCGAATACTTCGAAAATAAAATCCAGTAATAGAATCTAAGTGTATGAAGGAATTTTCATACAATAAACAATGGAATAACTTCTATCTACAACCTGGCTATATTACCAGGCATTTCATGTTTGCAGATTATTGCGATATATATTTTATATAACATGAGTTGTATTAATTAACAGAATTAAAATAATACGACAAGGCATTTTAAATAGTGGTATCGGTGATGGATTTGAATGCTTGCGCAACACAAAATCATCCTAGTAAAACGCCCATACTTTTAAATACCAACCATTATCCAAATTATTTGTCAAAAAGCGGGATAAAGTATGAGTTCTTTTTCAGACTTGTGACAATTTTTTTGTGAGTACAAAAATACGGATCAAAAAGTAAATATATTCGGGAACTTTATTACACATTTTAAGTCCGCAGATCGCCGTTGTATGTTTGTGTAATAATACTTTTGTTATTTTATAAATAGGAAAATAGGGTTCAAAAACTATTTATAATCGGGTAGTTTACCACACATTCAATGTCCACAGATCACCGTTGTATTTTGTAAATACGAAAATAGGAATCAAAAATTAATATCAATCGCGAGTTTGCCTCACAATTTATGTCCACAGAATGCCGTGATATTGTGCCCGAATATAATTAATTTTTGATTCTTATTTTCGTACTCGAAAAAATTGTCACAAGTCGGAAAAATAATTTATACTTTATTACACATTCAAGTCCACAAATCGCCGTTGTATTTTTGAGTTATAATAGTTTTAATATTTTGTAAATACGAATCCGAAATTAATTATAATTGGGCAGTTTACCACACATTTCATGCCCACAAATACCCGTGGTATTTGGTATTAATACTTTCATTATCGATACTTTTGACCATCATTATCAAAATTATTTTCCAGAAAGCGGGAGAAAGTATTTTTCCAATAAATCAACTTGTTTCCCAACTTGTGACAATTTATTGGATATCGTAACAATTACGGCTATAAATACCGTATTTCTCGGCTAATAAGCCTACATGGCAAATAGGACGATGTATATTTTTAGCACTCAAAAAGGGGGTTTTCCATATAGGCCTCCAAGAAGACGGGTAGAAAAATTATTCCCTGTTGTTCAGTTATGCTAATATGCGCTAATAATAATGTTTAGAACCAGATCACGTTTGTTTAGTAGAATCATACTCACAGAATTACCTATTTTTAACAATAAAGCGGTAATTTTAAGTTAAAAATCACAATCATTTTGAACAATCTATAATTTTATAGGGTCAGAACAGAACCAGACCATGTTTGTTTGGTAGAACCATACTCACGGAATTAACTATTCTCAACAACGAAGCGGTAAATTTAAATTATAAAGCGGCAATCATTTTGGACAACCTATCAACCCGAATGTTGAAATAATTTTGGAATGTGATAAGTACCACGCGCAGGGATGGCCATTTCCGAATACTAAACTATTCCGAATACATTCTAAAATAATGTTTTCGAATCTGGAATTCCGAATACATTCTAAAATCGAAAATAACACATTTTTGTTTTAATTAATTAAAACCCAGTAAATTAGGAAATAAGCTTCAATAGAAATATCAGAATGAAGCCACAAACCAACAGTATATGTACACAAAGTAATTGATAGTTTATATCAATAAAAAATAATAGCAACTTGTGACACAGTCAGTTTGTTAACATTATTCACTTTGTACCAATGACCATATGAAAAGATAGCCAGGGAGTTGTCTGACGCTTTCTATCATTGGTACCATGATATTACGATAATAGTCAAGTCTATTGACAAAAATACTACTTGTATTCAGATAATTGTGTATATTTTCTGAGAGTAATAAAATTTATTGGCAATAGGGGCAACAACAATCAAAAATCCATTATGCCTTTAAAAATTCTAATATTTAAGCCTGAGGTATTCTACTACCTACCAGTATATTGTTATTATGTGTAACATATTGTTGTGTTTGAAATTAGAAATAAATTAGTAGAGAATAGATGACCACCACTGCCAGCGCGCAGCCAGGATTTTCGAAATCGGAAATTCCCATTGCCGCCTGTAACACCCACCGCGATTTCGCGCTCGTTAAAAGAGCCGTCTTTTCAGCGTATAATGATCATTCTGTTACGTAAAATATTCAAAATATTCACATGACAACTACGAGATTCTAAAATATCTTTATATATTAATTTAATGTGTTCAACGTAACTCGCGGTTGCTTCTTCTTACGTCAAAAAAAAACATTACTATTTGGTCCACGGCGATCTGTGACCTAAAACTACGAGATAAACTGCCTGATGTATTTAATTTTAATACGTATTTTTGCAATTTTGTCAACTCGTTATCGCCGTTAGAAAAATCTCAAATAATTATATAAAATCCTGTTAAGTGTAGAGTATAATTCATTTCATACAATGAAAATACATATAAAGTTTAGCAGTAAATTGAAAATACATATTCATCGCCGCGATTATGCCACCTCGACTTTTACAACAAATAATATAACAACGAATATATATTTTTCTGTTGTGCAAAGTGATGAATTCGTGACCGACACGGGCATATTTAAAATGTCTTGCTTTAATTTAATTGTCTTCATTTTAACCTGCGATTGCGTCGACAAAATAAAATCCTCACCACTCTTATATACCATTGCAATCCGCGGTCATAAAAATAAAAACATGAGGTAAACTGTCCGATTTAATATTGTTTTGATCCGTATTTTGCGAATTCGGCAAATATTTAGATGCACTTGTTAACAGTGACTCCGCTCGATCGAAATGCTGCCACTCTGATTATTTTTAGATAAAATCGTTCAAAAAATCCATAAATATGCTGTAATATCTCAAGAGTAAAATTTATTTCATCACAATAAAATTGATTGAATATACTTTAGATTGATTATATTATATACATCCTCACAACCCGGGAAAAAGTCGCGTTTCAAACCTTGTATCGTGTTAACATGAAAATATTCGACGGCAATTCAAAGTAATGGATAATCAGGCAAATCCCGCCCTCAATTAGTGACGATATGTTTCTAAACGCCTACCAAACATAATGTGTGCCAGAGGCACACGAAATTTTGCGATTTTCACTGCCTAGAAAAGCGTTTTTTAAATTTTCGCGGGCCTCAATAAAACTTATACTGTTTACGGTTTTATTTTCAGTATTTTAAATTGCCGCTTTTCAATCAAGAGGTTGCGTTGTCTTTAGAAACTCGCCGCCGATGAACGTATTTACCAGATTCACACTCGTACAAAAATAAAATAAATGTTATCGTTATCGTGGAACAAATTTGTGAAAAATTTTCGTTTTAGAGTAAATAACACAATCGTAAAGGCGTTTACGGGCCTAAATAACACGCTACGCTGATGAGTGATGAAAACAATCACGCGCAAGTTTCTATCGAGAATGTTTTCATTCAACGGAAACGTCTTGAAAGCGCGTCGAAAATGTGTGACGTCACACAAATATCCGATATTCTTATGAACGTGAATTCCGATATTCGAATGACGAGATATTCGAATACATTCGAATACTTTATTCGAATTGGCCATCCCTGACCACGCGGTACGTCCACGGGTTATTTCACAGCTGTGTTTCATGTCCCTGTAGTTTTCTGCTGAATCGGCAAAACCAAAGGGTCATAAATCACCTACTTTATCTCGGTGGCGGTGGCCGTGTTTTCTCTTTTAAGTAACGATAACCGGCCTACGATTAAATATCATGATTGGCAGACCCATAAGAACCAAATATAGGTTTAACACAAATTATGCTTGAGAAGACTAATGCGAAAAATAAGCAGGCCACATAGAAATAAAATAAACATGCTTTCTCAATAAGGCGCCCCCCCCCCCCCCCAAAAAAAAAAATCAAGCCAAAATTGGGTCTAGAAAAGCGACTTATTAGCCGGGAAATACGGTGATTGTCGATTTTTCGGCTAATGGAAATGATTTTGTGAATTAAAAGACGAATGTCGGCAGTGTCCACCAACGCAAACGTGCAAATGTGTCGCAACACTATGCGACGTACATTCGCGCTGAATATAAACAATCAAAATGCCGACTCATCGTCATTTAATACGTGAGAAAGCGTAAAAAGTCGTTTGAAGATTCCGGTAAAACGAAACACCATGTTTACGGCGAAAAGTGACTACTATTCGTAATTATTCGGAAATGAGCCAAAAAGGTATTCGAATACCTTGATATTCGAATAATTTCGAATATTCGATTCGTTTTGGACAACCCTGGCCATGAGTGATAAAAGACTCAGGTAGGGGGTCTGAGCCATTACAGGCTGGGAACAACCTTGCAGTCTTGTATATCGATGGATACTTGCGTCATGCGTGAAACCTTGTTCAAAGGGAAAGGTACACACTACGGGAATACCAAAAAAAAATCATAGTTCTAAGAAAAGAAGTAAGATTTTCCAATATAAAACATCAAAATGAACATTACTAACCTTTTTAAATGGCTCAAACTTCGGTTCTTCTTTCTTAGTTGAAATCACTCTTCTGGGCTGAAGTTTAACTGTAAGCGAAAAGAGAGATTTTCATAATCACTAAAAAGCACCTGTAAAAAAAACTTTGCCAAATACATGAGACGGAGATGCACATTGCAAATACTGCTAAAATAAATCATCAAGCTCATCAGAATTGAATATAAGCTACGAAAACTTGCTGACATGCAAAACAAAAATACTTGCACTGTTTAAAATTATACTTCAAGTTACTGAAAAACTTAGGACTTAGGAACGACTTAATTTGTATCTTGTTTAAGACAGCCATTGAAACAGATAAATTGCTAGTTTCTTATGAATCCAGTTTCTTACATGTCAGTGAACGCCTCTTCGTAGCCTTGCTCAGAATAAATATTTCAAAAACTTTGTATGAAAAACAATGCAAGATGATTGATGAATTCAGGACATCAGGGGGAAACCAGCTATTTTAGGATTGATTTTGCACAATTACCTCATTTTGACCTCATAAATCATAGCCTCACTTGTTCTAGAATTCCCTGGGTGGGATTTTTCGATATTACATAGTGATGCTTTGCCAATATAAAATTTTTTGATAGTGTTAGCGCTTGGAATGGAAGTTAGTGCGCGCTAGACAATTACCACTAGATCTATTTCATATGTGGAACAAGGCTCCGTAGTGGCAGACACTCATATGTAAGAAGCTCGTTTCGCTACGGATTTTAGGGGTGACTGGGAGTACATCGATTTTACACAAAGTACTATGTCTATTGTACTTTTTTAAACTTTCGATTCGAGACCTGGTCTACGCAATTCATTACACCCTGGGAGAGTGGTGAGCATTGGCTTGAACTGGGTTGTGGCCTGAACATTTAATCTGCTGATATCTTACTTTCTCGCTTGGGTGGTGGCGGAGGAACATTCACAGCCTTCCCTGTTTGGCGATCTTCCACATATTTCTAGGAAATTAAAAATAGTTGTTTACAAAAAGTTGCCTTTTTCAAAAATGCAGTTTTTTTCAATCTTGTCATTATTGATCAGGGGCTCCTGTTTTGGTTTGGGTTTCTAAGTTATAATAGATTAAGGTCAAATTTTAGGCAGTGCCTTAAGTTCATTTGTAGGTTTGGCTTTTGGAACCAAACTAATATTGATTCAGATATTTTATTTTCGTCATGCATGGAACATTGTAAACAAATGATTGTAAATCAGGTCACATAAAAGAGTGCTGAATTACAGCAGCAGATATAGAAAAGGAATTGGGTTTATAACATACAATACTGAATAACAACGATATACTCAAAAAGAGCCATAAGGATTTAAAGGATACTGGTTGACACCCACAATGACGCCATCAAGCAATTATGATATTTCTCCATGAGTATAAATAATACGAGAATAATGCTGACTAACATGATTGAGCATTTTTAAAAATGAAACTGTGTGCACAGCAACGTCATGTTGACAGGAAGTTACTGGCTTAATGAAGCATGCTTTCTGGACAGATCATATGATAAACAGTCGGCAAGTTGAAAAACAGAACTTGGAACGTACAGAGAAAATGTCCATGCTTCTCAAAACAAATAACTAACTAATCCCATACCCGACATGGAAAGATAACCAAATGAGAGGCCGTGATTCACCATATCGTTTGGTGATTCACCATATCGGGGGCTTTTCGACTTATCTCTCAGCAGAATAAATACGTAAATCCTACAAACGAATATGTGAAAACGATAAAATGTGGCATGAGTTAGTTTGGTTATACTTCCCCCAGGTGCCAACGTTTCATATTTCACTCACAGCACAATGTAATTTGAGGTTTGAATTACTTCAACAAACACCTTCCTGTAGACAGGATTCATATTTACTAACAACATACTGGAGAAAACTGTATATACATTTGTGAGGTGAATCTACTTTGAAATTGTTAAGGGGTAAATAAGAGGATAGATATTGAGACTCCTCTTGCTTTATAAAAGAGACGGGATAAATGTTCGAGACCTTACTGGCCTATCACACATCTGTGTCTTAGGCCAGTAAGGTCTTGAACATGTATCCTGTCTCTGTTTTACTGTTTAACTATTATGCAGATACTGTTACATTTTTGAGGCAAATAAACATACATACATTTATACACATAGACCCAATACTGACCTTTATGAATTCCATTCTTAGTTTGGTGTCATTCTCAGAAATTCCTGAAATGTAAAGAATAGAATGGAGGTAAGGTATGAATAATTGAATCCTTTATCGCAGGGGTGTGCCAGATAGAAATAACTGGGTGAGACCACAGGCCGCACAACTATTCAACATAGGCTATCTAGTAGTTGGAGGTATAAAATTTTTAGTTATTGATCTTGTGACATGCGTTGTTCTCACAAGCCAGCTGTTGGGGCATTGTAACGTCATAGGCATAGTATGGGCTTTGTAAATTGAAGAGATTAGAATAACTGGCGTGTACCAAATTAAAACAAAACATTATGCGGCCGCAAATCATTCAAAATTAGCACTTCTCCACGGGTCGCAAGTTGCACATTCTTGCTTTATTGGGCCATTGGTTGATGTTGTTGCCAACCTTTCTTTCACCACCCGTTGGGAGGAAAAGCAGTAAGATGACCTAATCTAAAAAGCCCTTGTACAAGCACCACTGATATCTAACAATATTTAAAAATGGGAAGCTACCGGTACTTATTATTGATAAGAGTAGGGATCTTTCCTGTTTGGCATTGCTAATTTCAATTTATTACACTATCTGTGAGGTGGCGGACATAAGATTTGAATTGGAGATGTGTAATCTATAGGGCTGGGAATTTCAGAAAAAACACTTTAATCGTTACCCGGGTAAAACTAACTGGTTAACCGCCGCGTGATGTTTGACGTAATAATTTATAATTTCAGCTTATTACGGCGCAATGCTCATCAAGCAATTTTGCGTGTTCTTATCCAGGTATCGCTTATTGAAATTATTCACGAATCGAGATAGTTTCATGACTGCTCTGCTGCAAGAGATAGGCAGCGTGATTCGTGCGTGTGGAAGTATTTTAGAATACCTGATTCCGTTGTTAAACGTCATTTATGTGACAAATTATCAGTGTTCGATGTGCAAATTCTACTTCGAGATATATATCATAAAGAAAAACGGCATCAACTGCGCACTTCCGGTATGACATTGAATATGCGATTTTGCAATGCTATTGTGAACAATATATTTCGAAATCGACCGAAAACTGATTCTGAATTCATAATTGTCAAATTTCCATAATCAGCAATCATGGTACTTCCATTATTTTTCACATTTATTGAGTCCTTACCCACACAGTTAGTGATATCCTTTTGAATAAAACGCCACAAGAGATAAATTGCGATGACGTAATCATATTTGAAGAAATTGTATGGTATAAAGATGATTTGTACCTGAGATGTCAGTTAACGGTTAAAATAAATCGTAAACCATCTGAAATCGGTTAACCATTCCCAGCCCTAGTAATCTATGATTCCAAGACAGGTCTATTTCTTTATTAACTGCTAGGCCATTGCACTTTCGGGCTGCAGTCCACATATTCCACTAACATTACCTCTGAATACTGGCATTTTCCTTTTCTTTCTTCTGCCCCCGCCAGGACCCCAGTCCTCATCAGAATCACTGTCAGATGACTCTATGCTCGGCATATTTAAACGACGCAATCCCATCTTCTCACGAAGGATATCTTCTGGTGGCAGTGGAAGGCCTGTTGAATAAATTACATGAAATTTGAATGAATATGTGAAATGCATTTTCGAATGACTCATATGTCTTTCTTTACACATAAGGCTCTAGGAAATAAGCTACTGCCAAGTAAGGACCTACATAGTTACCGGTTACTTGCAAGTGCAACTCTGATTCTAAGCTATTTGGGAAATGACTATATCTCAAACCTGACAGTCCAGTTTGAGACTACTAAATAAATGGAATTTTTTAGTTTTTGTTGGGGATTTTGTTATTGATTACCCTCAATGATCTTCAATTTTCACTTCGGTTATTTTCAAACTACGATCCTGGATTAAACGTCATTGGAAACATGGCAAATCAAACTCCACAGCTTTGGTTCCCACTTACTCTCTGAACAAAGTCTGATTAACAAAACTAAGTAGAAGAGCACACTGAAAGAATATAGATATCAAAACAACAAAGACTTTTCTGTCAAACTATTTTCTGTTACTACACTTGTATTAGAGCACTGGTTCTCAACCAGTGGCCCATAGCCCACAGCTGGACCACAAAAAGATTTTGAGATGGGCTACGGAACTACTAAAAATTGCTTGTTCTATTCGTATCGCTATCCTTAATTTTGACCTTTTTTTTGCTATTGAATAGTAATTTTTTTGTCTAATTATTATAGGGAAAGTGTTCATTACCTCAGAAAAATTTTGATTCTTTTTGTAGTTTTTCCCTTGCAATAAAAGTTAATGGGCAACAAGAATTTTTAGGCAACAAAAATAGGCCACAGAAGCAAGAACCACCATACAGAAGCTAAGATTCTATTAAAATGCAACTTACTCCCAGAACAATATCTCAATTACCTAGCTCAAGTAGCAGAGTACATTTATTTTCCAATCTAACAATTCTACGTTTCTGAAAAGCACACTGAGCCTCAAACTGTCCTGGTTTGAACAATTTCCTCAAATTCACTCTTTGAGTTGCTTTCTTTAGCATGCCCTCAAGATCTAGCCTGGAATACCGAATATGAACTGTAAAGGCAACAAGCAAAAACTGGCAAACTTTAATACAAGACCTTTATCTACACCTTTATTTAACACGGGTTCTCTAGTAATTGCAAGCACAAAATTTTTGATAATGATCTTATGGCATGTGCATGGTCATGTCATAGGTATATATAATAAATTACGCTAAGAATTGGAATTACTCACAGAAACCAGATTAAACAAAATTAAAATAGTTTCACGAGCTGCATACCATTCGATATTGGCACTTCTAAGGGAGCCACACAAGTTTTCTTCATTATTTATGTCTATCTACGTATTTCCAATGTTTTTTGAATAAAATATACTTTCGTCTTACTATCAGCCTTGTGTAGCTTATTGTTTAGCAAGTTATTTTTGAGATGGGAAGCAAGACTTGACAAATTCTAAAAAGGAGGGGGCGTGAAATAATGAAAGAAAACCACTGCACTAGGCCATCATGCTCGCAAAATACTTTTGATTCATACAAACCTCGTAAAAGCAGAAATCCCTTCAGTACTTTCATAATCTTCATCATCACTACTGCTACTAGTGGTGTCGCTATCACCCTCATGACTCGGTGCTTTCTTTTTTTGTTGTTTCATGGTGGAGGATGTCTCAGGTTCTGTTTTGCTTCGCTGGTTTTGGGCAGAAGATGAAGGCTCATCAATTGGGCCTATGAAATTATAATATTGTGAAATAGTGTTTCCCAGCGATCCCAAGATAGTAATTTAATTCTTATAGAGTAGGAATTTTAACTATGTAATTAGTGAAGTATTACTAATATTCATTACTTATTTAGTATAAGGATAGGATTTACATATTTATCCTGAGAATGAAGAAAGCTGTTAGAATGTTTTAATCATTTGGTAAACCATGGGCATCCGACCGGTTACCAGTCCATCTTGGGTGGGGATTAGTTAGCCAGTTATTTTTATTTACAGATGCATGGACTTGTAATACTCTCTTATGGGCACTACAGAAGCATGTGTACCAATATGGAGGTAACTAATATTGTTCGTCTACTTTACATCAAGTTGTGTAAAGGGACTGAAACCTAGTGTTCACACTTGGCTAACACAGACAGTCTCCGAACTCGTAATAGATCTAGAATAAGAAAAATCAGGATAAAATTATGTCCTAAGCCTAACCTGGTACATATACTACAGGAGTACCCTTTTATGGGCTCATTATGAACTATTTGCACAAAAGCTAGAGAGAAAGGTTGACTGTTTTAAGTATAAATTACCTGTTTCCTCAGGACGCTTGCTTTCCAGATTTTTTGCTTTTTCATTGTTATCCTTAGCATTCATGGAGTTCTCTCCAATACTTCTTTTGTCTGAGTTTTTCTGATCACTTGTGTCTCCCTTTTCAACACTTTTGGCAACGGCTTCGCAGTTCGCTTGTTTATGATTACTATTGTTGCCTCTCACATGATCCTTTACATTTTCACCATTATCCCCATTTTCCAGAGAGATTTTCCCATCACTGTCTGAGTCTTTTCGATCACAAATGTCTCCATTTTCACTCTCTATTCCGACACTTTTGTTAATGTCACCACAGTTTTCTTGTTCTTTATTCTCGCTACCCACGCAATGCTTTACATTTTCACCATTTTCCAGGGAGATTTTTCCATCAATGGTTTCGTTATTTGCACATACATTCTGTTTTTTAGTATTATCGCCACATTCAATCCCATTATCATGTTTGCCCGAGGAGGTCTCAGTCACCTCATTTCCTTTGCAGTTTTGTAATGCATTTTTAATCTTGTCCTTGCTCAAGTTAGAATCTTTACCATTATCAGCACTACATTTTCCTGGTTCACTTCTATCAAAATTTTGTCCGTCTTGTTTGATCAAGTCTTTTTCTTTAGCGTGAATAGCTTTACCTTCCTTGCTTTTATTACCGTGCCGAATTTCATTATCTTTCAATCCTTCAGTTTCTTTTGCCTCAAAATTTTTGCTGTCCCCATCACCTTTGCTTTGGCTAGAGTTATCACCCATGCCGATAAAGTCTTCGCTAGATTCTGCCTTTTGACTATCAATTTCATTACCTTTTCCTTGCTTTACTTCTAAGCCTTTGGTTTGCCCACCATTATTATCTAGAAATTAGAAAAAGTTTTGATTTATCAATGCGAAAAAAGTTTGAAAAACTGCTCAGTAATGAATTTTGAAAAAACGTTAATGATTTGTAATGACTTGCACCCATGTCATTCTAATGAAAGAAAAGATTTATTTGAATGAAATAAAGAACAAATATCTTCAAGTAGGGGGGAGTGTTCTGAAATTTGTAAGTACTATGTTAGATCGTATAAACCATGGTTGTGCAAACTGTGGCCCACAGGGAAAAGTTCATGCGGCCCATGGGAAAGTGCCAATTTTTAATGGTATGCCCGCGAAACAAGTTTATAATTTAGTTAATATGGTACATGCGAGCAATTCCAATCTGTTTGAGTCGCAAAACCTATTATACCCGCACCTGAGTGCCACTGCCATATTAGCAAAACTTCTAGGCTTCACTCAGTTACTTGTATCTGAACCTTCTATAATAAAGGTTGAACACCCCTGGTATAAATTTCAGTTCAGTTTATTTGAACCGCAGCCCGGCTCATTGTGCTGAGTATTAGGAATAGGCTCACCACCGCACCTCTGATTACTCGGGTAGTGGGTTCGCAGATTCGAATCCCATGCAGGGATGGTTATATGCGAGAGGACTACTGGACTACTCGCCGCCTTAGGGTGGTTCACGTAATCGCTGGTCGGTTACGGCTTTCTCAATCATCAAGTCCATACTACCGAAAACAAATAACTAACTAATCCCATACCCGACAAGGACTGGTAACCAGACGAGAGGCCGTGGTTGGCCATATGGTTAAGCTGCCTTATCGGCTTTCCTCTTCTTCGAGATAAATATGTAAATCCTATATTATATCCTACCTCCGCCACTATTCTTGGTTTTTGTGGATTTCTTTTTTTTTTTCCTATTTCTTCGTTTGAGATTCTTTTTTATCTCAGCTTCATCACTTTTATCTACTTTTTGTCCTTTTTCATTTTTATTCTTGCTCGTTCCGCATTCATTTCCTTTGTTATCATCCTTTTTCTGCAGGTTATTCAGCTTTTGTAAAATTGGATTATCTGCTGGACTGCATTTTGATACTGTGCTAAGTAAATTAGCCAGAGCTGATGCAAAGTTACCAGTATCGGTACAATCAGGCATTTCATCCATGACTAGATTGAATTAGAAACAACCTAAATTCCCAAAATCTGCCACACAAGAAAAGCAATTTTTGTTAAACGAATAAAATTTCATGCCTACCAATCTGAACAAGGCTCTGTATGGACAGCAACTGGTAGAATAGGATAGGATTTACATGTTTATCCCGGGGGAAAGGAAAGCCGATAAGACGGCTTATCCATATGGCGAACCACAGCCTCTCGTCCGGTTACCATTCCAAGTCGGGTATGGGATTAGTTACCGTATATTGTTTGTTTTCAGAAGCATGGACTTGGTGGTGGAGGAAGCCGTAACCGACCAGCGGTTACGTGAACCACCCAACGACGGCGAGGAGTCCAGCAATCCTCTCGCACATACCCATCCCTGCATGGGATTCGAACCTGCGAACCCACGCAGAATAATTAGAGGTGAGGTGGCGAGCGTATTCCTAACGCTTAGCCCGTTGAGCCATACCGCCGCGAAATTACATATTTATCCCGGTCTTGCCGGAGAGACGAAATCGATAGGGTGACTAAATCATATATGGGGAATCACAGCCATTTGTATCGTACCAAATGCTAGAGTAAATCATTTTTATTTGTGTATGTGGAGAGGGATTTCAAAATCCAAAGAGATTCCAACGGGTGGCCCCATTCAGACAGGGATTTCACGAATAATTACACTGAACCAAATAAACAATTTATACCACACAGACTATGTGATAAATTAGCAGAAATTTTTCATTACATGGTATAGGTACACATTGAAGATAGAACGGACCTCCTGAAGTATGCGCACCAAGATGGTACACAACCTGAGTTTCGTTTGTACGCGATTGTGCGGTTATTGGTTCATACTTCAGGAGCACCGATAAAACTAACATGAATTTACTTTGGAAAATGAATATGAAAATGAATTAATAGAAAATGAATGAATGGACTTGGATGAGAGTAACCAACCAGCGGTTATGTAAACCACCCAACGGATACATTAAAAATCTACCATTTTTTGAGAAGACAGAGTATTTTTTTCAGCATCTCTTAGTCTTATATGGAAAAAATGATAATAAACTAACTAACAGATTGAAAAAATCTTTAAGGTGCAACCATATCCAAGAACAACAAAAAAATCACATAAATATACCTTTAAAAAAATGCGCCAGAATTACTGTAACTTTCGGCAAAAAGATTGCTGTCCCATTACTTACCTTAAAAAATGACGGCAATACCATGCCCTGCATCAGTGCTTAAAAAACCTACTGCCTGATTGTTAACTAAAAACAAAACCAGCTAGGCTAATTACAAAATTAACTAGCGTTATACAGTACCGGTACAGTGATGGGAAATTAGCAGTGAACTAAATGTAAAAACTGCTAACCAGTACCTAGTTGGTTTTTAGGCTAGAGCGACCAGGAGTGATGTTCGTCACTATTTTGGAATCTGAAGCCCAATGTTTGAACTGATTCCAAGACTCAGAGACAGGCAATTTACCGACGGTCAAAAAGTTATTGTGAGCACGCTACCGGTACCTTCCGAACAGTACCGGTACCCATGGGCACACCACAACTTGTCTAGTCCTTTTACGCCTGTGCATTGCCACAAATTTATTATATACTTTCAGTATCTATACTTTCACGGTACTTATTTTATCAAACAAAATAAACATTCATCCCGTTGTTTAACTCAAAACTCGGCCCAGACAAAATGGTTTCATTTGGAAGATGACAATTTGCGCGCCTTTTTGATACCACATGTGGCGCTAACGATTCAAAATGAAAAAGGGGTTAATTCGAACTAAAGTCGGTACTATAAATTTAAAATAAAATTACACAAAAAAACATTAACTTTTGACTTAATTAAGATGATATTGTTTATTAATATGTGATATACCGGTACGTAATCGACACAAAATACCATAACATAACAAGGAAAATAGCAATGAATCAAATAGGAAATTGTCGATATCGTGAGAAACGAACATATGGCCGTAATTACTTTCTGAAAGTAGGTGGCAGAAGCTCATGAGTTTACAAGTTGCCCTTTATATTCTCTGAAAAATCTGCTAATTTTGCCGAAATCAACATTTTTATTGATAAATCTTTTTAGTGCGTCTTTCGCTACGGTCGAGTAGGCGGTTGCATAACAAATCATTATGAATGACATAACGAAATCCCTCAGGACAAAAACATTACGTAAGGTAAGCGTGCGTGATTTTATAATAGACTTGCTGAATCACAGTTAGTGCGCACAATTTTGTAAGGCTTCGTATTTACCAACCTCAGTTACGCTCAGTAGGTTTGTTATTATGCAGAAGAGTTTCTTCAGGTGAGTTGATACTTATTCTACGCCATTATAAAATATAGATGCCATTCTTATCAAATATTTTATGGCCTGTTATGCTGATTATACAGTCGAAATAGGGTTTGAATTTTTTGTCTGAAATTAGATAATTTGACGGCACAACCGCCAAGCAGAAGTAACTTATTCTATAGTCTACTTATTATAGTACAGTATTAGAGTTGCACCAACCGTGATCGTAAAAATAATACTTTTAAACAATTTCTGATTCCCAGTTGACTATCAGTAGTGTCCGCTCAGTCACTAACTCAAGATTTATACCGGTACCGGTACAGCACCGTACCATACCTCGACAAAGTTCCTGTTTTCGATACCGGTACCGCAATTTCTTTTCAAATAGTAAATGCACATACAATGAAAATTTGTGTTAGATATGCATATTGATAGTGTAATGTGTATATTGATCTGATATAAACAATGGACCTTTTTGTGCTGTACCAGTACCGGTACCGGTGTCTGGGAAGTATAAACATAGTCTAGAGGTGGATTTTTTCAGCAAATTTTGGTAACCTGGCAGTTTGTAAACTGAGCCAGTGTTAGGTAAAAACCCAAAGTGATGTCCATGATTTGTGCATAGACTGCTATGGAACATCCAATTCATTTACCAAGCTTGTTTTTTAGTAAAAAAAAATTTGTCACTGTGTTATTTTTGCAATATAATTGAAGTAGGCCCACAACATCACCATTTTTCGTCAGCGAGTGTTTTAATCCATATATCTGTATAGGAAAAGCACATACACGTCTCACATTTTAATTTGAATTTATAAGTTGTTGCCCGATGTTACATCGTGTTTTTGTTTTATTTTGTTTTTGGGGGACGGGCACGTACTTGTACGTATTTAACTTTTTTATTAAGTTATGCCCGTCCTCCAGGTCCTCTGTATTTTGTTTGTCCCTTTGTTGTTGTTTTGTGTTTTGTTTATATCAGAGTGACCGAATAAAATTGATTGATTGATTGATTGAAGTCAATTTGAGTCAGGTTATCTTAGTCACAAGTCAAGTATGTCATTGGCAATTAATAGAGTAGGAGACATTTCATTCAAATGACTCAAAGTTTTTGATAAAAATGGCCACATGCTATGTCAATAACTCAAACCTCCCAACATTGGCTAGTGTTCTGGTATTACAAAGTACTGGCATGCATTTACCTTGATTGAGCCATGGATAAGAGTGTGGAATAGTTCTAGATTTTTATAACTGATTACTTGCTTCCAATTTTTTCATTTCCCAAACTGCTTTTTAGTTTTGTTGTAACATATTAACCTAATAAACTCACAACCCTTTTCTGTAACATTTTTGTGTCTGAATCAGAACCAAATTTATTGTCATTTTTTACCCGAGGCCTAATGTGTGCCTCATTCATTTTTATCACTTGAGCCTCTTTCTGCTAGGCTACATCATGTCCATTTATAAATGTAATCATATGCGTGTTATTTTACTATTACACATAAATACAGAAATAGTACAAACTTACTATAGTAAATATTGTGTAGCGAAAAATTCCTAAATTCCCTATTTGGCCTATATCTATATATAAATCTTTGTTTCATAGATGGTTCAACTGACAAGAGCGTTATTGTTCATAAATCTGCTGAGAAGATCAAGCTTTTGTGTTATGGGAGAAAATTTATCTACTGGACAAGTGAGTGTTACATTTATTTCAATCTCGCGAAGTGAACGCCGTAAATGCGTTCAAAAATGTGATGGGAAAATATGACACAAAATTTCCATTTTTGAATAAAGTTCCATTTTGTGTGAACACAATCCCTATTTGCCGTGGGGCATACATGCTTAGTCTAAAGTTGAGTTGGTTTGATTTGAACTGAACCGATGTTTTAAGCCGTGTCATGCAGCAGTGCAGACTTTTTTAAAAATACATTCAAGTTTCACATCACATTTTCATCACACATGACATCTCAACCTAAGGCAAATATAATAGAGAAAATTTGTTCAGAAATTTTGTGTTGTTACAGGAACAGAATAGTTCTTATGACATAATATCATTTGCATTGCAGCTCAAATTTTTTTTATTAGTTTAGGTTTGTTTATAATGGAAGATTAAAACTACGGGGATATTGAAATAGCTCATACTTTTGATATTAAATTTATGAAATCTTATCAATTTTGAATATTTGGTTAATTTTGGACCCTGCTTGGATGTACTTCTGAGATTTGAGTAGAATTTGAATATTTCATTTTTTCATCAGGGAATCACAACAACTAGTGACGCAGATATGCATGCAGTTAATGGAAACCCCCTCAAGGCTCCGTTCCCTGACAATACACGGATGGCCATGTTTGGTAAGTATTTGTTACTTAGATTAGTATAGGATACATTTTACTATTTGTCCTGGGAAGATTTTATGGCAGCGTAATTATGCACAGTTTCTCATCCAGTCACGGTCCGTGTCAAAATGTTAATGTGTATCTACTAGTGCATAATGCGCAACTAATATAATTCTATATTGTATTACTCTTCTTTTTTTTTGAGTGAGTGCCTGTAACTTTGTTCAGAGATGAGTTACCTTACTTCTGAGTGAAGGCACGTAACTTTGTCTTCTGAGTGAGTGCCAGTAATGGAAATTTTTTTTTTCGAGTGAGAGCCTGTAACTTTTCTCAGAGATGAGCCTTCATTACTTCTGAGTGAGTGCCCTTACTTCGCTCAAAGATGAGTCTCCTTTACTTCCGAGTGAGTGCCTGTAACTTTGCTTAGAGATGAATCTTTTTTACTTCTGAGTGAGTGACTGTAACTTTGCTCAGAGATGAACCTTCATTACTACCGAGTGAGTGCCTGTAACTTTGCTCAGAGATGAGTTCCCTTTACTTTTGAATGATCTAGCATTGATCGTATAGCCCAATTAAAAAGATCTAAAATTCCATTCTATTATCCACACAGGCATGGGATGTTTCTGGGGAGCAGAGAAAAAATTCTGGCAATTAGAAGGAGTCTATTCAACACAAGTTGGGTAAGAATTCAATTTTTAACAATTTCGGCTTTTTCATAATTTTCACTCTTGAACAAGGACGTGTACACCAGAAATTTTCCAGTTAAAGTTATCCAGAATGGTAGTCATATATATTCAAATTTACTGGAGGGAGTCCGAGTTTGTTTCTAAAATTTTTGGTCTTTGGAATTAGATTTGATTTTTATGATTCTCAGTTGTGTATTCAACTGTTTCTTATCTTTTATTTTTTTTGCTATCAGATATTCAGCGGGACACACCAAGAATCCGACATATAGAGAAGTCTGTTCAAGCATGACTGGACACAACGAAGTCGTCAGAGTGGTTTACGAGCCAGAGAAAATTTCTTATGGGGGTTTATTGAAGGTATCTACAATACATAAGTTTTAGGCAGATAGGATTTATTCTAGGAGAGTTCTTTTCCACAGGTTCTTTTTTGGCTGTTTTTTTTCTGTGTATATTGCAACTTCAAATTTTGTTGGAAATATTATGTATAAGAGGATTAGTGTGGTTTTTACTGTTTTGAGTTGGTTTATGAATAAATATTCCTAATATGAACACTAAGCTATTATGTTGACTTTCGTCCCTCAGGATAAACATGAGAATCATATCCTAACTAGAAGTAATGTATGGACTCAAATAAATATGATTTTCAGCGTTTTGGTCAGTTTCGACTTTCCGTCATGATGTCATAAAACCGAAAGAACTGGTAAACTATTCCCATACCAAATTTGTTTTCAATCCAGATCCAAATACATAGCCAATTCAATATTGGTTTCAGATTTGTAGAATAGTGGACACAATAAATATTTCCATACTTCCCTTGTCAAAATACATGGTCTGCCTTAAAATTAATCCATCTTATCAACTTTCCTCTCCTGGAATATGCATGAAAATCTTATCCTATCTGTATTTCAGACCTTCTGGGAGAGCCACAACCCAACTCAAGGTGACAGGCAAGGTAATGACAGAGGGTCTCAATACCGATCAGGCATTTACTATTATGATGAAACACAGAGACAAGAAGCTGAAGAGTCAAGAAAGGCTTATCAAGCGGTAAATAAATGGCCCCCACCCTTTTCGATCTCGCACTCTTGCTTTTGTGTGTTTAGACTAGTTTATATTGTGTGCATAAATATGTATTATCATAACAGTGGTTCTCAAACTTTTCAAACTGCGCCCTCTTTTGATAAATCCCGCGCTCCCACCTTGAAAATAACTGTCTAACAATAAGCTACAAATAACAGATAGTAAGGCGAAAGTATGTTTTTTTTTAAAGAACATAATGAAAATATATGGATGAAACATAAATATCAATATAAAGAAATGTAAATATCCAAAATAAAGCGGGGAAGATCAAGTCTAAAAATATTTTTATTTTCAATTAGCTTCCTCTCCGTTCAAAAAATTGTCTACGCGCCCCACTGTTAGAGAACCACTATACTATAATACAAATAACTAACAATATTAGTGAAACTGCACCAAAATACAGGATAAATATTTCCCTCCCAAAAACAGCAATATACCTCCCTGAAAATTTCTTCCCTTCGGATTTGAAATTGAAGTCAAAATTTTAGAGAATAGAACTCCGGCCACTGGTCAACTGAAAACTGACCTCAGATCTTGGCTCTGAGAAACCTAATTTTAACCACTAGAAGTTTGTCATTTGTTTAATTCAGGGGAATGCAACCTTTAATACACGAGGGCCAGACACAAATACCTGTATGAAACCGTGAGTGGCACTAAACATAGGCTTTCTAGTAGTTGCAGACACAAAAATTGTAGCTATTGATCTTGTGACATTTTATGAGAGTCGGATTCCCTTTTAAAATATAAAAAAAGCATTTTTCTGTGCCATACATAACATTTTTCCGTAGTTTGAAACACATTAGACCAGGCTGGATCCGGCCCGTGGAGCACGACAATCTGACTCGCGGCGCTTCACTAAATTATTGTATTAAAACATCCGTTTTGACGAATGTATTCTTTAGACTAAATTATATTATAACCTAACATTTATATAATTCATAATTACTCGTTTAATGAGCATATAATTGAGCAAATGGCAACAAAACGCTGAAAAGTTGATGCTAAGTGCAAAGGGTTCAATGGCGGCCAAAATATTCAAATGGAATTTTATGAGATGCAACGAGGAAATAAATCTATACTCTATTCGAAAGAAAACCGTTCGGTTTTTCAACTTTCTAAAAATATGTGCGGCCCGCCAATGACTTGCAACCTTAATTTTCGCCCGCGAGCGACAAAAGGTTGCTGACCCCTGCATTAGACACTCAAAACTCTTGATTTCTGGCCTTCTGTCGAACTAGCTGTTACAGCCTAATTTGGCAAATAAAAGTTTCAGACCCCCCCCTTTAAAAATTCCTAGCTATGCCCCTGCTCTTGACTCCAGACCTGTGATAAATGTATATACCTCCCTTATCTTTTATACTATCTTTATATTAAGGAGCTTGATAAGACAAGATATGGAAAGATAACAACAGAGATCAAACCAGCGGCGGAATTTTATTACGCGGAGGAATATCACCAACAATATCTCCATAAAAATCCAGGGGGTTACTGCGGACTTGGGGGCACTGGGGTTTCATGCCCGATTGGGCTCAAGAAGAAAAATGTCCCCCATTCAGAATTGTAAACTGATGAGAGAAGAAATAGATCAAAAGGCACTTTGTATATACTTGTTTTTAATAGCAATACGCAGAAACAATGGTGCTCCCATAGTGTGTGTACCAGGTTAGGGTTATGCCATGATTTTGTTCCAATTTTCCTCATTTTAGTTCTATTACAAGTTAAGGGAATGTTTGTGTTAGCCACATGAATATCCCCCCTGCCTATAGGTTTCGGTTCCTTTACACGATTTGATGTGAAATAGGCGAACAAAATTAGTTACCTCCATATTGGTACACATAATTGTGGGGCAGTTATACTATTCTAAATTACTTGAATCTAACACAGAACACTGATTTTAAATATATTTTTATTATCTACAGTAATTCCAGTGTTCTGTAACCATCACTGAAAAAACTAAACTCAATTTCACAGCACTGTATTAAACAAATTTTTCGCTATAATTTTTATAGCCTCTTGGTACTGGCACTTTAGTGATTGCCCCTAGCTGTTTTCTGGTCAAATTGACACAAGTCTCATGCGAATTCGTATTTACTTAGCAGGGGTGTGCAATCACGCAAAGAAAAATTGTGCGACCCGTAGAACAAGTTTTCAATTGAGTTTAATCTGGTGTGTGTGAGTAATAACAATTGCAAAGCTTATACCTGAGTCCAATTTATTATATATGCCTATGACGTTACAATGCCTTAACAGCTGGCTTGTGCAAACAATGCATGTCACAAGATCAATAACTAAATTTTTTGTATGTGCAACTACTAGGAAGCCTATGTTAAATGAAGATGCGGCCCACGGTTTCACCCAGTTATTTTTTCAAGGTTCCCATTACGTAGCGTAATTCTGTTTCTTCGGGCACTTTAGTAATTACCCCTAGATATTGTCCTGATCAAATTGACATAAATTGCATTGATAAGTCTCACGTCAATTCCTATTTACTAAGCATAATTTTGCACTTTGATTCTTCATAGTTCCAGTAGCCCTTGGCGCTTATCGTTCATAACTTTGCTCATAGATGAGTTTCTTTTTTTTTCAGCTCTTTTATTGATACTCCCGTAGTATGTGTACTAGGTTAGTTAGGGTTAGGCCATAATTTTTATTCCAATTTTCCTTATTTTAGTTCTATCACGAGTTCGGGGACTGTCTGTGTTGGCCAAGTGAATATACCCCTGCCCATAGGTTTCAGTCCCTTCACACAACTTATGTAAAATAGGCAAAGAAAATTAGTTACCTCCATATTGGTACACATACTTCTAAAGCGTCCCTTTATTTAGATCAGAGATGAGTCTCTGTACTCCAAGAGTACATGATGTATTTTTTGGTGCTCCAAGTATTGCCCATAACTTTGCTCCGAGAGATCATCATTTTATTTTTGAGTGAGTGGGGGCGCACACATCTCTTCAAGGAAATTTCCATTAAAAATGGTTTTATCTGTAACTTCTCTGATTTTCTAACATACTGTAATTCGCTAAATTCCGATATGTGGTGTTAGAATTGTTTCATGTTTTCTTAATTTTATCTTATTCCACAGGTATTGCTATAATTGTGTTTTATCTTTTTGATTGTCTGACAGGCTTTTTTTATTAACCTGATATTTCTCCACCACTATTTTTATAATTTTTACTTTCACTATGGTTATCTTAGGCCGAGTTACAATTGTTTACTCGTATGACTGGTATAATGTTGTGTTGAATTAATGTTTTGTTCGGGTGATATATACTCTATTGCGCGGCAACTCAACTATTTTTCACAAAGGTTTGTTTAGAAAACTTACAAAATTACTAAGCTCCGACATTACAGAAAATTTATTTTATTAAATAAACGAACCTCAAATGCACTAATAACCTAAATACAAGAGCAATGAATGGCTCGCAAATATGGACACAAATATCGCACATCGGTACCAGTGCGACACACTGTATAGTGGTGTATTTAAATTGTTTCAAAATCATCTAAAACTATAAAATGACGCTTAGGCTGCCAAAATAAACAAGCAGATGTGGTCCATATTGAATGGTCGAAAGGGTCGAATATGGAACACGGTCAACAATCAATTTCGAATTTTCAATACTTGAAAATAGAAGGTTATTACTCCGCTTTTTCTTATCTATCTATCTTATCTTATTCTACCAAAAAAATCATAATGCAGATTCGTGTCTAATGTTTTAATTAATGTTTTATTTGTGCATTATAGACTATGCCCCATGCCTAAATCCTTGGACTCAAAACCATATTGGCATTGTGGGTTGACAAAACTTTGAGTTCAAACCCCCAAACTCACTCAGGTTGCAATGAACTGGTTACGTAATGTTCAAGTGATAATATTAAGTCTTGAAAAATTGTGGATTTTTACAAATCAGTTATACAAGCACTTTGCATTTAAAGTTCATAGAGTTTATTAAAGTTCATTGACCTAACTAATTTTGCATTTAGAGTTCTTAGAGTTTATTAAAGTTCATTGACCTAACTACTTTTTCAAGTTCATAGAGTTCAAACGCATAAGTACTTTTCCTCATTTTTATATTAATCTTTGTTTATCGTTTTTGTGTGTAGATCTTCAAACAAACTGTATATGGGCACTTCATGTATTTTATTGTAATTTATAATTAATATTGCTTTGGTGTTGTGATTCCACTTTGAATAGAAAGATGTATATAAATATATATATGAAAAACTGGGTGGAACAGTCTTAATTCTGGGCTATGATAAGTTGTAAATACTCGTCTCCAAACCCAAAGCCTCAACTTCAATGAGATTTATTATTTTCAACCAAAAAAACATGAGAATGAAAGTTTCTTCGGTATGGACTGGAGGGAGCGATACGATCGTGGGGTCATCAGTCTGCTCCCAAAATGATTCTCAATCCTTTTCATTGAATTTCTCCCTTCGCATATTCGTTTAGTTCCCTCCTTATGCGTGGAAACTGCTTTAATTGTTCAATCTTTAATGAATCCTCAGCTGGTATTATGTGCGAGTTGCATTCAAGCTTTGGCATAGTTTAAATAAGAGATGCGCAACCTGCGGCCCACGGAGAAGTGTCAATTTTGTATGATGTGAGGCCCACGAGACAAGAATTTAATTCGTTGCGTGCGAATAATTCCGATTCCTTGCATTGCGAATTTATTATCTATGACGTTACAATGCCACAACAGCTAGCTTGAGCGAACAACGCAACTACTGCCTGCAACTACTAGAAAGGCTATGTTAAATAAAGGTGCGGCCCGCGGTTTCACCCAGTTATTCCTATCTGGCCCTCCCGTATTGAAGGTTGCACACCCCTGGGTTAGTTAGTTATGGTAGTATGTGTCCATTATAGTAGTATTATCAAATAAAAATGCCTTCACAAGTATGATCAATTTCTTTCCCGTGGAGAAATTCCCCCGATTGGGAAACGTTGTTCTTCTTAATGAGTCAATCACCGGGCTATGCTTCTGTAAGTCATGGGTCGGCAACCTTTTGCCATTTGGCATCCTTTCAATCAAACTCAAACATATTCGGAGCTTGCGACATCTACTCTAATGTCATTGGCTATTAAAACTCCAAGAAAACCAATTATGATGATTTAATAATTTGGTTCTTACTAAGAAGAAGCTAAATAAAATATGAAGATGTAATAGTTCAGTCTACGACAAAATGAAAATAACTTGTAAAATGAAAAAAGTCTGTTTTGACGGACTTTAATCAATTCAAATGCGACCCATTTTGACCGCTCGAGATTCATACTTTGGGAACCCCTGTGACGTCTAATTAGTGAGGAGTATTTGGCTTTATTCCCTCCCCTTCCGTTGAATGCTCACTGCTTCTAAAAAAACTGCTGTAACCACTTTGATTCACGGAAGCCAGAACCTTGAGAACAAAGGGTCGCATGCGGCCCGGAGCCGCAGGTTGGCGTATTCATGTCGCTCCATTTAGATGACTCAGGCCTTTGATAAGTCGATGGTCAAGTTATTTTTCGGTTATCGTTTTTCACACTGTGGGTCGAGGTAATCGGATCATTTCCGTATTAGCGAAAATGATGAGTCGAACAAACTTTACCACGATAAGTGTGGTGACTAGGTGACAACACTGTTTGGAGAACATGTAGGCCTACACTAATTGTATGTAGGCTTGTCCTGGGCATGAATGAACCGGGCTGGATTTCAAGAGTGTCTCTTCTGATCCACAGAAAATTTTAAAAAAGAGAGTAATCGGGTATGTGTCTCACAAGTGTTGTTTTCAGTAGCTCAGATATTTTTTTTGTTTCAAGTTTTATGCTCGCTTTATTCAATTTTTTCATGAAATTCTTCAGCCAAATAATCTGATATTTTATCAGAGGACATCAGCTTGTAAAATACCTTCCAATGCAGCCAGATTTCTCAAGATCATAACATTTCCGAGACTGTTTTCTGTTCACTCAAACATGAATAACACAGTATTTTATTTATTACAATTCATTCCAGGGAGGTTATACACGAATACATATAAATACGCAAAATATAAAATGAAACTGAAGTGTCTCTGAAAAGTAAGAATCTGTCGAATTGTATGTAATCCATACCGGTTAAGGGATAATTCGACTTTTTTGGTGAGATTTTACTAAAACTTACAGCACAACATGGTTATGTTTTTCAAATTAAAGATATAATATATAAGATAGGATTTACAAATTTATCCCGGGGAAAAAAAAACGATAATATGGCTTAATCATATGGCGAACCACGGCCTCTCGGGTATGGGATTAGTTAGCCAGTTATTTGATTTCAGATGCGTGGACTTGATGATGGTTGATATAACCAAGTCAAACCAGTTAATTTAGATTTAGACTAAAGTATCTGACTTGGGGGATTGAAGAAAAGCGCTACCGTTTCTATTGGTCGTCGTTTAACGACAGAAGGAACCTCGACAACAACAGCTAAAATATACATTTTTACCACTGGCTTTACTAGTTATATATGTATGCATTAATAAGCTACTCGGGGCAAGTAGTATGCAACATATCACTAATAAGATAAAATATAATTGAAACAAAGTCTACAAGGGTTTGTCTGTGAAAGCTGATACTGCTCAGTGTCGTCTCTCTTGCTCACTTAGGAATGAGCGACTCTGACTTTTCGTCTTCTGTGTCTTCTTCTACGACACCAGAGAAAGCGTCGTTGGTACGGTTCCCTGACAAGTCTTGATAATCTGTCGGACCTGGAAACGTTGGATAGGTGTTCGGATATGATTATTTACAAGTGGCGGAATTCACGGTGCACTCATGAACCCATTTATAGGATTTCGTACCATCAGTGAACCCGTTTTAATTAAAGAACGGGGGTGTGCAACATTTTTCGTCAGTGGCTACACAGATATTCAGCTAATCCATGCGGGAAAGAATGCGACTATTGCTTAGCCTCACTGAAATAAATGCGCCGGGCAAAGCGGAAAGATTTAATGCAGCGACAAGCACAAAAGCACTTTTCAAACATAAACTGTCATATTCGGATTTTAGGCGGATTATGATGTCGAAGTGTTGACAACAAAAGTCGCAATGAATGGCCTGGTCTGGCAGTCGGTTTGTGGTTCGCAAGAAAAGCCGACAAGGCGGCTTAATCATATGACGAACCACGGCCTCTCGTCCGGTTACCGGTTTATATCGGGTATTGGAATAGTTAGCTATGTGTTTCAGGGGCAATGATTTGGTGGAGGAAGCCATGACTGACCAGCGTTACGTGAACCACGCTATGGCGGCGAGGATTCCAGTAATCTTCTCACACATAACTGTGAAATATGGAAAAATTCTCCCTAACCTTGCTATCGCAAAATTTTGGATGCTTATTTTGCGAATGCTTTGCAGAGTTAGCACATACAAACTGATTCACATCATCAAAACCATCCGTTTTATTGAAATATACAACCACGTGCCACTTACCTACTAATAACAAATTCGGCCTTGTCCATCGCAGCTTTTGTGGGACTAATTTTTGATTATTGCAATTGAACTCAAGTTCATCGGAAGATATATTGACTATCATTTACAACTAATTTTTTGAAACTCACAAATCCACGGAAACGGAACAATGTTTACACACATTTTTGAATATCTGTCTGAGCGAACGAAGAGATGGAGCGTTGCAAAACATACAATTGTTACGTGGCCATTGATTTTCTTATGATTGGTCATTGTTACGTAAATAAACAAGAAAATCGATGCGCGGGGAAAGATTCACAACTTCCCGGGAGAAAATCGGGCGTTATCCTAATATTGTGACCCGCCCCACATTCTCTGTTTTCTTTATCAACTTCGATACCACCATTACCAAGGGAAGCGTAACTTAACCGGTTAACAGTTGAATGGACTTCGATCTCACGCAGGGCGATCAGAGTTGTGTTGACACTCGCTTAGCACGATGCGACATACTGCTGAGACAAACAGGAGAATACTTTCGCTTCCAATTATATTTCTGCTCCGCATTCGAACTTCTTGTAATGATCAACCATTCCCAAATTTGATTGTTAGTGATGTCACAGCTTATTTAATACTACCAATTATGACGTCAGCAGAGGTTGGTACCCTTTTTAGATCTGTGTGCATAATTCAACCGGGTGGATTTTCATACTTTTCTGCGCCGCACGAATTGGCTATCGGTTTCATTACATTTATAACATAACATATTGCAACTAGGGTGTTGTATATATCTAATTCTAAAATCCGAGTTTTTACAATTTTTGAACATGGATTTCATTTTCTTCTGAAATGATGCAAATTAGATATTATAAAATAACCATAATGCGTTAATAATTTCAATTTACGCAATAGCGTATCTAGGGTATGTGCGCCGTTGGACAGGGGCGAAAAGAGTGAACATTTTTAATCGTGAAATGTTTTAAAGAACTGATTTCAAATTATAAATAAATGAAACTTGTAATTTTACTTTTTTTTTAATAATAACGAACAAGGATCTTATTCCAACAATAACCCATAAAAATTGTCAAGTATCGACCATCACGACTGGTGGAGGCAGACGATGTTAGTTAGCCAAAGTTTCAGATTTTTTACATTTTAAACAGTACTCAAGAGTGCATTTTGGATTTGGTGCCGAACGCTGCCTTCACAACTTTAAATTTACTATCCGTGAAAGCTTCCCGAATGCTTGGTGTGAATTTAGGAGCAGCGGGACATCACATCGTACCTAAAATCCAGGTTCGTTCATAACATGAAATGGTTTTCGGCGGCTGACGCATCGTGTTAAGCGTAAGAACTACGCTTGCAACTCACCTCTGATTACCCTGCTTGGATTCGCATATGTCGGGGGCAATGTTCAATTTTTGTAGTATGTGTGCGCAGAAATTTGGGTGTGTGCGCACTTTTTTGGAAATAACTAATATTTGTGCAAAAACCAATGAAGAAATTTTGGCGTTCTAACCGGGTAATAAGTGGGCTTATTAAGAAAATTTTGGTTATTCCATAAGTTTTTCTATAGATTGTAAATTCTTTAGTGAAGGCTATATGTTATCAGTAGATAACAATGAACATACATGGAAAATAATAAATGAAATTGATTGTAGCAGATGGTTTTATTTGAATTCAAATAAAGGATGAAAAATAAACATTGTTACATTACATTGAAATACGTCTGTGCGCAGTAAATCTATGCGTGTGCGCAGCCTCTGAAAGCTGTGTGCGCGCGCACACCTTAGAGGGAACACTGGTATGTTCGCGAGGATTGCTGAACTCCTCGCCGCCGTTGGGTGGTTTATGTACCACTGATTGATCACGGCTTCCTCACTCATCTGAAACAAATATTTGACAGACTAATCAATTACCCAGAAGGGACTGGTCACCGGACGAGGGGCCGTAGTTCATCATATTACTAAACAGTTTTACCCTTTACCCGGATAAAAATATAAATCTCTAAAAAGATCTCAAAACCCGGGCGTGGCTTTTGGCTCATCGTGCTAAGCGTTAGGAATACGCTCGCCACAGCACCTCTAATTACTCTGCGTGGGATCGCAGGTTCGAATCCCGTGCGGAGATGGTTATGTACGAGAGGATTGCTAGCTAGGAGAGGATAGCTAGCTAGGTGTTGCGGAGCATTTGAAAGGTTGAATATTATTCGCGGAGCCCCAAAATAAATTTTAAAATTGTTACTTTCAGATTATTATTCCCGAGCAAGTTAAAAGTACTTTATTTATTCTAAATGCTGAACCTTTTTTAATAGGGTTAACACAAGTCATAAATAAATCTAAATTTTATACTAAAGCTGTAAATTTGACACTTGACGAACATATTAATAAATTAGGGATCGAATCTTTTCTTTTTTGACATTTTTGAAGACTTAATTAAAAGGCCGTTAGTAACGTGCGCTATTTCATTTTGTTACAATCGCCGATTTTTTTCCGTCAGCATGGCGTGTTTTAAACACCTTTACGCCGCTGTTTATTCTCCCTAAATCAAAAATTTCCCTCGGCATATACATGTATTGTTACACAATGACGACGTTAATTGCTTTTTTGTTCTCGTGGGGAATTATGAGTTCAATGTGAAAAACATGTTACCATATTATAGTCATCGGCGACGAAATGCTAAAAATAATAATCAATAAAAGGTAAATCCACAACTCAAATTTCTTGATTGAAAAGCGGCATTCTAAAATATTTAAACTGAAACTTAAAATGGAAGATCACACTTTGGTTTCAGCAGACTCACCTCAGATTGAAAACGGTTCTATAGACATTGTAAATCACAAAATTTGGTGTTATGTTAGGTTTTCATCGTAGTAGCTGCGAAATTGAAACAGTCAATTGTGCGCGCGATTTACCTTTTTTTTTTCATTCTGAAACTACCGACGCAGCCGCACGCAATCAATGGTGCGCGCGATCCGCGATGTACCTTTTTTCATTCTGAAACTACCGACGGAGCTGAATGCAATAAAATAATTTTCAATTGTTCGTATTTTCCCCAGACATTGTGATTTTTTAAACAGCGATATCTTGCTTAAAAATAATCTCAAGTGCGAAAGAACAAATCAAGTTTGACAAATCCCAAGATCGCAAAAATACGACACCAATTTATTTATAGTTGGCAGTTTATCACATATTTTATGTTATTTTAGAATAGTATTCTTTCATTTTAGTAATCCTAATAGTAATCTCGAATCAAACGTGAGTAACGATGAGCACAACTACATTATACCGACGAGACACGTCAAATGCTCCATCGGTCTTGGATTGAATATTTTACGCAACAGAAATCTCGTTATCCGTTTTTTTAATCGCGAAAAATGTTGCGCGGAAATTTCCGATTCCAATTTTGAACCATCTCCCTCTTTAAGAATCCTGGCTGCGCTACTGCTCCTAAATAATGTAAATTTTTAATTCCGGCCCTTTACCATATTTCGAGGCTATATTGTTGTCAGATGTTATTGCTTCTTTGAACAGTTACAAAATTTTGAGTCAGTATTTTGAAGAGTAATCGAATAGCTCGCGGAGCCCCTGGGTTTCTCTCGCGGAGCCCTGGGGCTCCGTACGGAGCACTTTGAGAACCTATGTGCTTATCGCCGCCGTTGGGTGGTTCACGTAACCGCTGGTCGATTACGGCTTTCTCCACCATCAAGTCCATGTTTCGGAAAAACAAATACCTAACTAATCCCATACCCGACATGGAATGGTAACCGGACGAGAGGCCGTCGTTTGCCATATGGATAAGCCGTCAAATCGGGTTTCCTCTCCCCCGGGATAAATATGTAAATCCTATCCTTATTTCAAGTTCAAGTAAACCTCAAGCGGACACCCTTATTGCAACATCGCTGGATTGCAGCTCTTCGTTGCTTCGCGTGTATGTGCGGGGTAAATTTTATATTAGAAATTTGCAAATCGATGAATGAGAGAATCAAGCTTGAGAATCCTCATTTAAACATATCATGCAATAACACACGACACCAATGTTAGGTCAGAATCATTCCTTACTAAACAAAAACATCAATAAACAATCATTCCCATAGCGATACATGAAGGGGTCTGTATATACAAATTCACAACATAAAGAAATTGCATAAGACGCCAAGGCGGCAAAAAGAAAATTGTAATGGTGAACGACATTTTAATACATACATTGGAAAAATTATTTTATCTGGGAAATGTTCTCTCTGTGCAAGGCTGTGTTAGCACACAAATGATAAATACTGTTTTGGGGGAGAACACAGAGATTTCTAAATAAAATCAAAATACAATAAAATGATTTATTTTAAATTTTAGAGTGGATTTGTACAAACGCCACAGAAAGATGGTATTTTTGAAACAACTGGAACCATTACTGTTTCAATATGGCTAAAGAGATGAACAAAATGAATCTATTATATTCAAAATTATCTGTTTAAAAGTAGATCTTGGCATTTCGAAGGTGGCCTGTAACTTCGCTCAGCGAAGAGTCTTCTTTGCTTTGGAGCAATTGCCCATGATCTTGCTTTGAGCAAATTTTCTCACTGAAAAAAATAGCCCTTTCTACAGAAGTGACCACCATAAATTTGCTCAGAGATGAATCTCCAGTATTTCTGAGTTAGTGCATATAAGACACTAGTCTTTAGCAATTCTTTTAAATAAGTACCCCCCCCCCCCCCCGCGATCAGACATGGATAGAGTCGACTTGCTACAGACACTTTGACTTGGTTCCACGACTTAGTTTTGGAACTGTACTTGGACAATTTTTCTAGAGCAGCAGTCCCCAACCGGAGGGGGCGGTTAGAGGGGCCACAATATTGGCCGCAGAAATGATATCACATTCATCATTCCAAAAAAACTCCGTTCTTCGTAATTTCATTGCTTTATAAGGTGATTTCACTGGGTGTTTTCACTTGATTGAGCATAAATTGTTTGAATATATTTGGATTTGAAATCTGTCAATAGTTATACGTCTCCAAATAGTACTTGGATGATGAACAGGGGGGGAATGAGTGCTAAACACCAACGTTAGGGGGCCACACACCATAAAAGGTTAGGGAACCAATGTTCAAGAGGTTTCACTGTCCAAGAGTCATATCCTCAAAGGGAATCTGAGCCTAGTAGACTTCCAGACTTCTAATAATAGTTTCGAATCTGAAGATCTGGGTCATTTTTAAAAGGTTTATGGCCATGTATTGGTAATTAAGGAATTATTCAATTAGTTATTTTACTAAGATTTAATGGAAAATGATATATGAACAATCGAGCGACTTATCGAACGATGTATCGTTTAAATCAACAGAAATTTTTGCTCTACAATGAAAATCATTATATACAAGTCACATGAAAGGCATGATTTAATACTTCACAAGCACATATGGTAGGTACACAGTTAAACAACACAATAATAAGACTGCATTTGGTGAATGAAATAATTCTCAAAAAAGCAAAAACATTTTTTTCTTATAAATCCTAATAAGTCTCTCTCAGACCAAAGGCTGATTCTTATTATCAGACATTGGTTGTCTGTTATCTATATACGCTGGTTGGCTGGGTTGTAACGGATTCCTGAATTCAGCTGAAGATCCGCTGTCATCTCCGATATGTTCGTACGACGGTGCATGCGGACCTGGGGGCAACATTAAACATGCTTTACAACAGAATAATACAACAAAAAATTGGAAATAAAATACATGGAAGGTGAACCACTGACTCTGGAGTCACGAAGTGATCTCTCGTCATTTTATTAGTCCATGTCGGGTATGGGATTAGTTAGCGAGTTATTCATTTTTGTTTCATAGATTTGATAGTGAGAAAAGTCGTAACAAACCAGACTCCCAGAGATTGTGTGAACTACCCTTACGATGGTATGGAGTCCAGCAATATGACTTTTGGGTCTTGAATATGTAAAGCGCAATCCGTGTTGGCAAAGTGTTCCTAAAGTTTAGCATGTTGTGCCAACAATGTAACCGCAATTTAAAAAACGCGCCAAATGAAATTTTCTAAAATGACTCAAGCACAACTTGAGACACAAAAACAGCCATGACTAAGTCAAAAGTCGAAGTTAAATTTGTTTGGGTGTTTCACCCACATTACGAAACACAGCAACATCATAATACATCGACTATTTTCACAACATAAACAACCCCAGAGCACATCAAACATTTTACAAAAACCTACCGAAATTAATGTTGTATTCCCCACCTCTATCTCTATACATCTGGTAAAGCAGGACAGATGAGAAAGGTTTCAGGATCAGGTTTATAATGCACATCGCTGAAAAATAAAGAAGCACCGTCAAGAAATTACATTTCTATCAATTTTATCAGTTTTAAATCCTTTTTATACAAAGTGTGATAGCCTCGTGGTTAATTCGTTAACCTAACAATGATAGAATTGTAGGTTAAATTCCAGGCCCACCCCCTCACCAAGGGTGTAATGAATTGGGCAGGCAATACTGAACAGGAGACATTTGGCCCTTTTGAAAAAAAGGCAGCCTAGGCTGTCAATGCCTAGTTCAGAGTGGAAGAAAATATTAATAATAAAAAGAAATATAAAAATGTTTGCTCAAAGCAAGGTCATAAGTCCTCGACTAAATTTGTGATAAACATTGCTACAAAATTGAGAAACTTCATGAATAATCCCTGGAGGGGGGGGAAGGAAATAAGAACGGCTTAATCATATGGCGAACCACGGCCTCTCGGCCGGTTACCAGTCCATGACAGATATGGGGTTAGTTAGCCAGTTATTCAGTTTTCATGCATAGACTTGTAGGCGGAAGAATCCGGGGCCAACCAGCGGTTACGTGAACCATCCCACGACATTGAGGAGTCCAGCAATCCTCTCAAACATAATTACGCCGACCTGATTCAAACCTTTTAACTCCTTTAACCTTTTAACCGAGGGTAATCAGAGGTGCGGTAGCGAGCGTATTCCTAACGCTTAACACAATGCGCCAAACCGCCGAGCCAACATGTGTAAAGGTGGTATGACCCCTTACTTATTAGTAACTGCCTGTAAACAGCTTTGTTCAGTGTAAAAGTACAATAAACCGCATAAAAATTTTTTAGCTCTTTGTGCTTGCACAGCGAATACATTTGAAAAAAAAACAGCATTACCTGCACTAAACTTATAGACACCAGTGCCTCTTCCATCGAAATATACAGCGAGTATGACAATGTCAACAACAATTGAGAAGAGCTGCATCATGATGAACTGAAAATATTCGAAAATGAATTTTTAATCAGGTCTGCGGGGTCAGGTGTTTGGCAAGTTTTCATTATTATCGGAGAAAAAGTTGTTTTCCTCCTTTTCCTAATTGTATAGAGCGTTTTTTGGGAGTGAACAATAAGTAGAAAATTGCGTAAAAAGTAATCATCATGCTAGCATATCGACCACAAATTTTATCGTATACTTACCATAAACAATGCATCAACAGATTGTCTATCAGCGATTGCCCAAATCCCGATTGCTAGAGCAGTGATATTGCACCAGCCATATGCAGAGGTTCCGAAGCCTACCAGAGCCCTGGTGATGAAAAACCATATCGAAGAAATTATTGTAAGATATTATAAAGCCCAGGAGCATAACCAGAAATTGTGCTCGAGGGTGGGGTGCAAAATTATTAATTACCAAGTTAGACTAAGACCATATGGAAATAGCAGGTCTGATTGGTTTTCAAAAAACGAGAAACGAAAAATTGCTTTGTATGAGACAAACGAATATTTTTTTTTACATTTCAAAAGGGAGGGGGGGGGGGTCGAACGGTCATTATCTGCGATGGCAAGCTAAGTTTTCCAAAGACAAAATGAGTGAGTGCCAGTAACTTTGCTCAGACATAGGCTTTGATCAGATATATGAGTCTGAATATGAGTGGCAGTTTTAGGACCAACAATCTTCTCAAATATAAATACATAGCGTCTTATCAATAGCTAATTCAGGAGTGCCTGTTACCTTGCTTTGAAAATTTTTTGTTTAGAAATGTACTTCTGAAATATTAGGCCATACGGATATAACACATACATGAACTGTAACAATATTTTAATTATTTATTACAAATCACTAAAAATGACGTAACTGGTCTGATCAATTACTCAATTATTTGCCAGTTCAAAATGCTGTTGTGCTCAGCAAAGAATGACTAATCTTTCAAACTACTGGGGCAATTGTGTTCAAACCTACAGTGATTAAAGAAGGGAGTACTTCGTAAAAGATTATTACTATATTTTTACAAATTATTTTTAGACCCAAAGCAGCCAATTTTGGTGATTTTGGAAATCGTTTGTAATTTTTGCAAAACTAATTTTAAAATCTAATATGCTGTGATAATGAATATCCACTATTATTACTTCGAATAGTCCAAAAATCACCTTCCCTTCAAACTAGAAATGGGCATGAAAATATGTATATATAAGTATAAATGATATTATCTTAAAACTTGAGCCGCAAAAATAATGACGTAACTTAACTAGCAATGATCAATTACTTAATAGGTCGTGAAGCAAAGGAAGTTAACTCAGACGTGATGTCATTCCTCAATGGTATATAATGCGAGTTAATAAATCTACAGATTAGATCATATCCAAGACTCATGCCAGTGTAAAGATTCAATTGTTGATAACTCAATTTGGATTCATTCTTTTGACCCATTGGTTCCGGTACTCCCGTAGTATGTGTACCAGGTCATAATTTTATTCTGATTTTTTATGTTTATGAAGGTAAATAAAATTCCAGGCATTTCCAGTTTGACTTCCCTTTTCCCTCACCAGGAAAACTGTGTGTGAACTTTTTTCTTATGCTTTTGTAATGTATATGATAAGATTAGATCATGTCCAAGACGCATGTTTATAAAGGTACAAAGCTTGAACTTCGAAAATAAAATTCCAGGCGCATTAAATTTTGATTATACATTAGGTTTTGAAACTTTGCCAGTTTCACCTACATTGCCCTCCCCAGGAAAACTGTGTGTTCACTTTTTTCTCGTACTTTTGTATTGCATACAATAATTTAACTCAAGCCTAACATATTTAAAAAATGTTTCAACATATGCAATCAGATCATTTATCATATCCTATTTTCCAATTCCTAAGTGGGGCCATTCCAAGCAACTGTTGAATTTTTTAAATTTTTTGAGAAGTGTAGTGAAAGTAATTGTTTTGTATTTTTATATCAAAAGACACTAGAATTTTATTAGACTGCATTTATTTCACCGAAAAAACTACTAAAAAATTTCACCCGGGTCTTTGATAATTCACACAAAGTGGTCCTAAGTGTAAATCGTGATAAATCGTAACACGAAAAGTTTGATTGTCTAGTACAGTGGCAAGCATATATCTAATGATGCGCCACACCACTGAGCCAATACAATTCAACAAATACTCACCAAACGACGAGGATCCAGTGTATGAGAACAATCAGCTGGAAAATAGATACAGAGAAGTCATTTTTACTTTCAAGGTCAAAAAGTTAAAGTCAAGGTCAAAAAGTTAAAGTCAAGGTCAAAGTTAATTTGATTATCTGTACCTGACCACATACCATATATCCTCGCATATAAACCGAGTTTGGAACTCAAAATAAAAGTTCGTGTTCACACACAATGAGAAACATTTCATGTTTGATCAATAAATCACTCGGAAAAATAAAGTCATATGTCAGAATTGCATTTCAAAAATATGGCTTGTATAAAAAAAACTGAGCGATTTACTTCGACCAATGCAGGACAAATGGAGCAAGATGGCGACAAGTCAAGATTTTCGTTTAAACTGATTCGAATAATTCACTCTTCGATTCAGTCAAAATATTTGGTTCGATATGCCCATGCTGGACATATAGCGCCTTCTTCAAAGTAAAAATTGAGAAAAAAAAAATTCATCTTACCTTTATCGATATAGAAGGCATGACTCCAAGTAGCATCCCATAAAAAGGCATTTACAGAGAGAAATAAATTTCCAGTATTAAAGTCTAGGATTTATAGTCTAGAATTCTGTGTTAGAAAAAATATTTTCAGTTAAAAATTGAAAATTAGATCAAGCACACAAAATTTGGGCAGCATAATATGGAAGCAGGATGCGGAGTTGCATTTTGGCATGTTTCTACTGGCGAGAGAGAGACTTATTGTTCGTCAACTATAATACAAACATTACAACAATAAAAATATACAGACTTATTCCCCCTATACGCAGTGTTACAAATAAGATTCCCAATAATGTATGTATGTAAACGATGTAAAAAAGGCTGATTGAGAGTCTGTGCGATATTTTCAAACTTCCCAGCGCAGAAGAGGAAATTTTGAATTTTCCAAAGTCAGAATTTCAGACTTTACATGATGATAATATAAGTCAAAATCTTCTACAGAAACTATAAAAATATTGAGGTGACTAACAGACTAATATAGTAAGTAGGGTTGCAAAGGCCAAACATTTTGTTATCAAAATTTCATTATTCTCAAGAGTTTGGGTCAAAAATTTTTCAACTCCTGAGACAATTGCATATTGTACATCCACATCCTGATATGAAAGACTTTTAGAACCTGACAATATTTAGAAAAAAAACGATATTGAAAATTTATCTGGTCTGATAGTGTGACTGGTAAAATTAAAAATGATTTTATCCCAATAAATGCGATAGATCTGATCAAGAAGTTTTGAAAAAAATTTAATGAGTGTTAATAAATAACATGCATAAAAAATAATAGGCAAGTTAGTGAATTATAATAATATATGCATCGGTACTAGCAAACGCGACTGAAACAAAGATAAGCCCATCTATGATAACATATGAAATGATATGTTTTTGGTTTTTAAGACAAGGCTGATGGATGTAGCCTTCAAAAGTGGACCCATCTATGGTGCTGATGGGTTACAGCTCCGTCCCCCATCAAAGGTAGGTGAAACACTTAGTAGATTACACTTACTTATGGTCTTTGCCGAAAAAATAGAGACCACTGTTGTAGCTGTTGGACCAGAAATCAATGCTTTTTACTGATCTTAAAAATTAGGGTTGTACTGTTAAATTCCCCAAGAGCTTTGAATTTTTTTGTCTTTTTGGTGTTAAGATCAGAATTTTGGAATTTACGTTTGTGAAAATTTTAGTCAAAATTTGTTATGTAGGAGTTGGGAGTTGGAACAGAGCTAAATTTGTTGAACTTGAATGAAATTTTAAACCTTTTTTCCCTTAGCTAGTTTCCCAAAGTTGGGATTGCGATGGAACTTTTACCTAGCTCTGCAAATCTGAATACTGGCATTGTGAAGAAATAATACATAATACAGGAACCCCTAGTTGACATAGGTAATTATAACATGGCTTCAATAACATATTTAAACAAAAATAAATTAAAATGAATCTCACTGCAAAAAAACACCAGAAAAGCTAAATCATCTACGATAAATGTGTTCAAATGAATCCAGAAAAGTGGTTCTCAAACTTATGAAGAAAAAAAAATACTGGTTAGATTTGATTTTTCCCGCCTTATTTTGGATATTTACATTTTTTACGGTAATTATATATGTTTCATCCATTTTACATTGTGTTTTTTGAATTAAACATACATTCACCTTACTACCTGTTATTTGTAGCTTATTATTAGCTAGGTATTTTTGACGTGAGACGTGAGACAAATTTTATGAATGGGAGCGTGGCTTAAAAAGTTTAAGAAACACTGATCTAGAAGGATGTCCTAGAAATTTTCAAAATTTATACGCAAGTTTTTTCAAAGTAATGAGTAATACAAAAGCAGGCAACCACATTCACTTTAAAATCAATATTAAAATAATTATAATGGAAACAAAAGTCACCATAGGGAGTATGGACATTACTGGTGAATGCCTTGGAACAATAAGCAGCAGAATAAGCAAACATGACACTATAATACAAAATGTGATTTTATAATACTCATAAAATATACTAATTCTAAGACCCAAAAAATGTTTTGAAAATTGTCAGAATATAAAAATGGTAACATTTTTTGGCTCACCCTGTATATAGACTGTATATATGTAGCACTTGAATTAGGTAACAATATACATGGAAATAAATTCAAATTCATAAAAATACATATACCGGTAATATAGATATAGGATTTGAAATACAAAATTATTCAATATACATCTCACAAAACTAAAAATTATATTTTGAAACATTATAAGCAGACTATAATACCATAGGTAAACATGGAACTATTAGTCAGCAATTTTTGAGCCATTCACTGACTGAGTCAGCAGATACTGACTTGTACATAGCCTAAGTGAAACTATCAAAAAACTTCATTAAAAATTTACCTAAATTTCTGTTCAAGTAGATGTATTTGGTGATTTTTATCAATTTGAGGCAAAATCCATGCGTATAAAATAAAAACAGCAAACAGGTATAACAAAAAATTAATTTTTTCTACACTTTAAATATTTTGGAAGCAAGCACCCCTTATCATTAACTTGATAATTATAATATATACAAAAGTGCAAATTGGAATTGATAGCGAAAAATTTAGCCAAATTTTTGCCGACTAATATTTACGAACATATATTAATCCAATAGATTCAATGCAAACTAAGATTGAAAGAGGCCTGTCCTGAAATCAGTAACACATTGAAAACACACTTTGTTCTAAGTGAACCAAAATTAAATACTAATTGTTCTTAATTAAATACTAATTCTTCTAAGTTCTAACCAGTAACACAATAAAAATATATTCCGAATCTAAGCAAAAACAATTATTTTGCAACAAAATTATAAAAACATAGGTAAAACTATGGCTTATTAGCAAAGCACAAGAATATAATAAACATAAAAGGCTATTTCTTTTAAGCTATACAGTCCAGGTAAATATATATATATATATATTTAAAATATATATTTCAATGTCCAATGACTACTCATTACAAAAAATAATATTTCTATGGTTACACCCTCACAGTAATTGAGAACTATCAAACCAGTTAAATAAATATCTATTTAGTAGAAAAAAAACTGTTTTTCATAACAACGCCCCCAAAGTTTCGAAGACCTCATAATTCTTAACAAGAAATACTAGAAATAAACCAGTTGACGGAAAAACATCTTGAAAAAGAGTGCAGTTTATGTTGACATTAGGTAATAGAATACTAGCTCACATAGGGCTAAATAAATATACACAATAATAGTGTGTCCTCTGAATGCTACTGACTTATGATTTCGGGGGACAGCAGAAAATTTCGGGGGACAGCAGAAAACTATAATAGCTTCAAATGTGAAACCCCCTCACAATACTGATCAAAAACTAACTGCAAAAATAATTTTTAAGAAGAATACGGTTTATGTTGACATTAGCTAATACTGCATACAAGCCATACATGGATAAACTAGCAGCAAATTACTAAAACTGCAATTATTTTATGATCAATGGCTCATTAATTAAAAGAAAAAAAAATACACCAATCAAAATATTTTGTATTGAATGAGATGATTGCTGTAGAATCTAGCATTATTTAAAATAGAAAAAGTTCTTAAAAAAAATGGAATCAAATTATATATCAGAATTCATTCATTTAAAACTTTTGTACTCCATGTATTACATTTTGGATTCCAATGATCAACGGCTCTTTAATTGAAAGAAAAACTACTAAACTAATGCATCAATTAGGATGGTGGGCTGAGAATCTGGCAATTTTGAAAAATAAAATAAAAAAAAGTTCATAATCACTCAAAATAATCATTCCGCATTAAGGGTTTTCTAACAATCTCTGTTACTACACAGATCCAATAAAAGTTGGTATGAGAGATTGTGAGACCTATTCAACATTGGGCAGCGTGTGGAAAATGCCTGTAAAGAAACTAATAAAATATGACATATAGCAGAAATACTGAGTGAGAATATTCATTGTGAATTTAAAATCGTTACATTATGTTCCCTGCCTCGAATCTGAGCAGTAAAATTATAATATTGCAATGGCTAGCAGCAGAATATGGCTCAATCACCAGAATGTGCAATAACTTTTCAAATTATAAAATTTTTATTATACAGTAATTAAATTGGCCTTTTACGTCGATTAAAACGCTCCATACAGTCTACCACAGTAGGCCTACCACTGAATAAGTTCCTGCCTCTCATTTACCGGTAAGTAGTAGTTTCATAATACAAAAAGAGCAGTTCAGAGCTGCATATAAGATAATTTCAATTAGCATGATGGCTGTGGGTATTGCATCGTTAAAACATATAGAATACTTGTACATTTTCTTACAACAGTAAACTATAATGAAACATAGAATTAGAACTAGTGCTAATGATTTGGTTTCTGCGAGACTAACTACTTATCCTTCCTCTATGCTTTTGTGCAGGCGGATCAGTACGCATATAATGTAAGGATGCTGTAGCAAGAGTAGAGATAACTATCCTAAGTGATTCAAGAGTCTTGCTGTGAGTCTTAGTGTGCAGATAGAATTAGAAACTGTAAAATGTATGTGAAAATGGCATTTGATCGTTATTACACCTGACACCAGCGAATACACATTCATACAAGTAAGTTGCTCCAAGAATTTAAATTAAGCAGTGAAAACCTTGCGTTGTTGTGTTGTAAATGAAACATTATTCTTCCTCGTTGGTTAGGCACAGATATTGATACGGTATAGGATGGGGGTTCATCAAAACTAAGATTCACAAACACGGCCCAAAAAGTTTGGGAAATCCTGATCTAGAATATGTTCAAAAAATCTTACTATATATGTACTAAACAAAAAACCTGAATAAACTGCAAGTGGTAGCTACCAGGGTAATTCATGCACAATCAAAAATCCTATTCTTGACAGAGACACACAGTCAAGTAATATAGCTATTTAAATTATATTTACCTACGCTTCATTATTTCAAATTTTTAAAATGTATCGAGCTCAGAATATGACTATCAGTAGGGGTTGCGAAAGACTAACTATCAATCCTTTAATGCCTAGTACGTTAGTGGATTCGTATGCGTATAATGCTAGGATGCTGCAGCAGGACTAAAATTACCATATTATGGAATTCAAGAGTCTTGCTGCACACTAACACAATGTATCTCTGTAACGTTTCGTCAGACCAAAATCAGACGTCCTCAGACAAGCAGTCTACAAAAACATTGTAAAGTGTGATTTTGATTAGACGACGAAACGTTGCAAAAATACATTTGTGTTAGTTTGCAACAGGATTCTCGAGTTGTATAGAGGGCTATACTTTTGAATAGTTGTTAATACTCTCACCAAATATCCATTATTAAAGATATATAAACTGAATGTACTATTTTACAACAACCGGTTACGACCACAATTATTCAAAAAAATACACAGACTTTACCAATTATCCAAAAAGTCAAATCCAGATTTCTGGAGATCAATCTCTTTATCTTTATGTTTCTCACTCGAAGTTAGCAGAGGAGAATCTTGAGTGGGTTGAGGTTCCGGCATCCAGGTCTCGAGATGAGTATCCTTTTCAATTTGTTTGAGTAAGTCTTCTTCGTCACCAAACACTTTCTCGTGCGAAATCACTTGGTCAGATGTTATAGATTGTTTTCGGTTAATTTCAGCAGCGATTTCGAGATTGTGTATAGCTCCGTCTAGTGTCAAAGATGATCGCGGGTTGACTTGAACACTTCCACTGCTTGATTTTTTCCGATGGCTTTTCCTTGTTTTTGAGAGATTCACGACAGGTGCTACGTTATCCTGAATTGTCGTAAAGGCCGGTTTTTCGACTCCATGTTTCGGTGATTTCTTTTTCAGCTTTGTTTCAATTTTAGATTCTAATTGTTTATTTTCTTTGGGTCTTGTTGATAGATTTTCTACTTGACTGGCTGGTTTTGGCTGCGGATACAGATCCATAAATTCAGATTCATTATAAGCTTTTGGCAGACCACTCGATGGCAGTGTTTCAATTTTTGCTGACATCGTTTCTGTTTTATTTACATCACCATTCTTTTTTGTTGAGTCATCATTCGTTTTTCCTGAATCATGACTTTTGAAAAAATCTCCACCGAAACTTATATCTGGCAAATCTCGAGACGGTTTTTTACTTTCATCGACCACTGGGGGGGCATTAATTTCACCGTTTCGTGGCTTTGTTGACAAAAAATCACTCCCCCAATCTAATTTTACCTCCTTTTTATCAAAAATACTGGGATTGTCATAAGATTCTTTTTCCGATCCACTTTTATAGTAACGGTTTGCTCCAGATTCTGTAGACGATTTAGAATTTCCTGACGAAAGTCCCAAACTATCGAAAATGGACCCATTTTTTGATGCAGGCTTTGAATCTTTCGAAGAACGAGACCCAAATAAACTTCCATTTAAACTCCCCAACAATCCGCCGTTAGTTTCAGATTTTTTTGATTTTCCTTTTTTCTTTCTTTTTTTCTGTTTTTTACCGTCAACGGTCGGTATTCGAATGTCCATTTGACTTTTCGTTTGCAATGAAAAAGGCGCTGAATGCTCATCCCGCCATTTTGAAGTGACGACATTTTTATCGGTTTCACTTTGCAGCTCCTCCATTTTTTGTCCTGTATCAATTTTTACGGTTGGGTAAACATCTAAATCTTCGATTTCTGGTAACGGATAATTTTTCATAACCTCAGGTGACACCATAGCTTCGTTTATTTTTTCTTCTCTTTCTTCAACGGTGAAGTTTTTCCAAGACTCTCTGAAAACAAGAAAAATTGAATCAAAAATTCGAACATGACCCCTTGACCTAAGCCCCTAGCAGCTGTCGGAGTTCTGAGAAAATAGTGTGCGGAGGTCGGTTCCCCCCTTGAAAAGTGTAAAAAAACGCATTTTTCTGTAAAACCCGGAACTAGCTGATACAGTCTAACTCGTAATTAGAAATTTCAAAACTCCTCAAAACTTCTGGCTTCGCCACTGGTAGCTCCTCATGCATACATGCCACTCATACAGAGCCTTGTTTAGAAGAAATAATATTATCAAAATATTGGGTCTCATGTAGTTTCGTACAACAATAACTTCTAGTGGGCGTGGCGTGATAATTTCTGCATATATATGTCATTCCTAAATTCCACTTGACTACATCGTTAAGTGACGCAAGCAATATGGCCCGGCAAAATGTACGAATGGTAGTCCAAAAAACCCAGATGGCAGACGATTAACTGAAGTCTTGTTTTCTCGTCAAAGCGATACCAATATGAGAGAGATCGCTGGCATTAGTCAGTTATTGTCGGCGCAGATGCCATTTCGGGCAATCGAAGCTATACTTTGGCAAGCTATATGACGTAATTGCAGTGTAATTTTGAAATGACATAGTTAGATGGGGTTAGTGGCCAATCGTACAGAGCTCTATTTGGAACAAATAATATCATCAAAAATATTCACCTGTAGTCATCTTCAACTTTCATTATATCTTCGATGATCTTCATTGTCATACAGTTGATGGAGGAAAAGTAATCTCTGATTTCTTTCTGCTTGGCAGGATCGTCTATCCAAAGAGCCATGGCTCACATTAAAAATACAAAACTACAAAAACTAAACTAAAATACAAAACTGGAAAGATATAAAGGAAAATTTAAAGAGTTATCACACAGACAGAAAAGACTTCTGAAGAACAATCAGAATAGAATTGCCTCTGAAGAGTTCAGATTACAACATCATAAACTGAGCCTAGAACAGGTTGCAGCTGCAGGAACATCTCCAAAAGATCTAACACAGAGGTTCTCATTCGGAGGACCGTGGACCACTAAGGGGGTCACAGACGGGTTGGACCACAATGTTAAAAGTTGACCTGACTTTTTATTTACCTATACTCAGAAAACTCCCCACTTTGTTCCTAATTACATTGCTTGATGAGGTTATTTCACAGTGTGTTTTCAAATTGTTTAGCATGAATTGTTGAAACATAATTGGATTTGTAATCTAACAATCAAAATAACATAATAAATACCACTGGAATGATATACAGGGGGCCATGACCCATGAGTGCTAAAAGCCTTCAAAAGGGGGCCACAAGACATTAAAAGTTGTTTTTTTTAGGTTTAAGCTGTTGATGGGCGCCAGATGCTTCTAGTCACTTCTTTGCTCATGTTTTTTTATTGGCCTTAGCTGCTGCCTTGGTGTCTTTCACATTCCCGGCCTGGGTGACCACAGGGTAACATTTGCTCTGAAGACATGCACAGTTCCAGTACAGAACAAAGAAAAATTACATAATTCACATAAAGAATTTCACATCAAGTAACTAACCAGCCATTGTGGTATGCATCATTTAATGTTGAGAAACGCAAAACACCATTGCCTAATTTGGACCAAAATTGTTAAACTTAAAACAAGGAGAGAGATCTCATCAATGACCTCTCATTTCAGTCATCCGCTGTTATTCAATCAAAAAGTCCCTCGTTTTATGATTACTTAACATGCGTAACTCCCATACTTTTACATTGATTGTTCAAATATGAATGCAACAGCTTTTCTTGTCATGGTTGAACTATGTATGTCTGAGGAAGTATGACCTTGGTCAGATAAAACGTTACAGAAATGTATTCGCGTAAGTTTGCAGCAAGGCTCTTGAATTACTTACAAGAATTATAAATAGGTATAAATTGGGTTCTTACTACTATCTTCCATTTACAGTATGGCACACTATCCAAATTCCAAGAATGTACCGTCATTTGGTTCAATAAAACGAATGTGTCTCACAAATGAGGGGCGCCTGGCACAACATCAGATGCCTCATATCATGCCGTCATATTGTATCGTATTCATTAGAGAAGACTACTTTAAGTGATTCAAAAGTCTTGCTGCACATTTTATTTTTTTCTGAAGAGCAATGTTATACCTGTTCATTACTTTAACACTATCTTATTCAAGAATCCTTGTGGTACTGACACACACTGGCGCAAGGTAGCAAGGTTCTGCAGTTTAATACAAAATACTGAATTACCCTAGTTGCCAGCTTATTTAAATATCAATCAATCATATCAAGAATTTGCTTTTTTTTTTTTTCTTTCGCTATTGAATTTGCTATCCTTTAGCAAAAATATTTTCAAATGAATGCTTCTGCCATTGCTTCAACTTTTAAATAACTGAAAGCTAGACCTGAATACTAATTACTGAGCTGAGACGGATTAAGTTAAATAAACAAACAAACATTATTTATTTAGTTAATTAGTCTGCAATATTAAGTCAAAATATGGGACAACTGGAGATCTGGTTCAAGATTTCAAGAGAACATAAGTCTGTGAGTAAATACTGAAATACAGACTATTTGAACATACGATTATTGAAACAAAAGGAAGTTTTTATCTGCACAGCACTAGGGCAAAGTTCTACGATTCCAAGATGTCCCGACCTTTGGTTCAATAATGAGCGTTATATGATTAGGCCGTCTTATCCACCTTGCTATCCCCCTAGGAGAAAATGGATTTATTGATATTTATTACATAGATGAGGAGCATATATACAATAAATGACATTGTTTTTTGGTAAAGACTGGAGGTAAAATGAAAACCCTAACCAACAATTTCCAACAATTAAATTCAAATGACAAACGGAATTCTCAAATTAACATGATTAATTAACTCCGGATACTCCCGAAATCCGATTGATAAAATTGATAAATAAATGTCAATCAAACATTCAGTCATGTGACACGGATTCACCTTTGACATTTTATAATAATTCTTGCATAACGAAAAGATTCGATAGCAGATTTATGAGAAATATTTAATTTTTTGCAATTTTAATCAGGATTATAAATAAAATAGAGAATAATAAACAAATGAATAAGCTAATGCAAACTGAAATTCGAATTTTTAATGAAAATTTGGAGAATTCAAGAAAAGCGTCGTTCAATCGCCACAAGCCGCCACAAGTTGACAGCATAGAGTCGCAGGCCACGTACTTCGCGTTTTTTGTTGAAGCCGCGCTGAGCTTTATTTCCTTAAAGTTTTTGGTCGAATTGTAACTAATTTTTCGGGGAATAATTGCCACGAGAATAATGTATGCTGTAATAATGACGAGTTTTTGATGTGCCGCGCGTTTACTTTTGTGTCAAATTGATCGAATTCGTTGTCAGAAGATCAGGTGGTTATGCGTCAGAATTTTCCATTCTCCTATTTCTGTATTTTCTTAGTGTTGTGTAATATTTGATGACTCATTTCCACAAACTCAAGTAATTTATTATTATTACAGTAATAGGTTCACACTGTAGGCATACATATATACTATTAAAGCATCAGGCAGAATTGTTATATTGCTGTATTGTCAATGTTTAAAATTATGAAATGTTCAGACTGTCAGAACTTAGCCGATTCCAAGTTTGCCTATTTTTCACTCTTTCCGCGTGTCCGCATGTTGCTTGCTTTTTCCTGGCTGGAACAGTTTAAAAAAATCTATGTTACTAGAGAAGGGAGTCTAGTGACTGAGTGAAGTGAACGCCATACCGTTAGGCTAATTCTTTAGAATAACGTCAAACAAAAATGTGATGTCTGGATGTGAAATTTTTATGATTTTCAAAATGAATCTGTCTGTTTCGGAATGAAATTCTTTGCAGGCGAGTTTAGTTAAAATCAAACACACTCAATCTTTATTTAAGCAGGTATGTTACATGCCCAATAGGGTACTTATTGCGTCCAGCGGGGAGACTGACTTTTATTTGAAAAATTTTAAAATTTGGGCAGTATTTTAACATCTCATTTTTGTTTGGCAATATTTGAGCAGTCACAGCATTCATTTCAACATTTTTGATTGGCATTATTCAAGGAGTTACGGCTATTCACTGTTGGAATGATATCATACAATACCCCTTCGGGTTTGGGATGACTGCAACGATAAAGAGTCTGATTGATCGTTAATGATTGATTGTAATTCAAAAGCCATTACATCTTGTTGGTTGAGTGTTGCTTACAGGTGGCTGTCAGAAAAGGCATATAAAATTTTATTGTATTTAATTTTATTTTATTTGCAACGACTTACATGTGTGAGGCAGCATTTTCTGCTCGTAACAACGTGGTGACATAATACAGGTCGAAGCTGTAGAGTCAGACCCACGAGTTTGGAGTCTGGTATAGTTTAGTACCACATTCACTTCTAATTGGCCTGGCTTCACAATTTTTCCATATGTCAGTATGTTCATCCTAACCCCCACCTGACTACGTCACAGAAAAATGACGTCATTTCAACCTCACAGTAGCGTAATAAGGCCCACCAAAGTATGCGAATGGTCGTCCAAAACGCGCAGACGATCACTCGAAATTGAGCAAGCTATTTCTCTCGTTTTTTCGTCACAACGATCACAATGGGAGAGAGATCGCCGACTTTAGCGAGTTCGTTATCGGCGGCGCAGATGCCATTTCGGGCGATCATAATTATAATTTGGCATGCCCTATGACGTGAGGGTGACGTCGTAGTGACATAATTTTTGGATGGCATAGTCAGGTTGGGGTTAGGAATAACATATGCAAAATTCATTATGCTACGCCCATTGGAAGTACTTGTGGTACTAAACTATACTAGACCCAGAGTTTCCTTGCCACAAATTGCTCCAAGGATTGATAAAATAGTAACCTCATCCATCACATTAATGCTGTTTGTGTTGTAAATGAAACATTTTCGTCCCTCATAAAAACCTATTCTTTTATTGCAGGGTACTTAAACGTTAGGAAAATGACTGTCTAAGTGCAAAGAAATTATCATAATCAACTATTATCCAAAACTAGTCAATTTAGCAGTATTTTATCTGAGTGGGAATTATTTAAAACAATTCTGCCAAATGGAGAAAGAAGATTCCGCCCCACCTTCTACACCTGTTACAACTAAAATTGCAAGAGTTTACCAGACATGTTTAGATCGAACTGTCCCTCATCTAATTCCAAGATGGGTCGCATTTTCCGCTCTTTATCTACTTTATTTCGTCAGAGTCTACATACTTAAGGTAATTTGCATTTTCTTCATTTTTTCGGTGCCCCTGTATTATGTGAACCACGATGGCGGCACCGAAACGTAGTATGTGTACCAGGTCAGGTTTAGGCCATAATTTCAGGTACAAATACTACAGGAGTCACTTGGCTAGTCCCCAAACTTGTAATATAACTAAAATAAGGAAAATTGCAATAAAATTATGGCCTGGTACACATACTGCGTTCCGGTGTCCGCCATCTTGGTTTACATACTTTTGGAGCGATATTTTTTTTCTTAATTAAGAGTTGGGCAATATAGGATAATTTACTATTCTTGAATACCTAAATCGAATCCAGAATATCGATTCCTATTCTATTTGTATTGTTATTCAAATGTGGACATTGTCCCACCACATTAGTCGATTAAATTTTAAGAGAAATTGTGAATATATTTCCTATGGTATTTAATTGGAAATCGACGTCGAAAAGACATTTTGGATTGAATTCTTTAAGATTCGAAGCCTTTGGATTCAGAATTCTGGTTTTTCCATTTCAGTCTTGATTTTCTCTTGGTTTTAATGAAAACGGTCGCGTCCAGTGGAAAGAAACATTGTGAAAAAGGCCAAATTTTATAAAGTACAAATCAGATGAATGAACTTAATGATTTAACATACGGTAAATTTAAATAAAATCGCAACTTTGAGGGAAAGTTGCAGATATAAGAGTTGCCACCTTTATTAATGCACGAAAAGATATTTATTTATGATTGCAACATGGGTGCCAGTGGGGATGGGCAATTCACAATACCGAATCCAGAGTGATTTGAAGAGTGATAACAAAATTAGGTTTTAGAATAACATGCTGCATTTATGCATCAAGTACCGAAGCTCTGAAGTATGTGGCAGGTAACTCTACTCTGTCCACTCGTGGTGATTGATCATCGTCTTTAGAGATTTCTTCACATTTTTGATAGAATTTCTAATTCTAGTTTGCATCCTTTATTTTATTCAATCAAACATTTTTTATAAATCCACTAGCAAACTTTTTCGATATGCAAGTATTATTTATAAAATGTCAAAGGTGAATTCGTGTCGCATGACTGATTATTTAATTTTTATCAATCGTTTCTCGGAAGTTTCTGCAGTCACTCAATAATGGGAATTCAAAAATTATGTTTCCATTAAACTTTAATCTTTCATTTTGATTTCTAGGGTTGGTACATCGTCACATATGCACTCGCGATTTATCACCTCAACCTATTCATCGCCTTCCTTTCTCCAAAGGTGGATCCGTCAGCTTACAGCGATGATTCGGATGGTAAGTGTTCGTTTTCTGTTTTTTTAGAGAGTATTCTATTTATTTCAAGAGTCATACGAAACGTTACAGAAATACATTAGTGTAAATGTGCAGCAAGACTCTTGAATCAAATAGAATACCGTATATGCTCGTTTTACCGCCCGATCTTGATTAAGGGCCCGTTTGAATAGCCGCCGTGTGAACAGAACATAAAAATAAATAAGGGCCGGTGCTTGAATACCCGCCCGATGTAAAAGCTGATTTTTCAGTGGTAGAGAACAATAGGAAATAAGAAGCGCTTTTGTCACAACACAGGGGCGGACACCCGGGGGGGCGAGGGGGGGCGGTCGCCCCCCCAATAATTTCGCAAAAAAATTTAATACATGTTGTTTCCGCCCTACAAAATTATCATTTCCGAAAAGTGCGATAGTCAAGCGCCATTAAACGGTTAATAGTTACCGATATTATAACTGTTTTCTTACAATAATGCGCCTTCGGAGCACCTCACATTTTCGTGAAACATGCGCGCCCGCACGGGTAATACTCCGTCTTCAAACGCACCGCCGATCACGCGCCACGATTTTGCACAACTAACTCATTTTTGTACAATTTAATATGATTTTCTCATTGTCAAAATCTTTCAATAGTGTTATTGTTGGCACTTGCGAAAGAAATGAAAGAGGCAAACTGTGTTTCATTACAACAATTAATTATTATCGCTAAAAAATTAACTAGATCTAAAGTTGTTTTAAACAATTTTCACCGCGGGACGTATCTTTTTACGTTATGGATTTCGTGCAAGGCCCAGCATAATTTGCGGGCAAAGATCAAAGCATTTACTCTGTCGAAAAGTTGAAAAGCGGCAATATAAAATACTAAAAATAAAACTGTAAACAATATAAGTTTTGAGGCCCGCGACAGTCCAAAAACGCTTTTCTAGGCATCGAAAATCGCAAAATTTCGTGTGCCAACGGCACAAATTATGTTTGCTTGACCTTTAAAAATATTTCGTTACTAAAATCGAAACACGGTCAATTGTGAGCGGGATTTGCCTTTTTATCCATTACTTTAAAATTGACGTCGAAAATTTTCGTGTTAACATTAAACAAAGCTGAGAACGCGACTTTTCCACGGTTTGTGATGATATATAAGATAATTAAAGTATATTCGATCACTTTTTGTATTTATTTATGTATTTTTATTGTACTGAAATAACTTTTACTACGTGAGAATTGACAGAAAATTTACGGATTTTTCGAAAGTTTTTTTCCGTCGTGTTTTAGAGTGGCCCTTGTTTTGTCGACTCAACCGCAGTTTAAATTGAAGACAATTAAATTAATAAATCAAGACATTTTGAATATGCCCGTATCGGTCTTTGATTGATTACTTTGCACAAGTGAAAAATCATTTTTCGTTGATGAAGTCGGCTCTATTAACAAGTGGCGTAATCGCGGCGACTGTTCCGCGTGGTTTTCGAGGCGGTGTATTTGTATTTTTGATTTACTAGTATACCTTATAATTATTTTCATTGTATGAATTAAAATTGTACTATATCGGATTTTATATCAGATATCGAGATTTTTGTAACGACGATAACGAGTTCGGAAGATTGCAAAAATACGTATCAAAATTAAATACATCAGGCAGCTTATCTCATATTTTTATGTCCACATATCGCCGTGGTACTTTAAGTTTAGTAATATTTTTATTTTGACGTAAGAAGTCGCAACCGCGAGTTAGGTTGCACACAGTTTAATATATAAGGACATTTTAGAATCTCGTGGCTGTCATGGATCGACAGAAAAATCATTATACGCTCAAATAGGCGGCTCTTTTAGTGAGCGCGTAATCGCGGTGCTTGTTGCAGACGGCAGTGGGAAGTTCCGACTTTGACCCCGCCTTTTTTTTTAAATCCTGGCTGCGCGCCTGAACTTGTGCCTGTTTATTTTCGTATTAAATTATAAATAAAAACCCTGCAAAGTCATTGCGTGAATCCTGAATGTTATTTCGAGTTCAAATGATGATTTAATAAATCGGCAATAATGGCAATTCTACTAGTCAAATGATAATTCCTTGGTAAAATTTAGGAAAAAAATTCGCACAATAGCTTGTTACTTTGTTTTGCATTTCTAATTTCACGAAACGGCGTTAGTGCGCTTTATGCAGAACTAGGAATTGAAACAATAACCTAATACGACTCCTCAAATTTGTTATTTTCTGTATGTTAGCAAGAGCCGTGGGCTAATTCTCGCGGAATTCAAGAAATTGGTTCAGTGACGCGCAAGTTTCGTGTCCGAGCAAAGCAGCCTAGGTAATCGATATATGAGTAGCAAACTGACATGCTAATACTTAGAGAATGACATCGACAGGTTATTGTTACGTGACGATACACGGCGCGGTGTTTTTCGGTAGGCGATTCAAGTTCGCCCCCCCAAAATTATGGAAAGTGTCCGCCCCTGTCACAACACTGTTGAATATTAAGCGCTGGTAGATAACACTCACACCTTAGGCGTCCAATTTCATAACAGATAGAATTGATTACGTAACACCATGGTTCTCAAACTGGGCGTCGCTCATTGTACCTGCGGTGCGTAGAAAAAGTCAAAATTTTCGTTATTCTCGTTTAAATCATACCTGAGAACTGGAAATGACAATATATTAATTATTGTAACGATCGATCTTATCTATATATATATATATATGTTTTTTTATATATTTTTGTGTATAATTTAACTTTAAAAATAACAAGCGCCCGTGCTTGAATAAGGGCTGGTTGAAATATACTTTAATATGTAAGAATTTAACTTCAAATTAAATTTTGTACTTTAATGAAAACTTTAATTGGTCAGTTCATCTGATTATTATACCTAAAACCAAGATATTAAAATATCAAACAATTTGATTTTTGGAGTATTTTTGGCAATACGTCTTTTTAGTGATTTTGATACCCATGTGCTATCAAACCTTCCAATCGGAATAAATAACAATAAAATGTTACAGTAAAACGTTCAAAGTTTTTTACACAATAATTAACGGCGCTCCAGAAGTATGTGCACCACGATGGCGGATACTGGAACGTCGTATGTGCATCAGGTTAGGGTTAGGCCATAATTTTATTTAAATTTTCCTCATTTTTGTTCAATTACGAGTTCGGTGACTAGCGAAGTGACTCTTGTAGTATTCGTATCTAAAATTATGGCCTAACCCTAACCTTGTACACATACGACATTCCGGTGTCCGCATTTTGGTGCACATACTTCTGGAGTACCTAATTAACGACTAATTTCATCTTGTTCCAGATGAAGGACCTGAACTACCTACCAAGTCAGGCGAAGAATTCCGTCCATTTATTAGAAGGTTACCAGAGTTCAAGTTTTGGTGAGTAAACTTGTGCGCATACAGTAAAAGTTTCACGAAAAGCAGTCCCGATACATATCAATCTTTATGACAGCGGTTCCCAACCGATGGCTTGTGACCCTCCAAGGGAGGCCCAGTTCTTACCACTTCTTGGCAGCTCCGGCCACGAACAAACCGAGGCAGCTCTTGCCATGGTTTTATGGAGCTATTCAGTAATCAGTATTACCGGTATACTCACAATTTATTGTACCAGATTTCAATTGATCATGTGAAATTATATCTACTTAAACCCTAACCCTAACCCCAAATCCATCAAAACTGTATCCATAAGAAAAACGTTCCAACTTACCCAATATTTGTAACCATAAGGGACAGCCCTATCGTTACGGCCCACCTGCCGCGGTTACGGCAGCAAAATTTTACCTGCCATTGGTTTTCAATTTGCTGCCGCAGCAACGGCAGCTCGACATTTGTGGTTTGTGGCAGCTAAAAAGTCAGTCGGCCATAGGTTTGGCCGTAGCGGCCATGGTATGGAAATACCGCCATGGTTTTGCGGCAGCTGCAGACGCCACAGAATACTTAAAACTGCACTTGCTCCAAGGGGGCCACAATGTTAGCTGCAAAACTAATTCTACTTTTCCTTAGTTTCATTGCTTGATAAGGTTATATCAAAGGGTGTTTTCACTTTGTTGAGCATGAATTGTTTTAACATATTTGGAATTTACCAATCAAAATAACACTATAAATACCACTGGAATGATAAACTGACCAGGAGTGCGAAAAACCTCCGGAATGAGGCCACAACTCACAAGTTAAAAAAAGTTGCGATCCACTGCAATGGAAGATATTGAGTAGAAAGGTTAAGCTTTGACTGGAATTGGGTTGAAAGAATTGATGAATGTGCCTTGAATAGAATAAACGAGAGCACTGCTCGAATCTATCAACATGAAAGTGGTTCAAGTACCAAAAGTATGAAAGCGGTTGTGCCAATAATTGCAAAAAACAATAATTCTGTAGCTACATTTCTCATCCAAAAAAGTTGTAAAATTTGGCTATTAGTAGTAGTAAATTTGTATTATTCAATTTGGATGAAATGTTTGATTTTGCCTCTACTAACTGACTGACGACTCTCATATTTTTTCAGGCACTCAGCAGTAAAAGCGATTCTCATCGCCACGTTTTGTACGTTCTTTGAATTATTCAATGTTCCTGTCTTCTGGCCCATCTTAGTGATGTATTTTATCATTCTATTTTGTGTCACAATGAAGAGACAAATAAAGGTAAATGTGTGTTTGTTTTATGGGATAATAATATGGTTTTTACATTTATATGTAGTGATAAGCTGGCCGAATGATATGGTGAGCCATGGCCAATATTCAGGTTACCAGTCAATGTCTGGCGTGGGATTAGTTAGCCAGTTATTTGTTTTTGGAAGCATGGACTTGATGGTGAAGGAGGCCGTACCCAAGCAATTATGGGACCCATTGTTGATGATGGCTAATAATGCCTTGTCGAGTAACGTCCCTAATAATTGATTGTGCTATCTGTCTAGTGCTAACGTGTCGCAGTTGCGTCACTCGCTAGTATGTTCTGTTGCTGTAGACATCTTATGTTGTGTGTTATGCTGGTGTAATAAAGATGTGTAAGCGTATTCAGTTGAACCCTTATTCTATAATAGCTTGGGTGTAGAACTTAACATATAACCAAGACATTATTAACACCCATCCTATAGCAGAGAGCAGTACAGCGATTCTCTCAAACATAATAATCCCTGCATGGGATTCAAATATGATGGTTGAGGAAGTCGTACTCGACCAGTAGTAACGTGAACCATCCTACGGAAGCAAGGAGTTCAGTAATTGTTCTGCGCATATTTATCCCAGCATGGACATCGAACACGCGAACACTCGCACGGTAATCAAAGATGCTGTGTCGATGTTCGCTGTCGAGCTGACCGAGTCCTATTTAGGACTGTGTCAGCCATCTGTTTAAACTATCGAATCACTTTCGTCTCTGGTGAATTATTACTTATCGATTTTAATCGGTAAGTATGTTGATAGTTGTCTGTCTGTTAGATGCACGCGATATCTCATGAAAGCGAGGTTGAATCTGCTCCAAATTTTGCATGTGCATTCATCATAGCTCGGAGCAGAAGCTTATTGATTTTCGATGAATTATGTCGTATAATTAGCGAGTTATTAATTAATTAGTGATAGGACACACGGTGTCACTATGGAGTAAGATGCTGTTTTGGGGGATCCCCTCACCTTTGATCGATAAGTCTTCGGTCTCTGACCGATATTCGCGTTGAAATGTTATCCTATCTTTGATAGCGCACTTTCTGATTATCTGCCTACTTCATTAATAAGCAATTTATCACATCACTTCACCAACTTTTCTTCCCAAAGATTAATATGGAAATCCTTCCCCTTCCTGTCCTAAGTAGTGACAATATTGTAATTCATGTAATTTTCATGTAATTTTCCCTGCGATAAATAGCTCATTCTAATTATTCACATATTTTATTTACAGCACATGATAAAGTACCGATACCTTCCATTTACCACTGGAAAGACAAAATACAAGGGCAAGGAAGACACAGGAAAAGTCTTCTCTTCGTAATCATGAAAACTGGATGATAATTTAAGACAATTTTAGTTAAACAGACTTTGCAACATACGGATGAAAAGGGTATTTCCCCTCCTCATTAATTTAAGAAAATTTTAGATAAACAGACATTGCAACATATGGATGGGAACGGGTATTTCCCCTCCTCAATAATAAAAAAAAAAACATTTGAGTTTGATGGACTTTGCAACATATGAATGCAAAAGTTATTCTCCCTCCTTGAGAATTTGAGAAAATTCAAGGTAAATAGACTTGTACCAGACGGATGGAAAAGGGTATTTCCCCTCCTCAGTAATTAAAAAAAAAATAATGTTCAACTATTTTTGCAATGGAACAGACAATTATTACACACTATATCTATATAGATCGAATTTTCCACTATATAAAAAGGGTAATCCCCACTCCCATATGTTATCGAGCCGTATTTAAGCCCCCTTTTAACCAAATTTTGGAATAATTGAGGACCCTGTATACGCATAATGTATATGTGGATAGCATTGGGAGGGTTATTTCTCCTCCCAGATAATATTAAATTGTATTTATGACCTCTCTAATCATAATTCAAGATAATTGAGAACCCTTCTACACATCTTGTGTATACTGAAAGCATGTGTATACTAAATCATCTAAAACGGTTATTTCTTTGGCAAGCTCTCCTCTTGTATGCTTGTCATATGGGTAGCACAACAAGACTCTTTTTTTCTCTCATACAAAGGGGTAATCCCCCTCCCAGATAATTTTAACCCTTTAAAGTTTAAAGCCAAATCGAAAGAAAATTTAACTGTCATTAGGATTATTACACATAATGCCAAATATTGAACAATTTTGTCTGTTGCAACATCACAATCTTTTCCTAAGGTATAATATCGCGAACCCCCCACCCCCCAGTTGGTATAAAATCCGTAATTGAAGTTGATGAAACATTCTCGATCCTTTTATATCGAATGTCACATTTTTTCATGTATGCTTGCCATATAAGTAATACATAAACTCCCCTTTTCTGTGGCCAACACCCCTTTTTTGAGTGGAAGTGGCGACTCCTCTACGGCCCATGGGCCGGGGCCACGGCCCATCGATTTGGGATCGACCCATCAAGTTGTGTAAAGGGACTATTGTTCACATGACTAACACAAACAGTCCCCGAACTCGTAATAGAACTATAATGTGAAAAATCTGAACAAATTTTGTCCTAACCCTAACTTGGTACACATACTACAGGAGTATATTTTTTTTGGTTCGAATATTGGCAATTTTGTAAAAATTGAAAATTTTGTTAAGTTATAATTGAATTTTTCCTGATGGGCCGTGACCCCGACTCATGGGCCGTCACCATTCCTGTAGCCTTTTTGGCTCTATAATGCACGGTTGGCCGATGTTAAATTGGAAAGATTTTGCTCTTTCCAAAGATAGTTGCTACAATATACATCGTTGGCCGCTTGTACAGACAGAGCCTTGTTCAGCAGGAGGCGATGTATGAAAAGCTTTTGAGAAAATTGTCTTTAATTTATCTTATATTTTCCCACATTGCTGCTATGCAGTGTTGCCATTTATTCGATGCTGGAATAATGTGCAAATATATGAAAATGTTCACTTTTTTAATTTTTAGTAGAATAATCTTTATTAAGTAGGACTAGCCAGCAATAAGATAATCTGTTTTTGCTCTTTTTAATATTAGGGCCCTATTTTAGAATTTGTCAATTTTTGCGTCCCACCTCAAAATAACTAGCTAACAATATTTTTATTAGGGCTTTCACAGATTGTCCAGAAACTGAGCCTTCTTACTTCTGAGTCGGTATGTGTGACTACGCTTAGATTGGATAAGTCCATGTATCTATTCTGCGCCAGACAAATTTTTTTTCAAAAATTGTTAAAAATTACATTACATTTCTACTTGGAGTTATTAGAGCTGTTTTGGTGATAAATTTATAACATATTTTTGTTTGGCATTATTTAAAGAGTTACGGCTTTCACTTCGCCAGACCCCAGAATTCTAGTGTACCCAACTATTTTGATATGAACACGCATTCTTCCTGAGAAGTGTGTTTTAGCTAAACACAATATTTTTAAGCAATAAATGGTGCTTTTGTTGTCCTATCTATTGTTTTTTTTTTTTATTTAACTTATGATATGACAAAAAAAAAAAGTGGAAGCCTGAAATTTCCTCCCCTCCCTTGGATTTGACTTCTTACAAAAGTGGTTCTCAAACTTTCTAAGCTGTGCCCACTTTTTCAGAATTTGTCAAGTATCGCGGCCCACTTCAAAAAAAGGTAGCTAACAATAAGCTACAAATTACAGATAATAAGGCTTTTAGAACTGCCTAAGCATTAACAATAAGCAAAATTTGACAACGGTAATTAAATTAAGTAATTTTCATTTACTCAGAAAATTAGTCACAAGTAACAATGTGTTTTTTTTTTATCTATTTTTATAAATTTATTTTGGGTCTCGGTAAATATTACTCAGCTTCTTCACAGGCTTCAAAACACTTTTCGTTTGAGAACCAGGCTTCGAATTGTGTATCTAATATTTTACATGAGAGGTATGTGACTCCAAAACCGCATCAATTTTTTTGTCATCCTTTTTTATCAAAAATTCAAATCCCAACAGACCTAACTCTTGAGTCATTTCAAAATCTGTTCAACTTATTTTACGTTTTTGCAACATCTAATTAACTGATACAAATTGTATACCAGGGGGGGGTCACAATTATTTTTCTGAATGGGCTACTTACAGATAATAGACTTGGTTACGAAGGCTCAAAACTCATATGAAAAATTATGATTAAAAAACAGTATTATTTACTACAGCTAGGCTAACGTTTATATAATAATAAGCACAATGTAGCTATCGATGTCATTATGACGCTATTTTCATCGGTATTTTCAACAAAAATTCATAATCATAAAATCTATAGTCGTTATTTAGCAGGCACAAGTTCGTTTTACACTATACTGATTATTTCCAATGGGGCCGGTACTAGTCGCAGAACTTTTGTTGCAGTGAGGGGTAAAAAAAAGTATCATTACCCCACCAAGTGTTTGGTCTAGGATTCTTCGTGTAAGAAAATGATTTTATGAAGTGTACGAATGTTTTGTTTATTTCATGTAATTTTGTTCAAATAAAAGTATAGACAATTTAATAGTATTGTCCATGTTTCTATATGGCTATGCAACAAAGATAGCCCTACTGCGGCCTGCCAAAGCGTTTTGTGTGGTCCCGCCTGCTCTTGGAAAAAATTGTAAATTTTCTGTTGACTTAGTACCTAAACAGAACTCCAGAAGTATGTGCACCAAGATGTGTGTACCAGGTTAGGGTTCAGGTTGTGCGCCATCTTGGTGCACATACTTCAGGAGCGCCTCTAAAATTAGGGTCAAATGTCAAATTTTTGAATTTGTGCCACACTGGATGACTCGAAATGTGCGCAAAGGCATGAAGCAGGGGTGTGCAACACTGCGGCCTGTGGAGGAGTGCCAATTTTGAATTGTGGCCGGCCCGCAAAACGAGTTTTCAGTTTAGTTTAATCTGGTGTGCGTGAGTTATTCCAATTCCTAACAGCTGGCTTGTGTGAAGCGAACTACGCACGTCATAAATCCATAACTACTACTAAGAAGCCTATGTTAAATAAATATGCGGCACGCAGTTTCGCACTGTTATTTGTATCTGGCCCTCCTGTACTGAAGGTTGCACACCCACCGCGTAAAGCATTAGGCCTAACTGTGTAGGCAACGTCGATCACACATCTGGGGCTCAAGTCCCACTCCCTCACCTTTGGTGTAATAAATTGGGTAATGCTGAACCAGGAAAGTTTCATGTCCTCCTGGAATTTGCAGAATTCGGTGCCCCGGAACTATGTGCACCAAGATGACGCACAACCTGAACCCTAATCTGGTACTATGCTATATTCAGGATGTGCGCCATCTTGGTGCACATACTTCGGGAGCACCCAGAATTCATATGCTATTTACCATTAATGATTGTAATTTTAAAACTCTCCTTCCCCCATAGGAGAGTACAGGCAGTCGAATTAGATATTTGAACCTTGGGTGTCGCTGCTCGATAACTAGTTTTGGTTCCTGCTGCTTCCCTTCCCAAGTAACGTAAATAGCACTTTTGAATGATTTTTGTCTTTTACTGGTTGGAAAAAATAAACTTGACTTGTCCTCCCGAAAATGATGACTCTTTATATTTTGTTTGTTATCTGTGGCTGATTATACGAGACCTTGTTTAGACTAATGTGAGAATAACTGTTGAATAAGAAATAAAAAAAGACCTGCGCTCTAACTCGGGATTGACATAAATTTTGGCGCTCCGGAAGTATTCGTACCAAGATGACGCACAACCCTAACCTGGTACCCATACTATGTTCAGGTTGTACGCCATCTTGGTACGAATACTTCAGGAGCACCTAAATTTTCACTCCCAATTTCTAAAAAACGTTGGACTGTACAGGGTGTCCATAAAGTCCATTCACAATTTCGATTTTGTTATGAAGTCAGTTCTCAATATATCTTAACCAGGTTTGTTGTTTTTTAATCAGTAATTGTTCAAGTATTTTAATTCATTTAATACATCTGCGAAGGCCAAAACAATATACGGTATCGATGAATTTTCTTTTGCAATTTTAAAAATTTCAACAAGACTTTATGGACAGCCTGTAGTCTTTTTGGAGTTTATGTGTGAGATTTAGATTAACACCACTAAAATACCTATTACTCAGTAAATATTATACTCTGTGCGAGAAGATTCAAAGGGAACTTTGAATTCTCCTGAGTGGAAACCAGTTTAAATCTTAATTCCTCTTTAGGTGGTGTACACTGGGATTGAGACCAAGTACTTTATCTTACCCCTGGTTAGGCTTTCCTAATTAGGCTCGTCGCATCACGCTAATCATTACAAATACGCTCGCCTGTACTCTCCTGTGGGGAAAAATTACGTACGAGGGAATTGCTGGACTCCTCACCGTTGTGGTGGTGTAACCATTGGTCAGTTACGGCCTCTCCACTTTAACGTCCATGCATCTGAAACTGATAACTGGCTAACTAATCCATACCCGACATGGAACTGATAACCGGACGCGAGGCCGTGGTTCGTTATGTGGTTAAGCCGTCTTATCGACCCGGGATAAATATGTGAATCTTATCCCAACCAGTGCCAAGACTTAGTACCCACCCATTAGTGAATTTTGCCATATCAAACCTACTTCGAAACTAAAATTCTACTGTAAATAATAACAAACACAAAAACATCCAAAAAAAGACAAGTATAACCAATATGTAGCGTCCTTTATTACATCATAAATGCCACCCAATTGTTAAATTTTTTCAATAAATAAATGTAAATACCATGATCATACTTAATCGTAGATAATTTTCTGTCAAAAAATCGTTTCCGTTTTTAGTAAAATTTTGAAAATATTTATGAAATTATTTATAATTTATACATCTACGTTAAAAAATTGCGGATTGTGACGTCATGTTGTGCATTCAACCGTATAAAAGTTCAATTTTTTCTTTTCCCGCCGTCTTGAAGGTGAAAATTACTGGACGTGCTTCATCATGGCGAGCCACTCTGTAAAATAAAAGAAAAATAATTATAGGCTAGATTTCATAGTTATTCTAGGACGGGGTGAACAAAGCCTTTATTCGCGCATTGGGGAAAGAGTTCAATTCAGGGGTGTGCAACATTTTTGTCGGTGGGCCATATAACCAACTTCAGACATTTATCTGGGCCACACAAACTAGCTTTTCCATGTACACAACGAATAAAAAAATTCTCACAATGAAAAGGCTATCGCATAGCTTCACGGTAATGATAGTATCGGTGAAAATGGCGAAAAATTAACGCAACGACTAGCAGGGGTTCCCAAGCTTTCTACAGGATGACCCCAAAGACAACTTTCAAGTGTCCAGTGCGACCCCAGGTCAATATATATATTTTTATAAAACTTCTGAGATCCTTTCACTGGATTTTTGAGTTTGGTCATGTGGTGGTATTGAGTGAAATAAGCTAAAACCAAACAGTGATGTCACAATAAGCACATACATTTCCAATAGCATAAGCATAGAGCGATGCCTATAGGCCTGTTTTATAGTAAGCCATGGTACAAACAGCTAAAATTAACATTGTTTATCAAATCTCAGATGAGTTGTACATCCATCCTCTACCATACCTCAGCGACCCCACCGACCCTATGACCTGTTTGCGACCCTACCTACCCATCACTCCGACCCAATTTGGGGTCGCGACCCCTGGTTTGGGAACCCATGGACTAGAACAAAAAAACATGATGTACCGGTATTTTTGCCCGTGAGCGCCTTTTTAAACTTTAAGTGTCAGATCGGGAATTTTGCTTGATAGGGAAAAATTTAAGGGTTCACAAGGGCCACACTTAATGACTTGGCAGGCCGGGCTGTGGCCCGCGGGCCGACTGTTGCCTGTTTGTTTTTTTAAATATCATATATGTAGTTGACGTACTTGAAATTTAATAGTTGAATATATAATGTTTGTTTGAGGTTAAAGCACGAAATGCTGAGGGTGGCACCAGAGAGCTGATAGCAAATTCACACTCAGGTTTAAGGGAAAAAATTAATTAAAACGTTAAATGAGAAAAATGACGTTTTTTTTAACTTAGAATTGCTCTCTAACATTATCTGCATTCATTTTAATTCATTGCCTTCATTCACTTATTTTTACGACACCGTTAAATATTCCATCCAAATTTTTTTCTCTTATTAATTAATGGGAACACCTTTTTTATAGCGAATGGGAAAACTAAAATATTCCATTAACTTTCGTGCCCATATATTTGGGGATTGCTCTCTTGTTTTGACAACGGGGACAATATTTAACTATAAATTGGCGCTCCAGAAATATGTGTTCCAATACGAAAGTAATATGTAAAGGGACTGAAGCCTATGGAAATGGGGTATATTTACTCACAGACATCCCCCAACCACGTAGTAGAACTACAATAAGGAATGCTAAATCCTAACCTGGTACACATACTACGGGAGTACCCTAAATTTTGTCAAAATTAACCCATGGGAACACTTTACAACAAAAGTGAACTCTGTAATATGACATTCGCCTACCTTCATAATCGATCTGCCAATCATTGTTTTTGTCTCCGTCAGACATCATGTCGTCGATTTCCCAGTTCTCTACACATTCACCGGTGCCGATCAAGGCAGCCTGTAAGCAGAGTGTTTAAATAATTAACGCTTATTTACGACTTTCTCTCCGAACAAGACCCTAAACAAACTGATACGGCTCGGCGTTGTGGCGCATCGTGCTAAGTGTTAGGAATACGCTCGCCACCGCACCTCTGACTACCCTACGTGGGTTTGCAGATTTGAATAATTATGTGCGAGAAGTTTGCTGGACTCATCGCCGCCGTAGGGTATGTGTCGGGTTTCTCCACCACAAAGTCCATGCTTGCGAAAACAAACACCCAATTAAATCCATGGAATGGTAACCGTACAAGAGGCCGTGGTTTGACATATGGTTAAGCCGTCTTTTAGGTTTTCCTCACCCCGGGATAAATATGTAAATCTTATTCTATATCGGAGCTACTTATCATTCGGAAGAACCAGAATCTTTACGATTAAGCATTGCCTGTCTAATTAACATCTTGGTTAAACGAGGACATGGGAACTAAACCTGATGGCAACACAATTCAGTTCAACGCCTAATGTCAGTGGTTCGCAAACTTTTTTTTTTGTGACCCATTTTCGTTGCATAAAAATTCGGTGGCCTAATAACATTTCCATGCAAAGGAAAAACTACAAAAATAAAAGAAAATGAAATTTTAATTGCTATTTTATTTTTACGCAACGCTCAACCAAAAAGATGCAATGTCTATATGATTGAAATCAATCATTGGAGATCGATCAGACTCTTTGCAGTCATCACATACAATCCATATGAGACCTAGAGACATCAATTCATACAATGCAAAGAAGTGCGATTGTCCCGCGGGAGATCTGATAACTGACCTTTGGCAAAAGAAACGGTCACTCACCACATGGAACAAAGTAATACTTCAACCCGCTGGTTATATTTAGACGTAAGGCACCCTTTACACTGCAATCACAAGTTTGCGGATTACAGGGATTAGTTTAGCATTTGTTTCATAAACTGGGCCTTCGCTTCCCCTGTGGGTCACAGCACGAGCAAATGTTTTCACATTCGCGATTACACCAATAATTAAAAGTAAATTAACTCGCAAATTACGCGCCCATAAGTACTTCTAGTTGGCCTAGCTCTGCAATTTCAGCATATGCCATTCTTAACCCCCACCTGACTACGTCACCCGAAAATGTGGTAACGATACCGATATGAGAGAGATCGCTGGCGTTAGTGGGTTCATCATAGTAGGCACAGATGCCATTTTAGACGATCGTAAAATCGAGAAAAACTGAAAAATACACATACTATGCTAATAATCAAACCGGTGGAGTGGGGAAAATGACCAATCAACTATGCTTCCAGGTGATAAAGAAGGTTGTCGGTGCTTGGCCATCGATTCGGAAATAATCCAGGAAGTCGATTTCGAGGGTAAAAGGTCAAGATATCTCATATTACTAACCTTTAATTCATCCCAGTCAATGAAACCGTTACCGTCCAAATCAAAAAGCCTGAAAGCTTCGCTCAGTTCTTTCTCGTCTCTCTGTGGGATCTTGGCTTCTTCTTCGGCTTGCATTTGTCTGTACATCATCAGGCAAAACTCGTCAAAGTCAATTGTACCGCTGCCTGTTAGATATAATATTTTTGAATAAAAAAATTTAATATGTGCGATCGGGGCCGGGGCATTTGGAATCGAATAGTAAGTTATGAAATTTTTAATTACCAAGTTTAACCATAACAGCTAGCATTCTTCTGTATTATACATTGCAATTTCTCGTAGCTTGAAACATTATTTAATCGGCCGCTACTGCTACGGTATAACTTGGCAATTATAAATTTCCTTGCATACTAATGCAAACGTAACCACCGCAAGGTACGCCATTTTCATGACGTCATCGCACAAAAAACGAATCACATAAACTCAAGAATAATTTTGAAATAAACAAAGTAATAACCGAGAAATACAAGAAATTAGACCAGTAGGTAGTGAGAAAAGCGATTTTTTCACAACAAGAAAAAAAATAATACTAACAACAACATAATAACAAAACGATCCATAGGTCCATAAGATAAATATAGATACATGCTTTAAAGGAAAGTTGAAAAGGTGGCAATTTATAATGATGTGTTTGAAATACCATGCAGTGAAAATAAGTAGAACACGCACCAAATAAAAATGTCATGCCTCAAACAAATTTAATTTGATAAAGTCTTTGGGAGATGAAAATACATAGGCTCTGCTATCTAGTGTGCAATTCGATGACGTTATAACATGGATTACCAACTTTCATTTTGCGTTCAATTTGCATGCTTAAAGAGTAAAATTTACCCCTTTACCTCTGAATTTTTGTTGACCTTATGACATGTATTTGTTGACGAAATTATTTGAAAATTACGGAAATTTTGTGTTTTCGCGGAAGCTTTTGGGTATAATTTGTTAATTAAAGCGATAACTTGAGACGTGATGCGTAAAGTGCACAACACTCATTTGAAATTAAACAAGAAGATTCCCTTGTTCAAGTTTTGTTGTCCTTGGATGAGTGTGAATTCGTGAAATGACCAAGCTTGGGCCAGCTATCCCGTGCAAGGTGATGAATAATTCTGCGAACCTCAGGTCAGAATATTTTATCCGTGTCGGAGCCAGATTTCCCAATTTCGCAGTCAATAGTAAGATGAAAAGATGCAAACATCAAATATTTGTAGTATTTGGAGTTTTAATATTAATACCCAAAAATTGAATTGAAATGTTCGACTGCACGATCGTAGGTGCACAAACTACCAGTGGAATGATGTTTTGAATTTTGAGTGATTTTTCGAAGTCAATATCGTGAAATGCTCAAACGCGGGCGTGGTTCAGGAAATGAAACCAATATAGAGTAAATGACGATATGTAGAGACATCTAGCGGATGAACTTATAGACATGATTTTAAAATAGCGATGTGGTTTTTATATGATTTTTTACATAAAATGTAAAAATGCTTGAGATGGGGTTCGGCTATACCGTGCAATGTGATCAATGAATCTTCAAAGAGTGTTTGAAAATATGTGGTGACATCTAGCGGATGAACTTGAAGACATGATTTGAAAAATGGAGATGTCTGATTTTAAGTGATTTTTCACCGTCAATATCAATTTCTTCCATCATTTCCCTCAAGTCATTTTCTGTTGGGTTCTGTCCCAACATTTTCATGAGTTTTCCCAACTCTCTCGAGCTGATCTCATCGCCTTCCACATCTTTAACGAAGATAGAGAACGCCGCCTTGAACTCTAAGTGAAGATTTTAATCGTCAAAAATATTGAGGATAGTTTTATAGAACCTCTGCTGCCTATTTTATATATCTTGGAGAAATGAAATTAAATTATGTAGTGATTGGGGATAAACTCTTGGAGAAGATATTTATCTTGAAAAATTTAAATTCGATCTCATTGTCTCTGAAAATGGAATCATATCAGGACGAACTGAGTCTAGGAAAACTTGTGTACTATTTGGATTCAATCAGAGAATTTAGAATAATTTGAAGAGCAAGTCTTAATATGAACACATTGGCACAACACATCTTGCGTAGCTACTCTAAATACACACCTGTTTCCAGTATGGAAGCCGAATAAGATTATGTGAAATAGGGTCATGTTATTATACCTATCCTAGCACTTAAATTAACTGCGTATTGAACTCATCATTATTGCATTGCATTCCTCTATTAGCTGAAAGAAAATAAGACATACCACATACATCACGGCCAACGCCTGGGATTTGCTAAGCATGCCATGTCTGATAACTAATAGTATACATATAGTGAGATTGTCATCCTATGTATTAAAGCTAAATTTAATGAATTTGTTAGAACAGGGCATCCTTGGCTACTGTATGTCATTTTGGCTCGGCTAAGTCTGTCTGTACGATTTGAATACTGATTGTGAGAAGATTCTGTATATATATACGTTCCAGTGGAACGTCAAAACACAAAGTACGCTACATATACAAAAGGTTTGTAATAGGTCACTAGAAGACGTCATTTCTATGAACGGAAAACTTCACATTTTCAAGTTTACAATATGATTGTCGGAACTAAGGCAGTGGTACCCAATATGTTGACTTGGCTAATTACGAGTGAATGACCTTAATTAGGTTATTGGAAAAAAGATATCACGTATGTAGATTCAAACGAACGCTGTGGTAGACAAAACTGACAACTCTTGGAATATTTTAGGTAAGTATTGCGTGACTGAAAACTAAAAACAAATCAAATACATTCTATCAAGTCTGTAGATTCCTGCAGAAAACAATCACAATAAACTGTTTTTTCAAAATTCATTGCATTCTATAAAATGTAGACACAAATAAAGAAATAATAACCAACCCCATGCATTTAAAGACTTCTATGGCCGAACGGCCGCACATTCTTCTAAAAATTATTGCAGATATCTGAAGTCTAACAATAAAATCCAATTCCATGCAATAAAGCTAATCTTCAAACTGAAAAAAAAAAAATTTCGCAAAACTGTTGTTTCGAATTATTCTGGATCTGTTGTGTTTTCAGTTATCAAATCAAACATATTTCTTCGGGAATTCTGCAGTTCTCACAAGAATCAAAATAACGTCCGATCCCAAGCACTTTCTATAATATTGCCAATGGTAACATCGGTACTGTTCACGCCTTGCAACAAACTGTTGACTTCAACTGTTTCTTTATGAATTGTGGGTTTCTGGCTGTCAAATCATACAAAGTCTTTCAAAAATTCACAATAATATCTATCCATGCATTTTCCTATAACAAAGTCAATCTTCAAACAACGAAACCAAAGATTGAATCCCATCTTTACGAACCATCTAAATCGACTTCGTCGACCATTTCTTTAACTTCCTGTTCTGATGGATTCTGTCCCAGCATTTTCATCAATTTTCCCAACTCTTTCGCGGTAATGGTTCCATCCTCCGAGTCTTCGACGAAGATGTCGAATGCAGCTTTGAATTCTATATTTTGAATGTTATTTCGACATTATTTGTAATTATATTATTCAGCTGAATAGCGATGCCAACTGAACACTGATAAAATTGTTACATTACTCTCCCCTTGGGACACTGAACTCATTTTTATAATTAGACTCCTGAATACATTTTCATACTGCACTCAGAAACACACTGACAATATAATTAGGTGTGATATTTTTCTATTTTAAACTTAACAGTAATGAAATTCAGAATCTGAATACAGCAGTGCAATATATTACAAAGTGTCATTGTTCCTTCCAAACACTGAAACGTCTTGCGAATGTGAGTCCTGTATTCGGAATATGACGTCACAATAGGTCAGTAGCCACTTTTCAGTTACGTCACGACACACTTTATGACATCATAGAACTAACGTATGGCCACTTTTCTGATAAATCCATCACTAATAAAGATTGTGTCCAACTAGAAATAGCGTATTTAGAATCTGAATGGGGAGGACAATATATTAGAAAGTGACGTCATAATACAGAATGACGGCATAGCTGCTACTAAACACCCCGTTAACTATAACGTCTGGTATTCAAACTATGACGTCACCATGTGTGACAACCCTTCAATTACGTCACAACTCAATTTATGACGTCATATTACTAACAATTTAGTGTCGTGATACAGTTTTGAAACGTTCTCTCCTATAAATTAGTCGCTAATAAAGATTGTGTAACTTTGGATTTCAGACAAATACTCATTAACGACAGAAAGAACACAAAAACTGAAATCTCGTAAAACCAATATATACAGCTGCCAAAAATTAAGTCTTGAACATTAATAAAATTGTTACATTACCCATGGGATACTGAACTAATTTTTATATTTAGATTTATCAGTTCATTTGCATACTGCACTCGGAAGCTCAATATAATTAAGCGTAATATCTTTTATTTTAATCTAAATGGCATATTTATGATCTGAATGACAGGACAATATATGAAAAAGTGACGTCAGAGTGCAGACTGACGTCATAGTTTTGAAGTGAAATGTATGCTATAGTCTTGCGAACGCAATTACCCCATGTTCATTGTGGTCGTAAAATGAAATAATACGAACTATTCCGTTACGTCACAACACGCTGTATGATGTCATAATGATAAATTATGACATCATGATACAGTTCCTCTCTTCTATCCTCAAATGCGTCACTGATAAGTAATGTGTCAAACCAAAGATGACAAACAAAAACTCACGAAAGTTAAGAAAACACAAAAGCTGAGATTATTATGAAAAAAAAAAACTAAAATATACATAGAGATTAGAGAATGGCCGAAACCGATAATCTACTATTTATTTCCATACATTCTGAATTTTCACAGTGTTTTACAAACGGTGAAACAAGAAGGGCGTAGACAATTTTTTGACAGGCGTGGAGCAAATTAAAAATAAAATATTTGTTAGAATATTTTGAATATTTACATTTCAAAACATTTCATTTATCTTATTAATTACGTTCCATCCACGTATTTTCAACGTGTTTTTTTAATAAAACATACTTTCGCCTTACTATCTGTTATTTGAAGCTTATTGTTAGCTAGGTATTTGTGAGGTGGGACGCAAGACTTGACAAATTCTAAAACGGAAAGTTTAAAAAGTTTGAGAACCATTGTTCTTTTCAAATATAGACTATCGAATATGTTCTAATATGTGTAATGGTGAAATTTGTGTACATTCATATAAATTTAATATGACTTTGCAGATTAGCTGAGATAAACGTTGTTTAGACGGAGCTTCAGAAGTATGTGCTCTAAGATGGCGCACATCCTGAACATTGTACCAGGTTAGGGTTCAGGTTGTGCGCTATCTTGGTACACAAACTTCGAGGGCGCCGTTTAGACTGTCTTTTTGTTTTTCACATTGAGAAATCGAAATGAGTCTAATCATTATATGTCAAATACTTTATACTGTATATTGATATTTCAGATGAACTTATTGTATATATATATTGTATCGAAGATAATCGCTTTTGGACGTATTAGATTCGTTTGGGGATCTTACAATATACATTATCCATCTTTGTTTCACACAAACCTTGTCAGAATGAAGCCAGTTCCGGGCAACAACAGCACGCGAAGCCAGGGCCTGGCTTAGGCCACTGCGAGCCATGGGACAGGTTGAATAAAATCCAACCTCGACTCCAGATCATAACCCGGGGGATACCATATTTATTGTGTATGCAATTTAACGTGAAGAATAATTAGTCAATTTTACATTTTCGTTTGATTTGTAAATAATAAAAATAATCACGACTCGATGATTTACCAAGCCTTATTCTGTACTAAGCATCCGCAAAATGTGAGATTTGAGAAAACACCGCCGCACGTTTCAAAATAACAAATTAGTAATTATCTAGATGGATTTAGAATTGCTTAGAAGAAATGGAATTTCCAGCGAAATATGCATTCATATACCTAACCCAAACTAGTTGATTACTCATTTTCTCAGTTTTAGCATTGGCTGTTTTTTTGGCAGGGGCTATGTAATAAAGACTTGAAATTACTTGAAAATTCTCACAATTTCATGTCTTACAACCCCGAATAATTTGAAATTTTTATTCTATAGCGCGTCAATTACAAAGTATTGCTAAGCCCTTCCCACACCGCAATCAAAACCCTAGGGAGCACGCAAATGGCTTGTCACCAAGTTCTAATAAAGACGTAAACGTTGTGGTAATGTCGTTTTCAAGCTATATATGCAAATAACGTGTATTCAAAGTCATTTGCCCCCAAGGGACGTGAAAGACATTCTTGCTTCGAGTTTGTTACAGCTATGATGCGCAATGTTTAGGGTGATCCAAAAAAGAACCCAATGATATATATTAAAATTATATTACCCAATTATACTCACTTTTACAAAAATAAAAAGATAATACTTGAAGTATGATTGAACCCAAAAGGTTCAATAATAAAAGACATTGGGTCGGGATTTTTGTCACTTTGGAGTCGTTTATTATTATTTTATTAGAAATAGTTAATACTCTACTAACTCTAAATAAAAAGTGACCCAATACCCCTCGCCCAAAAACAAGAAAATTTCTTTTTTTTTCTTAATTACCACTACATAAATACTTGAACTTATGTTTGGAAATTTGTACCCAATAGTTTCATTAAGTTCTCCGGATCGTAGTTTCTGATGGTAATGGCGATAATTCAATTCTGATGGGAAATAAATAATATCAGCGGACTAGGTATCCTCAGAAAACATAAGATTTTGTGCCATAATTTGTTATTTCTCATAGTTGTACCGTCGAGTTGTGATCGGATTAAAATTTTGTCAACCAGGAGATTTTCCCTAAATTCACAGATCTGGTCTAAATTATCTCCGTTTATCAGGGAATGAATAGACGCATTCGCGTACTGTACATATTTATCTATGATACGTATATACCAGTAAGAAAAATCATCAAAAATTAAAATATCTCAGGTAAACTAGACCATTAGCTTACCTACAATATTGGCATACTTATTATTGCTAAATTTATACAAAAGTTAAAAAGTCTTCTTATACCTATAAAGATATATTATGCAAAATGTAAGAGACATGGATACCCTGTTTTTTTTTCGTCAACAAAAATAATCGATCAAAGAAAGTTGATTTTCTCAGCCGTGACTGATAACTTTTAGAAGAGACTCATTACTTATCGATTTTAATCGGTAAGTATGTTGATAGGTATTTGTCTGTCTGTATGTCTGTTAGATGCACGCGATATCTCACAAATGCAAGATTAAATTTGCTCCAGATTTCGCATGTGCATTCATCATATGTCGGACCAGAAGCCTATTGATTTTGGATGAAATATGTAGTATAATTAGCGAGTTATTAATTAATTAGTAATGGGACACTATGGAGTAAGAGCGCTGTTTTGGGGGATCCCCTAACTTTCGATCGATAAGCCATCGGTCTCTGACCGATATTCTCGTTTACTCCTTGGCAAATTTCAAAGGTGAAATTTATCTTCTAACTTTATGAATTTCAATTTATTTAAAACATATAAGGCTTTGAAAGAAGGAATGTTAATTTATAGCAAGGCGTGACCATGGGTGTTTACTTATCGATCTTAAGATCGGTAAGTATGTTGATAGGTATTTGTCTGTTTGTCTGTTTGTATGTTTGTCTGTTAGATGAACGCGATATCTCACGAACGCGTGGTTGAATCTGCTCCATGTGCATGCATCTTACTTCGGACCAGAAGCCTATAGATTTTGGGTTAATTATGTCGTATAATTAGCGAGTTATTAACTAATTACCGATCTAAGATCGATAAGTCTTCGGTCTCCGACCGATATTCTCGTTTGGGGGTTGGAACCTCGCTTTTAAATTATCATATATATCAATAAATGCTTTTTAGGCCCTCAAGACACTTGAAAACTCATTTCCTTGGTGATTAGAAATTTTAGACCCCCCCCCCCCTTCTTTAAAAATTCTTGACTACGACTCTAATTTAAAATTGCGGTCGCATCAAATTTTATGCTTCGCTCGCGTTCACATTTAAGTACAAATAAAGTACACAACAATGCGGAAGGGAAAGTGTGAATATCTTGCTAGCGAAATTACCCGAAATGCAGGTCAAATTCTCCCCGACTGAGACTTATAGCTTTAACTTGCAAAATTTACATCGACAGCCAGTCAAATTGACTCCAAAGGGACAAACTATTCGGAACCTTAGCTTCGATCTATCAAGTCTAGTCAAACATTGCTCAATGTTCACCTAATTACATTTATTGATTCTAAACACAATCATTCTCAGGTAAAATGATCTTTAATTTTAAGAGGGATCTAGAAACTTGCTGCCAGCAAATATTTACAACAAATGTGGGTTGGGGTTTGAATTAATTTTAAAAATTGCCAATAGCCTAAAATGTTGGCAAAGCTTGCGCATTTCAATACTCATTCATCAGGATAACACCGTTTACAACGTGGCAAATTTAAGAAAAAAGTACCCGAAAATTTATCTACGATTTATCTTGATGAATCCCGATCGAAGCAGTCGAATGCCGGTCAAATTTCGACCAGTTCAGCCACTTCGTTCAGAGGAGTGGGTCTCAAACTTTTTAGAACGCGCACTGTTCTAAAATTTGCCAAGTTTCGGGACTCACCGTTTGAGAAAACGGTCCCAGAGTGTAAGCTATCGTGCACGGAAAGTCAAACTTACGATATTTCTCACCGCGTACACGCAGATGAGATAAGACTTATTCTCGTACTTTCCAAGTACGCAAGGCGCCAGATTTCCACAAGTACTGGTGATAACCAGTAATCTAATTATGCGAGTGACAGACATAGCAATATCTATCTTTAACCAGGTTACAAACATCGAACCACTGAAATAGGAATTTACGAAAACAGAAGAGCGATACCATAGTGCAGCCGTTCTCAACCGGCGGACCGTGGGGGGCACATAACGATTAAAAGGGGCGATAATGCTAGGCGCAAAACTGATTTTATTTTTCCCATAATAAGTAAACCACCCGTTCTTTTGAGTTGAATTGTTGAATAAAGTTTTTTCACATGTCTTTTTTTGTTGAGAATGAATTGCTTAAACATTTGGAATCTACCAATCAAAAGAACACTGGAATGATAAACAGAATGAGTGCTAAAAGCCTCATGTGAGGACCACAGTCGAACTCAAAAATTTCAGCTAGTGGCGACCTGTCAATATTCCAAAATTAAAATTATTCAAATCGCAGTCAAAATTCCATGTTCCCAATAACCAGAATTTTTTTCGAATCAATATTTCCATCAATCTGTATTATTATGTCCGCGATCAAGGAGTCGTATGGGTATTTTGTATTAACCTTTAAGCGAAAATAATCACGTGCTTAGGGCGTCGAGGGAAAGAAAGCACCACAAACATTTTTATAGTTGATTTCTCAATGGTGCCTCCGTATTTGATGACACAATTCTGGTTAGTCAGTCGAGAACGACCTCAATATCGGCCAGGTTGAAATAAAGTTTTTAGGTATCATCTTAAATCTCTTTATCAAAGGTTGTAAGTAAGAGAACTATTTCAAAAAAATCATGCAGATTAATCGTAACTTATCTCTCGATTAGCAATGAATACTGAAACGTATATATTTCATTTTAGATAACATGGAACACCAATTATTATTATTAGTATTTATATATTTGACACCAAAGTCGATGTGTTTAGGGCCTTTGAAAGGCATGATCAGTCCTTGCGTTACCACATCCGAGCGATCTCGTGAAAGTATTTCTCATGAACACGCATCAAACGTGTGTTCGAAACAGTCAAAGCGATGAGAGACATTCCACTAATTCTACCTAAGATCCGATCCCAAGGGACCCGGCGTTCGATACGATCAGACGCTATTTATGTGCAACGTGAATGACACGTGCGAGCTGGTTTGGGATTTGTCGCCGTTTTTGTTCAATGAAAATTTCATGCACGGTGTTTGCATTCACTACCAATTCCTCTCAACATTAAAATAACCGGTATTATCTACAGTAAAAAATAACCGATAAATAACCCCCCCCCCATTATCTACAGTAATAAATTACCGATAAGATAGAAGAAGAAATAATTCGATAAGCCGGCTTAATCATATGACGTACCACCGACTCTCGTCCGGTTACTAGTCCATGTCGGGTATTGAATTAGTTAACCAGCCAGTTATTTGTTTTCAGATGCATGGACGTGATAGAAGAGGAAGCTGCAATCTACAAGCGCTTCCATGAACCACCCAAAGAAAGAATTACTCAGAACATACAACGAATCCCACCTCGTATGCTTACTCTAACCATCTGCTAAAAGTTTTATATCTATCCTAAACAATAACATACCATGAATCCCACTTCATAAGCTTATTTTAACGATTTGCCTAATTTTTTTTTATCTATCCCAACCCAAAACATACCACGAATCCCGCTTCATATGCTTATTCTAACGATTTGTCTAATTTTATTTTATATCTATCCTAACCCAGAACATACCACGAATCTTGCTTCATATGCTTAATCTAACCATTCGCCTAAAAGTTTCATATCCATCATAGTATAAAATACAAATAAGTTAGAAACTACTGGTATCCCAAAATTGTGTATTAGATAGGGTAGGTCAAACAACAGAATCCATGAATTTCTTAATTACATGAAATTTATTTGGTGCTCCCGAGGTATTCGTACCAAGATGGCGCGTCAGGTTGCGCGTCATCTTGGTATGAATACTTCCGGAGCGCCATTTATTTAACACATGAACTTATGCTTCTGTATGATTGTACCAAAGGTTTCAGTAATCTCAAAAGGTTTCCGCAAAAGTAGAATTGTTTCAAAATGTTCTGGGTTTTAGTTTTCGGACCGCTATGTATAGTTTATCCCCCAAGTTTTGCTGACTACATATAATCCTGCTTTACTTAATCGTTATAACATAACCAAAAAACAGCTTCTGTAATGTATACAGACACTAAAATCTGAATTATAAATGGGTGTTTACCGCAAGTGAAAGACAGGGGTGTAGCCAGGAAGGTCTTTGAGAGTCGGAATCCCCCCCTTTTGAAATGTAGAAAAAAAGCATTTTTCTGTATTATACATAGGAATTTTTCGTACATGCGGGGTACAGTAATAACCAATATGAAAAAGTAATAACATTCCGCGATTCCCCCACAGAACCATCGCATATTCAATTACCATATTTGATCCTGTAAGTGATAGTCCCACTCTCTCTCCGCAACGCGTAAATCAGTAATATTGCACAAATTACCCAAATCAAGACTGCAACCGGTATAATTCTCATGATATAATACTGATATAATAATATAATGATATATAATAACTCCGCTCGGTGGCTCAAGATGTGCCGCCAAGAAATTGTCTCTGTACTAACTTGAATTCAAAAACAAAACGCCGATTGATATGCTGTGTTTAATTCTAAGATAGTTTACGTAGTGACATACACTATTTTGAAAGGCGGCAACCTGCTGTTAATGAGCTCGATACAAATAAGAGCGTGTTTCTGAAAGTTTGAATCATACAACGGATAACAACATAAATGTCTGTATAACTTGTCCAAACCTTCATGAGAAGGAAATTATGAAAACGTAGAATAAAAACATAACTCACCGCACTTTTGATCTTCTGATAAGTTTTCAACCTGGAATAAACAGAATATTTTGAAATCTAATTTTATAACTAAAAATGTGTGATCTAGTAAAACCACGAGTACTAGACCACAACCAGGGCGTTCAACAAGGTTTTTATAGGAACGGTTTTTAAAACTCTCCGGAGCCGAAACTGTCAGTTACTTGTAATTTAGATTTCAGACTTTCAATGATATTTGAAAAATTCAAAATTTTCAGCAAGAAATCAAAATACACCGAGAATAATTCCTAACAGTATTTCAAAGAAGGCATTTACACACCTAATTAGAGGCGAAACTAGGGGATGGGGGTATAGGTCGGAACCGCCTTCTTAAAATGAAACAAAATATTCCGTATCACACATAGCAAATTTTGAATAGCTTGAAACAAGACTCTTGAAAGCACAGCCGACTCGCTAGCTGTTACGACAGTTAGTTGGCAGTTAGGACTATTGAATCTCATGAAATATTATGCTTTCGATAAAATGAAACGTTACGAAAATATATCGCAAAAGGACCCGGCATAAATTCTGTTGAATTACGGCTTCTGTCCATATATATGGAACAGATGGAAAATAACTGGTTATCTAATTTAATATCCGACTGGGAAAAGAACAGATCATGATTCGTCATATTCTCAAGCTGTATTATCGTCTTTTCCTCTCCGGGATAATTATAAGAAAAATACTTTACATTACTGCAGTAGACCACGAAACGGTTATGTCCGAAATTGGCCTAGTCTAGGAAACATTAGCGTCCAAGAGTCCAAGAAAATAATATAGCGGAAAATGACAGAATTTGTATTTGTCCTCTAGGGTGACATAATTCGCGACTTTCCCTCCCAAGCAAAACTGTAAATATCATTTTCTCGTAAATTGTGTATGATTTTTTACTGGTTGGAAAAAATAAACTCAGATCAGAAAATTCGTAGTGAGACATCAACGAGATAGTAGTCCAATGGTGAGATTCAGCCGGTTCGCACCGGTTCTATAGAACCGTCCCACGGAATTTTATGAGATCAGGGAACTGGTTGGCATTACTGGTTACTGTCAATGTTCTGTTCGTAACAGACCGGCTGAAAAATATAACTTTTCTGACGAAAAATTTGAATCCCACCACTAAAAGAGAACTTACCATTTTGTCTTTTAGATTTTATCGTCCTTCTGAAAATAAATCCAAAATTGCAGTCTTGTTAGCTTTTAGCGATAGGTTATTCCGTTAGTGAGACAATAATCGGGCTCTTGACACGCGACGACGACGACCTCTCCGACTTTGACGATAGCAAGCTTTCTTCGATTATGACGACACTGTCGAAGCGGGTAACAATATTATGAGGCCATAAACAGCTGAAGATGCTTCGCACCGATACGAATACAGACACGACCGCAAGAAGTGTTACTCGCACGCTTTTGAAAGAACAAATGCAAATACACAAGAATATTGTTGTAACTAAAACTACCGTTCTTTCGCGTGAATCTATGTGAAGTTAGGAATCATAGACGTGCTTTTATCTTAGTATAGTCCGAGTTTATTATTCGAGCGTAAATCGAAGTGGATAAAGTTGATATTACTATGAAAAGCATGTCAAATTGTGCAAGTTTTGAACAGTAAATGTGTAAAGCCAGCTGCTTTTGCCTCGTGTTCACACTGTAACATTCTTGTGAACACATCGGCGCCTTAAGTTAATCTGTTTCGTTATGAAATGAATGTTTTTCGCAATACTAATGAACCTATACCATTTGGTAGCCTGAGATGGTCAAACATGGAATTGTCCAACCGTGGTTTATACGCTCACCATAACCAATCGGATCGAGTTTCAACCTTAAACGTATATAATGAACTTTAAATCTTAATTACCGGTATTTTTGGTCCAAATATTACCGTTTGGACGGTTAAAATACTAAATACGGTCGAAAAAATAAATTTGTATAGATTTGCATATTTTTTTCATTTTACTCTAACAGCCTTTATTTAATTTAAAATATTATACCCATATACTTACTACAACCATTTGAATGTAGTTTTACCCAGAATATGTCATCATATCATATCATGGTCTTTTAATTGGAACGTGGTCAAAATCATTGGTGGCAAATTCCTCTGCCAAATGGTTGTTATGTATGGGCGGCAACTTGCGCGATCTAAATGAGTTGCGCATGTATATATAAGGTGGGATTTACAAACTTATTCCAAGGGAGAGAATATAGAGTCAGACGGTAACACTGCTTAATCATATGGCGAGTCATGGCCTCTCGTCTGGTTATCAGTCCATGTCGGGTATGGAGTTATGTAGCCATTTATTTTTTTTCAGGTGCATTGACTTGATGTAAATTGTAACATATTCTTCCAACATTTGTTGAGTATCCTAAAAAAAACGGAAAAACTTACGCAATTTAGCTTTACATAATAAAAAGTGAAATTTAATTTTGGAATTAAAAAAGTGAAATTATGTTATACATTTGTTTTTTCAGTGTTTTTTGCTTTCGATTTTATTTTCATGAATAATCAATAAAAAAAAGATTTGCGCATTTAAAAAAAAATCCGAATAGTGAATATAATCTAATTTATATTCATAACAATTAAAAGTAAGTAATAATCTAATACATAGAAATAGTTGTGGGCCATTAACACGATAGTGCTAATTTTTAGTTCGAAAATATCAACTCGGTACTTCGTGAAATCTGACATTTTCACTAGGAATAGACGAGCAAGTAAAATCTGCTAGTGATAACGACATAGGCGGGACTAAGAAGCCATGACCCTCCTTCTCAAATTTTCAACATTTATTTTTTGAAACGCATTTGTGAGGCATTTGTAGTGAGACTCGATTCTTCAACTATTTACTGAAAACTACTTTTTTTGGCTCGCTATCGATAATCCTTTCACCAAATGATATAGATGAAAACGCGCGCTTGAATAACTTCGATAGCGAAGTAAGGCACGAGTAAACGTCGTATTACGTCATTATAAAAAAAATTTGTCAAGCCCACAAAAATGTTGGACAAGCTCTCGGATACCGAGGATTCTATAATGAACATGGCCCTCGCTGGGAAGGCATTGAGAAGACTACTTTTTTTTTTAAAAAAAGACGATATTATATAGTTACTTTTAGCTAAAATTTAATATAAAAATATCCCAAATTAAAAGTGTAAAATTCAATGGTTGTCGAATCGTTTAACCCGAGATAAAAAAGAAAAAGAGTTTAGATCAGGGGTGGACACGGTTTTTGGATCTGGGGAAAAAAGTTTTGCCAACTGATACTGGCGGGCCATGTATGTGTGACGTAAAGAGTCACATTTTATGAACTCTTTTCAATGTTTACAGTGTTACAAAAGAAACCGTGGAAAACAATAAACCTCGTGCCAAAACTGAATTTAACCACAATCTCAACAAATTCCTTGAGCTATTTTTAACTGAAGCATCACAAATTGGTTTCAGTTTGGTTGTGGCAGCATCAGGCCGGTCAGATTGAATTAGCTAGCGGGCCGGATTTGGCCCACGGGCCATACTTTGTCCACGTTTGGTTTAAATCTTTTATATAAAGTTAAAAAAGTAAATTTAAATAAATTTTGTCTTTGGTTGTACGAAATTTCCACAACTTCTTCAATGGCAGGGCGGCCGCACAAAATATTTCACGGGACCGTATTTTACTGAATATTCCATCCCCGCATTCACATATTTGATGTCACAGACATAGTTTTGCTACTGTAATTGGACACGTAGTGGACATAACGATCGTTTTGAAGAAATCGATTTTCTCTTTGATTACTGGACCAATTGCTCTGAAATTTTCAGTGGTTCAGGATGGACTTTTTTTCAGAAGGCTATTACTTTTATTCTTTGCTATGACGTCATCAAAATTATGTGGCGCTACGTGTCCATATATTTGAGCATAGCTCTCTTGTAATTAGATTAGAAAACCCAATGACTTTGGATCGTTTTGTTATTATGTTGTTGTTGTTCCTTGACACATAATTTCATCGATATTGAAAAACCGCTTTTCTCGTTGATTACTGGACCAATTGCTTCGAAATTTTTAGTGGTTGAAGATGGAATTTTTCTCTAGAGGTTTATTACTTTTATTTATTTCTAAATTCTGTATGAATTCTATGAAATTTGATATTTCGTCCAAAATTTCGCTGTATTATTTTTATCCATGGGAAAACGGATTTTAGCCCGCGTGATGACTGGCTGTACGTTTTGATTCTGCATAATTCTTGCTACTGAAAATTCGGAAACTTTTTGAGGCTACCGGTAGCGTCAAAGGTAAAGACTGATTCGTTCTGGCTTACGTGTCACATATTTGAGCATTGCTCTCTTGTTTTGTGTACGATGACGTCATCAAAATTTGCTCTTTTTGGGGGAGGTACAGCCTTTGCGTATGCTGTTCATTTCAGGAATGTACATATGGAACGTTTTGTTATTATGTTGTTGTTATTGATCATCATGTTAATATTTTATTACCTTCTTGTTGTGAAAAAATCGCTTTTCTTCTTAACTACTGGACCAATGGCTTTGAAATTGCCAGTGGTGAAAGATTGTATTTTTTGCTACAAGGCTATCACTTACATTTATTTCAAAAAATTTTGAGTCTATAAAATTTAATTTTTGCGTACGACCAGTGGCGTAGCATCCACCCCCGCGGTCGCGGGAGGGCCCACAGCGCAAAGGAGCCCAAGCTGTTAGAATTCAGAAATTTGAGCCGCAAAACCAAAAGTTGCATTGCAAAACCAGTAATGCACATCTTATAACGTTGATGTTCTGCTCAAATCGTTTTGCTACGTAACAATGCCAGGGAGTCGTCGATCTTCGGCGTCTTGTGGTTTGATCGCACCGGCAAAATTACGAAGGCTGTCAGAATGTGATGTCGAAAGCAAAACCTCTCAATGGCGCACAGAAACGCAAAAAAAGGGCAGAAGAAGAAGCACGTATATGAAAAAAATTAAAGTAACCAAGATAAACGGCAAAATTTAGGTTATCATTGCTTTTAATAGCGACATGTTATGCTTTTTGACGAAATAAAAAATGCGTTGTTTTAGCTTATGTCCGAGAATTTTTAGGGTCATTTCCACGAACTGTTTTTTTTTTTTTTGGGGGGGGGGGGGGGTTGGCGTCTTGCTACGCCACTGCGTACGACGTCATCAAAATTAAAAATTGCGCTCCTTTTGGCGGTTCCGCTTTTGCTTAAGTTGAAATCAGCTGCGATCGGTTACCTATACTCCGACAGATGGTATACCTGCGCCATTTCGTGTCCATATATTTGCGAATCGCTCTCTTGTTCTGTGTCAGAAACGAAAAATCGAAGTAAAATTGTAATGAATTGTTATATATCACCTTTGTGTTCACACGGATTACATGCTTTCATTGCCTTTTAAATTTGTAATGATGCAGTAATGTTGTTTAAAATAAATAAATATGTAAATCCGGGATAAATATGTAAATCCTATCTTATTCTAAAACGCTGACTGAAGATATCATACTACTGGATACCAATTAGCATTTGCGCAATTACCAAATCATTAAATATTTATAATTATGTGATTTTTGTATGCGCAATAGCAAAACGGTTGAAGTATTTGACATACCATGTTTTTCCCAAAAATAATACGGTCTTATTTCGATTTTTTTTCTTGGGGGGGAGGGGGGGGGGTATTTTCATTCATCAAAAATAAAATCACAAAGTAGCGAATTATGAGATTTTCAAATATGCAATATATGAAAACCGATATACATTTACTTATTTTAGAAAAAACTCTCTTCACATAGATTATTCAAAAATGACCATATCATCATCCTCTTGAATGTCTCGCAAGTCACTAGATTCGATAAAGATTTCATTTAACTGAATTTTTTGGTGAGTGTTTTCATCTACAGTTTTATGTCGCGCTATCGACTAGATCTTAATTTTATGTGCAGGGCTTATATTAAAACAATTTTTAAATTCAGGCTAGGTCTTTTTTTCGGGGAAACACAGTGCCTGTGTTAGCATCCCATGTTATATATCTGTGTTTCAAATCCCATGAACACCAGTTCACTCATTGTGCGTAACGAGTAGAGTGGACGGTGCCCAACTTGAAATGTTCGACTCTTGTTTGCCCATTGCACTCTTGTTACACACGAAATGTACATATGGATGAGTTTGTTATTATGTTGTTCTTGTTGATATTTTTCTTCCGATTGTTATGAAAAAATCGCTTTATGGGTGCGAAGACGTAATCAAAAATTGCGCACCTAGTGGCGGTACCGCTTCCGCATTTGTGATGAAGATTCCAGTAGTCCACTGTGACAGATTTCCATCCGTACTACTT